GACAACAGTCAGTAAGTGTTTGATCATAAGGTCATAGGCTTAGTCGGCGCTCTGCGTCCTAAGTTTGTGATAGCCGGCTTGCGAAAAGCCACTCTGATCTGCACGCGGTGGCAGGTCCGGTGCGCAGGCTTGTTGCAAGACCATCTTTGATCTTTCCAGACAGTTCGGATCTACATCAAATTGCAGATATGACCTTCCTCCAGTGTAGACCGGAAAGTTTGCTTTCGTCAACGGTATTTTGTGAGATCAGGCGCTTTTTCAATGAGTCAGATTACAGAAACACCGCAGACATGATGGCATTTGCAAATACGGCATATGCCGAGTTAGTCTTTTGCCTTTGTAAGCGATGTTTGCAACAGTGTCATTTTGTATCTCATTTTATGAAAATGCAATAGAATATTCAGCGATCACAGATTAGTTACGAAGCTTTTCAGATACGCAAGCATCACATATATTTCAACAATATGTCAGAATTTAGAGCCGTGAATTTTGAGTCACAAATTATATATATAAGATGACATTTGCAAGTCTGGCAGATGATGACACAAAGGTTACATTCAGACAAGGAGGCCTATATTCAACATTCGGTAATGGGAATTTACATGCAAATTTGAACAAGCAACGCCGTCGCTTCGCTCTGGCATGAGAAGCTCTTGCTGAATGAGAGTTGTTCGTATTATTCATCTGAACGAGAGTTGTTCGTATTATTCATCTGAACGAGAGTTGTTCGTATTATTCATACAGACAGCGCACTGATCACATGTAGGTAACCATCCTTCATTAAATCCTTTAAGTCATCGCTTTCGAGAATCCCATCTCGACAGCTATGGAACAGTTTGAAGTTCTTTGGATGGACTACCTGAAGATATGCATCACACAGGTAGGGAAACAAGTGTCCGATGGTTGTATTCACCTGGCAGGGCTAGCGGACGGTCAGGACGAGCCAGCGGCAAGCTAGCATGGTCCGGACAATGGGCCAGCGGTGAGCTAGCGGAGGGTTGGGACAAGCTAGCATGGTTCGGACAATGGGCCAGTGGCGAGCTAGCATGGAGCCAGCGGTGAGCTAGGCAGCCGGCGCTAAGCCAGCGGAGGGGAGATGATGAGATGCCCTCAAAGCAAACGCGTTCAAAAGATGAGTATATATAGGCAATGGTTGTTTGCTCCTAGTTATCTTTATTTGTTTATACCTCAATCACGTGAATGTCATGTGGGCCAGCCTACTATGGGCTGTCCGCGCCAGTTCTAAATAACTTGGGTGGAGAGGCGCCGGGCGCCGGTTCCAAATAACAAAAAGAAATCTATCTATACTACACCGTCGAATTTAGCGATTGTCTCGTCTACAGACGCTCATGCCTCCAGCCTCCAGCAGTCGCTCATGGTGCTGAACTTCGGATACGCTCACGCATCCGATGCTCACACGCCTTCCTTTCCCAACAGCGTCGAACACGCGACAGTACACGCGGCCCACCGGCCACATCCTTTTGAAAAAGTGTGAGCCATCCTGTGCATGGAATACTATGTGATTGCATACAAGGGTTGGACATTGCTAGTGTACAGGTATGCTTCTCAAGCACGGCATCCTCATACAACACCTTCAGAGCACGTGTATGGGGTGCCGGCCTTGCCGAGCATCGTGGAGAGGACGTTGTAGTTGCTCCTGTCTGCGCTGTGGTACACATATTTGACACCCTGGAACAGGGACGGCGCAGAGGGAGAAGCACTGGCAAGGATGAAGAGGATGTCAGCGGGCAGGTGTGGGAGGTTGTTGTAGACTATATGCATGGGTGTGTTAGTATATGAGCAAGAATGACTGTGCTGGGCATGTACTGATGTCCATGGCAACCTGCTAGAGGCACGCGGTGAAAATGGAGCCATCGAGAGAGTGTGCCATGACCGTGAGGAGCTTCTCGAGCTGAGCGGACGTCAGCACCAATTACAGACGAACGAGCGGGGACACTCGAGAGGAAGAGACAGTCATTAATGCCGGGTCCCTGCAAGTTTTTCACAGCATTGATGAACGCGGGCTACGGGGAGAGTCAGCGGTCATGTCCTGTGAAGAGAGAGGATGGACGGGCTCATGAGGTCATTGAGGGAGAAACGCTGGCCACGGATGAGGCTCTGCTTGATGTCAGTCACCTCACGTGTGAGGAAGGGATGTCTCGGCTGTGCGCCATCGAGGTCGAGGGGGGCATCAGCATCGGCAGCATAGTCCACGAGGCCCTTGATGGGGTTAAGGATGAGGTTCGCGTCTACCTTCATCTGTGTGAGTGTATGCAGGAAAGGAAAGTGGATTGCAGAGATGAGGATCAGCTGGGGTATATAAGGGACGGCGGGGCAGGGAGATGGGCATCATGAGTGAAAGGCATTGTGGCTTGCTGTACAGGCGGACATCTTCCCTGACGGCCAAAGATATGTGATCGAGATGGTTAATGTTACTTTGATGGCTGTAACGTCCAATAAGGCACATCAGAGTTTGCTTGCGAAGCCTCAATTGCATGATCCACTTGGTACATACTGTGTCCTTCTTACATACTATGTCCTTCTTATATCCCATAATCTATAGGAGCAAATCCAATATTGACACCCTCAGCGAGCTGTTGATCTTTGGTCAATTTATGCATCTTAACCCTGAACCATCAATATGCATTGTGAGAGGAGCGAGGGAATGGCGGAGTTGTGCTGTCCCTTACACATGTGTACCTTCTCGCTAAATGACCTTTCAAGTTAGCAAAGTTCACAGCTAGTTCGCCGTTCATGCCACCGAGCACGCTAAGTGCCACGCTTTCACACCACGACTACTTGTCTCACGACTGTGGACAAACTCAATTGATGCACACTATCCTTATTCACAACACTTTCACGCATAGGACGATGCGAGGAGCAGACTCACCAGCCGGCCTGGACGTATGCATGTCGTGATCGCCTCATAGAAGTGATATTAAGTAGGTCATTGGCTGCGTGCTTGTCGCTGAGGCCGAACTGGTGCTCAAAACGTGCATGCCGGTGAGTCCATAGGAGGAGATGGAAGTCCGAAGTGATTAGGGCCCACTCCACTGCGCATGTACAAGTTCGCGAGCTCCCTGTACCAGAGAATCAATAGCGTGGTGACAAATACATAGCCGGTCAAATGTCTGACTTACCGTGCCACTGCTCATGGTCTCCCAGGACTCTGCTACCATGCCACTGCGCACGCTCCCCATCTTGGTGTACCCCATGCGTGCGCAGATTTGGGTGGAATGGACAAGCGGTCTGCTGTGCGATATTGCTCATGATGCGCCGGGTAGGCACGTATACGTGCACCGGGTAGGTGCACCTTCATGCCAAAGACACCGGGTAGGCGTCCTTGGGCAGCAGACAGTGGGCGGCAGGAGGTGGTGGCGGCAGGAGAGGATGAAGTCCGAAGTGGTTAGTGCCCATCCCAGGTGGGCGTCAAGGGCGCTGAAATCACGTGATGGTGGGAAACGGTGATTGCCACGCGAACTGATCGATATCGATATCGTTGCTTGCCCTCACCACCATCGCCCACGTACACCCCGCCTCTCATCTACCACTGCCTCCCCTCTTCCCGGCCACCTCCCCTCTTTCCGGGTGAGACACTGTTCTACCCGAATGATGTCTTGCACCCCTCACTCTATCTGAGCGAGTGATCTTGAGGACGCTGTGAGCCCTACCTGGGACGCAGCTACCTCTACGTCGAAGATGCTATGAGCCTTACCCAGGATGCAGCTACATCTGACAAGAACATACCCGGAACCTCAACCCCGATCTCTGCCTGCAGGCCTGGAAATCACTCGCTACACGTGTCACCGTCGCCAGTCCTTGCATCGTTAAGGTTCTCTCTTGCTCCTTCCGCTGCCGCTTCATTTCCTTTGTTCTTGCATCTGCCCGCCTGCCGATCGACTGCCTGCTCATCTCGCGGCATCTTGAAACTTGACAGACAGGACCGTCTGTGCATTCCTGTCTGACTGCACGATTCCAGGGTGCACCGGTCTGCAAATATCCCAGCCACTTCACTCAAATTCACCGACACTCTATCGAGCCCACTACCTCTCCACAGTGCTTCATTGGCATAGTCGATTGCTCAGGTTCCAGGGTGCACTGGTCTGCGAGTATTCCAGCCCCTTCATACAAAATCACCGACACTATCGAGCCCACTACCTCACCACAGCACTTCATTGACACAGTCGATTGCTCGGGTTCCACGGTAGCGTGGGATGCGTATCTTCTCATTCTGGTGATGGTGTACAATAACCGGTGATGCCATTCATTTGCCTCAATAACCAGTGACACCTCGCATAGTGTGGCTTATATAATAGAGGGATGTTCGCTATTGTTGTGCGGAGTTCTATCTAGATTGGCTCAGAAGGCATTATATGCGCGGAGGCCTGTTTCATCTTCACGGAGAGCTCCGCACACAAATGTATGATGTTCCAGTCAACCTCGTGCCATCACAGGCACAGAACGGATTCTCCTGCAAATGTGCCACGTATCAATGTGGAGGTTGATTGATTGACTACAATAGCTATCGAGAGCATAAACAGTGCGATCGAGAAGCAGCGAAAGTAAGTGGAAGTCATGTTTCCTTGCTAGATTGTTATAAACTCGAAGTCGCAGAAGCACGAATTGCCAGCACGAAGAAGGTCAGATGGCAGCGAAGCAGAGCATTGCTCGAAAGTCGTCGAAGGCTTGACTGAACGCGTTTTTGCAGAAACATTGAAACACAATCTCCTGATCTCCTCTACGGTGACATGGCTAAGTGGGATTTGGGGAAGATTGGATGTACAACTCGATGAAGACAATGGCGCTCTGACACGTAGCGAAAATCTGGAGTGTACTCACAGCCATGAACACTCACAGCAATACGAGAAGCTCTTCCTACTGAATCTGGAATTCTCGTTACATATGCAGGAGTCTGAGAAATGCTATGAGAAAGGAATGAACTCTTCGCAGAATAGCAGGGAAGCCCTGAAAGCTTGTGCGCATCTGCATGAAGAAGAACGGTGGCTTACAGAGGTCACAGAGGTTGTCCGCAGTGTTGATCGATGGCCAGCAGACTCTCCAGTGGGGCTTTTGTGGTCTGCAATGTTGGAATGGATACCCGAGCAATTCCAGAGATTGGTAACTCAACAGTTGCAAGTTGGAGGAGGTGCAACAGATCTCGTTTCGACGGCTTCTAGCAAAATATTTGATACTGGTCAGTTGTTGCATGCAGCCACTCTATCGCACTCACATTAACGACAGGCAAATATTTTGATCATCCCCTGAATCACCTTCATCCGATCTTGCTTTTATCAATTTTCACTGCGCTTGTCCTCCATCTTCTCGGACAAGTCGTGCGGAAATCTTGCAATTTCACTTTGCGTATGCTCAAACTTGTTGTAGAGTGCACCTTGAAGCAGAATGGTGGACCGACCGTGCAAGAGAATCATATCTTGCACCATTTCCCAACCGATATATGAAGCGTCCGCAAGTCATTTAACTTGGATCCTGTCATGACAGTTTTCGCTGTTTGCCCGACTTGCTCGTCGACGTATGAGCCCTCATACGATTCTGATCTACCAATCTATCCATCATGCTGCCACTTTCGGCGATGGGCAAAAAGTGCTCCGTGTAATTCCAGACTCACTACTCATGGCGTCCACAGCAACAGAAGTATACGAGTGCCGCGCCGTTCATTCGTGATGCAGGACTTTGACTCATTCGTGGGGAGCATGCTCTGCAGGCCAGGTATTGAAGATGCCTTGATTCTTGGAAGTAGAGTTGCCCAAGCCCATCACTTGTATGACATATGCGACGGCAGAGCGATTCGTGAGTTGAAGGACAAGGATGGGAAACTGTTCGTCAGCATAGAGGAAAACGAGCTTCATCTGCTATGGAGCCTCTCAGTGGATTGGTTCAATCCATATCTGAACAAGATTGCAGGCAGATCCGTGTCCAAAGGATCGATCACAATGTGCTGTTTGCTCTTACCTCTGAGCTTGAGGTATGCGGCAGAGAACATTTATCTAATGGGCATCATTCCCAGACCGCAAGAACCATTAAAGGAAGAAATCAATCATTTCCTTCGTCCCCTAGCCGATAGGTTACTTGTCTCTTGGGAGGATGGTATATGATATACGAGGACATACAGGTATCCTCGCAGGCATTGTTCACGATCAGCGTTGGCACTCATTGTCACTGATCTGCCAGGAGGGAGGAAAGTGGCAGGTTTTGCTAGCCATTCTGTGATGTGCTTCTGCGCGTTGTATTATCTGAAAAGGCAAGAGATCAATAACATTGACATGACCACCTGGATCATGAAGTCCAAGGAAGATGTACTGAAGTTTGCAGAGGAGTGGCGAGATGCGCAAACGAAGACTCGACAGGCAGCCATATTTCGCAAAACTGGTGTACGGTGGTCAGAACTCCTACGGCTTCCGTATTGGGACCCAACTCGCGGCGTGATCGTTGATTCTATGCATAACCTATTTCTAGGTCTAGTGCAATACCACGTTCACACCATTATCGGTATGGATATCCTCATTGCAGAGAAAACCATGCACGATGCGGAGGAAGCTGATTCAGTGGGTGAGGACGAGACTGACGATGTCGTGATCATTCAGGAGGCAGCGAAGATAGAAAAGATGCTAACCACCAATCCCACTGTGAAGAAGCTCCAACGCAAGCCAAAACAGGCCTTACGATTGGTTTGTCACATGCGAGGTATTGAACAGGTATCCTGGGGTGGTACCAAAAGGCTGAAAGAGAAGGTCGTGGTAGAAGTGTTGATGGTAAGTAGCCAACAATGCCCCATACAAAGACAGTTCACGAAACTGCCAATTAGGAAAGTGTTCATTCTGCAACGTCGTTGCTGGCAATGTCCACGAGTGCGCCAAACAAAAGTCAGCCTATGAGTGATGTTGTGGTGGGACAAGAGTTGGTAGATGAACTCGCAGTAGCTCTCGCTCGAACTGAAAGTGTGGTCGACGATAGCACTCGGAGGAAAGATGCAGAATTCTGTCAGCGAGACTTACGGAATTTGCAAGATGACATTGCATTGACTGTTTGTCCTATGTATTCAAGTGGTCCTCCCCGTAATATCGGGACGAAGGCACGTGGGAAGCTCAAAGCCGACCATTGGAAGGCAGCAATAGAGTTTGAGATACCTGTGTCATTCATGAAGCGATGGTGTCATCCGTCGACCACTGCCGCCGACCACGACAATCCGCGCCAGGCTTTGGCTTGCACTACCATGTTGCTTGCTTGTGCCGTTGGGCAAGTGACATCTTATCCCATCTTGCAAGAGCATAAGGACAAGTACACTGCATATATGTCAAGCTACCTATCCGAGATACGAAGGTTGTGTCCCGACCGATCCTTGTGACCAAATCACCACATGGCTCTTCATTTGGGTGACTTCCTGCTCTTATTCGGACCAGTGCATGGATGGTGGATGTTTTCCTTTGAAAGAATCATTGATATTCTACAGCAAACAAACATGAACGGCAAACTAGGCAGGTGAAGCTCATTGGTTTGATTCGCCTAATTGCTGACAAATCACAGGCCAGCTGAAGAGGACAATGTCTGAGTCATTCTGTGCCGCAGCAAATCTCAAAGGTTTCATGAAGTGTGCAGATTGTCTGTGAACTTTGCAAAATTGCGCATCCATTGTCGATGCCTGTTTTAAGGATGATGGTCGAAGTACCTGCAAGAAGGGTTTGCAAGAGTTTCTGCATTTCGAAGACAAGTGCACACTCGAGCCAGTCACTGATTGGAGAAGATGGCACGAGCTTGAGTCGGACATTCATGACGCGTTAACTAGAGCAGCACCCATCCTGTCCTCCGAGTTGCAGCATTGGAGAGTAGGATCCAGAGTTGTTAACCACAACCGATACGCAATTCGGGGCATCCACTATTCAATGAATCACACCGCAGAGCTGAATAGCATCATATTCTTCGAGCCTGAGGTAGGTTCAGTGATGGTAGCAGGGGTTGTGCGGGCCATATTCTCCATGCAAGCAACGAATTGGACGGAAGAGACGCCTTGCATGCATGTTATGCTGGCAGTGTACAGATACAAACCTATCACGACGTATGATCCTTTCGCAGAGTACCCTGACTTCGGTGCAAGCATGTGCTCGACAATGCTAGCTGAAACAGTGGAGGTGATTCCTTCATGCAGGAGGATCTATCACGCAATGCGACATCAATGGGATGACAAAACGTACGTGGTGAAACCGCTCATAAGGGTATGTGATTAGACAATGATCCCTGGATGAGATCCATTCAGATGTTCACAATTCACGATTCAGGATTATAAACGGAGATTCGTTGCCGAGGACGGATGATAAGGATGACAGGAGGTTACGTTTAGTCATAATCGTTGGTCACTAGGGCTGTCAACGCGATGAAGCCATGAGTCAAATGTACCTCCCCCAGTGGACTACATCGTGAATCCATTATCAATTGCTTAGATGCCGATTCACAGTTCACCAGGTGTATTGAACATCCCGACTTGCCATGATGGCTCTCAACGATACGCAACGGGTAGAAGGAGGAGCGATGACGAATATTGAGCACGATTGAGAGACCTGGACTAGTGCATCGGTGGTGCATTTCGGATCGTCTACACTGCTGTTCACAATCTTGAATTTGGCGTCGACCCTCCTGAAGTTCCATGGCATTCACTGGAGGCTGGAGGCTGGGGTGGTCGAGGCCGGAACATATGCTTGCTCAGCAGTCGATTCTTCTGTGATTTGTGCTAGCTTACATTCTGTTGCTATGTCACATGCTATCGTGCTTCAGCCCCGACAAGCTGCCCACTGCCGATGTCCATCTCCTACACTATGTATTGTCTTTTGCAGTCGGTGGAGGCATTATCCACTGGGTACGTCCCTGCATGGAGGAACTTTCCCGTATTGTCTAACGTTGCCCATTGCCTGGGCTGTCATCCAGAGTGTCACGACTCAATGAGTACGCCTTCACCTCAATTTTTCGCTGCAGGTCATCTTGCGATGACACTTTCACACACGGTTAGCTGCACACGGTTAGCTGCTCCCAGAAGCTGATGCAGCTTATCTGGCATGTCTAGGTTGACCCGACGTAAGGTCATTCCGACTCTGCTCCCGATCCCTTTGCATCAGAGGCACATTTGTTCCTCCATTCCTTCTAGTAGATTGTGAGTGCCCTCTTAGTCTAGATCATTCCGCTGGCATGCGCTTTAGATCTTCGATGATAGTTATCATTCTCCCGGCTCTCTTGGATCAGTCGGGACACATGCACGCTCAGCAATCTCAACTCTGCAGCACTTTGTGCCAGTTTATTGTTTGTTGCTCTGTCCATATGCTACCGTTGTTCAGCGTCCAACATGATTGAGAACTGCCCACCACCGATGTCCATCGCCTACACTAGGTCTATTATCTTTTGCAGTCAGCAGAGGCAGTTATCCTCTTACGGCGTACTTGCGCTCGTCTGCTCATCACAAACCTCCTGCAGTTCGATACCCCCGATCTGTCTAGGTACGTTCTCGCATGGAGGAGTTGGCCGTGTTGTCAAGTGCTGTCCATCACCTGGGCCGTCGTCCAGAGTGTCGCGACTCAGTGAGCGTGCCCTCACCTCTATTACTCACAGTAAGTCGCAGTGCCCACTGTTAACCACACGTTCACATCTGGCTCATAATCTTAACCGTATCTGGCGGGCACTGTTGGTTTCGATGTAAGGTCATTCCGACTCCACTCCTGATCCCTTTGCATCCAAAGCAAATCTATCTACCGTTGGTTCTCATACATTATAATTCTACTGGATCAAACTGGACCACAGAAGGACGCTGAGGTCGCGATTATTCGCATTCGGTCTTCGACGACAGCCATTGGTTTTCCGGCTCTCTGGTCAGGACATACGTACGCTTAGGAGATCTCGACTCTCCTGTGTCCTGCACTAGCTTATTGTTTGTTGCTCTGAGGTCACGATTATTCACATTCGGTCTTCGATGACAGCCATCAGTTTTCCGGCTCTCTGGTCAAGACATACGTATGTGGTCTTCGACGACAGCCATTGTTTTTCCGGCTCTCTGGTCGAGACATACGTATGCTTAGGGGATCTCGACTCTCCTGCGTCCTGCGCTAGCTTATTGTTTGTTGCTCTAAGGTCGCGATTATTCGCATTTGGTCTTCAACGACAGCCATCAGTTTTCCGGCTCTCTGGTCGAGACATACGTACGCTTAGGGGATCTCGACTCTCCTGCGTCCTGCGCTAGCTTATTGTTTGTCACTCTATCCGCATGCTCCTGTAGCCCATCCTCCGAGAACTGCCTACTGCTGTCCACTGCTTACTGTAAACATCTGGCAGTAGCAGTCATCCCTTACTCTTGCGAGCTGGATGTGCCTGGTTCATCACAATCGGCACTGGCAGTTGTCTCTTGCTCTTGCAAGCTGGACGTGCCTGGAATTCACTTTGCGTATAAAAGACAAACTGGTGCAACTGCTGGGTTCAGGAACTTCTCGACTATGGGCATAATTTTCAGTGCCTTACTTGTCTGCATATGCTGGAAGTGCTTCATAATCCCTGAGGCCACTTCTGTGATGCGAGCGGTATGTCGCCCGAATGTTGCTATCACCATGGTACCATTTTTGATGTGCGTGGCAGGTCGTAGTTGAAGGATTTAACGCACCGCCACGTCAGGGATTTGCGCACAATAATGACCCAGCATCCTCTGCTCATGAAGTGTCCGAAGAATCACCTTTTCCTCCGGATGGGATGCCTCCCGTATGCTTTTTATCACCTCGAGTATTTAAAATCAAGTAACTTTATTTCCCGCAATCAGGCATCCAATGTCGTCGATATCTCAACTGAAACTCGTATAAACGAACAGTCAGATATGGACCATGATCCTGCAGAAATCTTCTCTGCGTCGACCTCTTGCTCCATGTCTGAGCATATGTTGAGCACCGTGAGTTTGGCTCTATATATCTACCTTGTCTCTTGCTCACTCAATCATAGTCAGCTGGATTGCACGCAAAAGAGGCCCAGCCTGATGCCTTCTCCAACTTTCTGAACGAGCTTGTCTACACAGTTGCGGAGCTCCTGCCCGATAGCGACCTGATGAACTTCGCCTTACTATCCCGTCGACTTCACTTCCTTGTGATTCCCATATACTTACATCTCCAGGGGTTTTGCATACCCGAGGTCGATGAACACCTGAGTCTGTCAGGACCGGTCATCATTACTGCTCTCAAATTCTGGCGCTTCTCCTCGGTCTTCCAATGTCCGCGCATTCTAAGCATTGCCATCTCGGATAGTCCGACCGAGTATGATCACTTGAGATGCTTCTTTTCATCCCTAGATTGCACATCTGCATTGCAAACAGTCCAATTTCGTCTAGCTTCACCTCCTGCAGCTGCACTCATTGAGCTGTTGGAGACTCTTGGGGGCACTAGAGTTCAAAGGATCGCGATTTGGCATTACAACAACAAGATCTGCCAGCCTCCACGCAAATGCGTGCTGCCTCCAACACATCTCTCGTTACCCTCGTTGACGGTCTTTGAACCCTAAGCGGCTGTCCTCTTCGAGTCTCCGTTCTACCACTGGACAGTCATGACAATTAATTCATCCAGCATCACTGAACTTACTTTGAACACGCCAGGCATTGCTACCCCATCCTGGTCCCGGATCCTCGAGAGCTGCGACTTCTTACCCTCCAGATTCTGCACATTGAGGGAGAACTCACACAAATTGCCCTGGATCACTTTTTACGACGTCATGGTGATCTTCACGAGCTCCGCATCGGCTACAATTCACATTATGGCATTGCGGCCCAGCAGCGTTCTTAACCCCCCTTGCTCCCTCGATTGCGTGTGCTTGGTGGTCCCATCACTTATCTTCTCCGGCTTTTGAGCGACCATCGCCATCCCTTCTTGACCCTAGAAAAGCTAGCAGTGTTACCTGATCACAATTGCGACAGTCCTGCAGAATATGTATACAACCTCTCGAAGGTGCTGGAGCACACAGTGGTATGCCCAGCACTGTGGTACTTGACCTGCACTGTCGCATCGCAACTGGCAGCCGAAAACGATAGTGCTCCAATCGAGGATCATTATCTATGTTCGTTCGATGTCGTTCTCCCACAAGTCAAGTGCGTTATGCTCGAGCAAGCCTCGAGGCCGAGGCGCAAGGATTCTTTTAGTTCCACATTTCTGGTGAGCTCTTTCCATCGCAGAATCTGTCCAGTTTACCAAAACTTATCTAGGAACGCCTCCCTCATTGGTTACACCAATTCCCCAAACTTACATCCCTGCAGATTTGGGAAGATGCAGCTGTTGATCGAAGCGAGGCATTATCGCTCTTCCAGATGAACTGTGCCTCACTTTCTGATGTCTGGATCTATTCCGGTGGCAGAGAGGTTTGTTGGGAGTCAACAACGACCAGAGCTGTTCCGTGACCACAGATAACCCGAATACTAAACCATTTCAATGCCTTTGTTTGTCTCCTTCCCCTTGCCTTTTCTGATCCATCTCCAACTCCCGCTGCCGTCCTTCCTTTTGTCATCCTGTCGTGTGTTCGTTCCCGAGTCTTATGTCTCGCTCTAAAATTTGTTCTTTGTACTCTTTGTTGCGCTCATCTTTGTCTCTGCCCCACGGCGTAGCCTCATTAGAGTTGATATGTCTTACACCTCGTGCCGGACTGAAGCAATGGCATTGCTCGTTTGCATGTAAATTTCTGCTACAGAATGTTGAATATAGGCCTCCTTGACTGAATCTAACATTTGTGTCTTCATCTGCCAGATTTGCAAATGTCACCTTATATATATAATTTGTGACTCGATATTCAGTGATCACAGATTAGTTACAAACTTTTTAAGATATGCAAGCATCGCGTATATTTCAATGATATGTAAGAATTTAGCACCGTGAAATTTCCTGATGCATTTTCATAAAATGAAATACAAAATGACACCATTGCAAATATCACTTATAAAGGCAAAAGACTAACTCGGCATATGCCGTAGTTGCAAATGCCATCATGTCTGCGGTGTTACAGTAGGAATCGGCATTTTCTTTACCATGATACTGATGGAGCGAACTGCTGCACGGCTTTTCGTCATAGAGATCGGCAGGCGGTGAATGGCTGAAGACCGACATCATCACTGACCTTCACCTACATCCATGAGTGACCATATATATACATATGTGCCGTTCCAAGCACATAAATAAGTTCGGGTAGGGGGATATTCGAAGGCAGCGGCCCGCAGAAGGACGCCTTATATATACATGCAGCAGACAGCGAACCTAAAATGGCAGAAAGGGAGTCTGTGAAGTCGGACACAAACCATATATGAGAAGGATCTTTTCTTAGTATGGTAATCGTATGCCTTTAAGAAGAAAAGTATCGAGAGTTGGGGTGCGCCTTGATCAAGTAGGCCGAGATTGATATTGAAGCATAATGCCCCGGCAGATCCGGTCATTGCGAAAGATTGACGTATTTGGGTTCCTGCAGTCTGCCTTCCCCCGGACGTGTGATCCACCGTTACGAGCTCTCCGCTAGCGCATCTTCATCCTCCTGCCAGACGGGTCTTGCATTTGGTGCTGGTGGAGTCGATCTACTACATCAGGAAATCTGAGTTGAGATTGTAAGCGAAGGCCGCAAATAGATGGGTTTATAATTTTCGCGTGAGGCTTACTTAGCGATTGTACCGCTGCGGGATGTATTATGATTGCTTACAATCTGTGGCAATCAGTTATAATAATTGCTGAAATATTGTAATCACATTATTACTGCTTACAATCAGGTCCAGATCGCTCGTAATCGCATATGTTCGTACACGACCGAGGTTATAAGCTTATTCTAAGTGCGAACTAACCTAACTGGGGGGGATTAGAAGTGATGAGACATCCCCTGATATGCGCTAAGTCTAAGCTGTGGCCCAAGCGCCCAAGATGCGCGTTCTCTCGAGTCTCGACTATACCCCGTGTGCACTGAATTCGCGTTTTCCGAAGTGCAGATAAGGTGAGTCATGTTGTAAACTAGTGAACAGCATTGGGTTGAACTTTTTGAGGCCGAGATTGACTAGGAGCTGCCGCTGACAAGATGGCAGAAGAATGCAGCCAACCGCAATGCACGAGAAGCTCGCATAAGCAGCGGAATATCTGAGGCCACTGCGGACTGGAAATGTCCGATATGTGGACTATGGTCACACGTAATCATAAGGGTGCACCAAGACACTTCAACGCCTGCCAGAAAAGACGCAAATTGGAGCGCCGTGCACGCAAGGCTGCTCGCACTCCCTCAGCAGAGCCTGCAGTTGCGTCAGTGGCAGATCATTCCGCTCGCTGTGTTGCCTCGTCTTTGTCGACCGACAGCACAATGCCGAACGCACCCTCCTGCTTCAACTCTCCAGATGATCCTGCAATCTTCAGACCACCATTCCACGCAGCCAGCTACGACTTCTCGGCACTGATGATGTGCATTTTGATCCAAAGCGCAACGTCGAAGCTAAAGTGAATGGCTTGAATAGTGGGTGGAGAAAATAATGGAAATTGATACGTACGCAGATAGCACCGTGTCTTCCGTCCTGCACAACCCTTCACGAATGAAGCGCATCTGTCGGTTGAAGTGCTGCATACGGTCTTGACTGCCTCGCACACTCTCGGCGTTCTCATTGTCTACAAGCTCCGCATGGCACACGTCGCAGTTGAAAGTGCCAGCGGCAAAATCGATTAGCTTTCCCGCCTCCAGAGGCGAGAATGATTTGTAGCACTGAGGACAAATATAGCCCTTGTTGTCGAGTTCCTGTATATTCAATTGTCAGTAGCATTGAAGTGTTTCATATCCTCGAGACACACATTGCGCAATGACGAATCAATGATCGGCCGCATCTCGGCAATCCACCATTTCACGACATTGCAGAAGTGCTGGTAGTCGATGTAGTAGTACTGTCTCCTGACAGACCGCTGAGCGCGCTCCTTCAGCTCATTCTGACGGTGACTGCAGAAACTTGTGAAGAACGGCAAAACAAGAGATAATGGTACTCACATTCGCACTAGCCTTCACCTTTCAACGCCGCCATGCTAATCTTATTCAGGTCCTTCAGTTGAAATCCCATACGCCCAGCCAAGTCGTCGTCCTTCAAGCTGCCCACCTATCGTGTTCAATGTTTCCTGGTCATCCTTCGAGAGCGTAAATAATGCTGCCGTGACCATGAGCGGGTGCTCAGAACATCCGAGAGACGTTCGTCAGCGTGGATGTGACTCCAGAATGGCTCGAGAATCCAAACAAGGTGAGCTACGAGATGGTTCTGCCACAGTCCAGAAGCTGCCTTGTCCTCCCTAGACTTGTGGACGTGCTCGTACTTATGTCAGAGGAACAACCATACGATCCATGGCATCACCGTAGTCGTGAATCGCTTACCCATCGCGTAAGCTTTCTCTGAGATTTGTGAGTGTTTTCAAATGCTTCAGAACCGGTCTTCCTCTTCTTTCTACGCTCATCGTCCGTCTGATCGGCATCGACGGCGTTATCGTCTCGGGAGCGCTTTTGAATGCTGTCACCTTGGGCTAGTCGCACTTGAAGCGCAGTATTCTCCTTGCGCTGTTGAAATACTTGCTGTCGGAGCTTCTCAATCATCCGATGATCCTGCAAAATATCAGCAATACATCAATTGGGACGAGTGACCATGCACCTGTTCCTGATGCTCCTTGCTCCGACGTGTCACTACCCTTCCCTGCCCTCCTGATGTGACTTGAGATGGGTGTCCATGCCCCCTACCTAAACCTCCTTACGCTTTCTCAGCGCCGGCCCTGGCATCCGAGTGTGCAGCTGCACTGTTCATGAGCCTATTCAAACGGGCTGGTGCAGTTCTGGGTGCCAGACTCCATGGAAGATTGTTAGTTAGAACTTGCTGATCCAAGTCCGTGATAGGGGGTCTACGACGTCGAGAAGGTGGAACAGGCGAGAAAGACCGGCTCTGAGACAGCCTGAGTGTGTGTTGCCTGGTGAGTCGGAGTGTCTCTTGAGTTTCTTGGTGTTCTGGTACTAGCTCATTCTCTGTGTTGGTCTTCTTACTCTTCGCTTTATTCTTGTCAGAAGCAGGCTTGTCTCTCTTGCCCTTGGCAGACTGCCCAGTAGCCTTCTTCTTAGCCATAGATAAGTCGGTAAAAGCGCAATGTAGCAGGCAGAGAAGATAACGAAAGTTCTTCTAGAGTCCTAGCAAGACCACAGAAAGAGGAGCAGTGAGCAGGAGTGTGTATGTAGACAGAACGAGCAGGGACAACGCGAACGCTCGGTATATGCGCCCGCCCTGCGCGCCACAGGCGCGACGCGTCTTCAGCGCTTATTGTGACGGTACATGAAGCGTCCATGACAGTACCTAGCGTCGCATCTATAGCCAACTGGTAAGTGGCAGCAATATTTTACCATGGAGTGATCCCCGCGTGTGTGCGTGTTCGAGTCCTGTAGTAAACATTCTCGCAGCCTTCGGTGAGTGAGTAGTAGGTTGAGACTTCGACTAGTAAGGCACTTGTGATAAATGAATTGTCTACGAACAGTAAAGAAAGTAATAAAAATAAGAAAAATACGGAATGAATGTCTAGATTGCTTACTGCGTGCACAAATAAAAATTTTGACCACTGCTTAGATATTGTTGTTTGCTTGCGGTTACAATGTGCGCGCCGGGTTTACTGATGATTATAATCACTGCTTGCTGAGATTACAATGTCTCCGGTGTCCGATAATCAGTGATTGTAATCTATCGGTGTACGGATTATTGCACATTATAATGGGTACCACTGTGACCGTAAGTGGTTGTGCAAATCGTTCAGGTTTTCGTAATCGCTCGCATAGGGGTCAATATAATTTTCGCAATAGCTACAATTTAAACCGCTTATTCGCGCTTATGCAACGCGAACCAAATTTCCTGATGTAGTACATGCCTGCAGTCAAGCAAAATGCGAAGATCATGCAATCTCATGCAATACCGTCATGGATCACCTCCCACACCGACAGGAGCCGGTCCAGCTCATTGCAACCGCTGAAACGCTGATGGATGATCTTTTGGCGACAACAAGGATGCTGCAATACTATTGCAGCTTGCAATGCCATAGGTGTTTTAGGTCGTCACGTCTGTCATGAGCAGTGCGGAGGAAGTGGGTTACGTAAACCCAACCCGCCTTACTTACAGCGCGACCTCGATGTCCACGTCCCCCACAGTATGCCTGCGCCCCGTCGATGCCCACTCGAGAACGCGATCTCACCGCGGTCCGGAGATTCAAGCGGGGATGGCATCTGCTTGAAGCATTGATGTACCCTGCCGGCGCAGCGTCTGGGATAGCTCCATGCATAGGTAGCCCTGATGCCAATGATGTTCCACGCTGGCATCGACTGATCTCTGACGGTGGCCGCATGAAACAAGCCTCCTGTCACATCAGTGGCGTAGGTCACATCACTTCAAGATTTCGTTAGATTCTGACGCACCCACTTCAATCTGACTGTCACACAGCTTCAACAACAACACTGATGTGTGACCGATCGCGTTTGCACATCTCTGATCAGGACTTTGGCAGTGTATTCGTATCAGACTCGTCGCCAAGTTTGCGCCCTGCAGGTTTCACCTTGAGATCAACTCCGGAAACACCGCCCCTCCCCTCACAGCACGATATATATCAGGCGATGGCCTGCAGCATGCTCCCCAGCGGACGTGGAGCGTCGCCATTCTCGTACTACTCTACTTGCCTGTTTCTCTTGTCCTGTCGTTCGCCGTAATACGTCGTCATGAACGCCCTCTTTCTCATTGTTATTGGATCGCTGTGCGGTCTTGCTAATGCCCTCACGATTCCTCTCTCCGCACGCGAGCCGCACTTCGATGCTCGGTCCCGTCACCTCCCAATGAGGCTGGTTGGGATGCAAAGTATCAGCCAGACAAGTAATGACGATGTGATCAACTTCTATGACACTGTGGTAAGTTATATCGTACACACTTTGGCCTATCCAGGACTAATGAAACTGTGATTACAGTACGCGACGAATATGACTATTGGTGGCCAAGGTACGTTTAATGGATTGCTTCCGTACATTGTTATCGACAGTCGAATTCTATAGATCTGCTCATTCAACTGGACACCGGATCATCCGATCTCTGGGTGTCGCTGCCATCCGGCCAGTTTGAGTTCACCAACGTCACGGACATCACGGCACAAGAGACATACGGGATTGGCGCAGTCACCGGCACGATTGTCTTCGCCAACGCGTCTCTGGGTGATCACTTTGTCTACAACCAAGGTACATACTTCCTCGCCTGTCGTCTCAGCTCTCACACTGACCTCCGTCTCCAGCCTTCATCAACGCCACGAACGTGAGTTTCGGCGCGGATGATCTCCTCTACAGACAACCTGACCCTATATGACAGGCCACGGACTTCGGTACGATCTTCGGAGACAACGTGCGCGGTATCCTCGGTCTGTCCTTCGATGCAGGCTCCACCGTCGACGTCGACGTCGTCGAGGCCTTCGGTGCCAACTCCACCGCAGGCGTCTCCTTCCTCGTCAACCTCTTCCTGCAGAACCCAAACATGTCGCACTTCTTCACCACGCAGCTCGGGCGTACAGACGATCCGCAGTACACTATGGAGGGCTTCTTCACCATAGGGGACTACGTCCCGGGGCTCGAGGCGGTCGCGCAGCAGCCGCAACTAGAGCGCTTCCCGAATAGCAGCCCGACCGGGAACCCGCCGCGGTGGTCGACGGTGATGAGCGGCATGACGGTCAACGGCGAGCCGTTCGCGTTCAATGCGTCCGGCGTCCCGGGTACCCCGAATGGCTCGGTCGTCGCGGTACTCGATACGGGCTTCACGTTCCCGCCCATCCCGGAGGAGGCGGTGACGTTCATCTACGGCAGCATCGAAGGCGCGTACTTTGACAACAACAGCAGTTTGTGGATTGTGCCGTGCGAGAATGCGACGCAGCTGGAGTTCCAGTTTGAGTAAGTGTCGAATTCGCTTTGAAAGCTTGGCCCGACTGAACGAGTTCACCATCCAATCAGGAATATGTCTGTGCCTATTCACCCTCTGGATCTTACAACGGTGGTCGAATTGAACAACCAGACCGTCTGCGTGAACACCTTCCGGTGAGCAATCGTCAGCGCTGGTCTCTCGTATTCTCATATGTTGATTTCTCGACCACAGTGCAACGACCTTCCCTGTCAATGACCAGTTTGACATCATTCTAGGTGATGCTTTCCTCAAGAACGTCTATGCATCGTAAGCTTCTGTCCAACTCTATCATGACGGCATACTGAACTAGCATCGACAGTTTCAACTACGGCAACTGGTCCGCCTCCGACCCTGACGCTATCCCATACATTCAGCTGCTTCCCACCACGAACCTGACCGCCGCCTTCGACGAGTTCGCGCAAGTCCGCTCCTCCATGGTCACCTCCGCCGAGGCTTCCGCTTCGATGTCCGCAACGGCGTCCATCATGCCTTCTGCCGCTTCTGGATCGTCCGATTCCGTGCTTCCGACGACTAGCGTACTTTACTCCTCGGCGTGGTCGACCTACCCGGCTTCGTCGGCTTGGGCAAGCTACTCATCCGCTTCTTCTGCGTCTTTCACGTGGTCCAGCGCAGCGCCGACTGCTTCGGCGTCCGCAGACTCCAACTCCAGTTCGACCAACACGTCAGCGAGCACAACCACAGATCCCACGGACCCATCTGCGAACTCGACAGATACGTCCGCAAGCGCAACGGAGAGCGCCGCAGATTCCGAGTTCACTATCACCACGACGGTCCCCGGCCCGTCCATGCTCGCAGCCGCGATGCCATCGACGTCAGCTGGGCAACTCTCTGCAGCTGACATGTCCTCTCAAGCGGCACTGAACTCTCGCCGCCGCCGGCACTATCATCGCTCCGTGATAGAGCCCTCACGGACGGTGACAGATTGCCTCGCGCCCCTGATCGAGCACTACGGCGCCATACTATTCGCGTTGCTTGGCGGGTCCTTCATCATCTCACTCGCGCTGTGCATCGTCTCTGTCGTGATAGCCATGCGCAACCACGCCCGGGGCCAGGCACGCCGGAGGGCTGTGTATTCTGTGATGGAAGCAAAGACGGAGACGGAGACGGATCCCGAGGGCGCGGACGTCCTCTCGGCGACGTATTATTATAATCCATGACGACTATTGAGTGTTCATTGAGTGTCCACGATCGCATTATCTCACGAGGGAACCGAGTTGTTCTGACGGACTTCGCTTAAATTTAATCAACTTATTGCTGTGGTGATGCCACCGCTGTCGTTACTTCCTGTTGCATTTGCGCGTATGGTATACCTATGCGACGATCAATTGGCCCTGATACGAGACTGCGGTCAAAATCAGAACAGAAATCGAACAAAGGAATCACCAGGAGGAACATCTAGACTTGAAACCCGAGATTGAAACGGTATGGAACAAGAACATAGAAAATTCGAACAAGAAAATCAGAATAACTGATGCCAATATATTGGAATGAATAAAAACAAAGCGAGTGCGAAGCGCGAAGCGACGTGTATATACATACATGGAATAGAAAAAGAGAGAGGCTACATGATGCCTACAATACACTGCCTTTTAACTCGACATATACATACAGCCAAACCAGCTAGGAAGCGAGCAGGGATGCTAATGTCGACAACGGGAATGATGGGCGAATGATGATCAGAACGGTAGTCCATGAGACAGATGACAGATGCGAGTCGATACACGGCACGAGAGAGAGGACAAGAGACGATATTTATTGCCTAATACACAAGGACCATAAGAACACAAGAGGAAAAAAACGTAAGTCCAGGATCTACGCGCACGCCAAGGTTACCATGCCCGAGCCTTCCTCGACGTAGACCGCTTTTCCATATCGCGTGCGCGCGTACGCTGCTTCCGAGCGGTTGTCATCATCTCCCTGGCAACAGGAGACAACTCCGACGACGAAGCGGGTGATGGAGCTTCGTCTGCGTAGCGCTGCTCAAAGATGGAACGGGTATGCAGCGGTGTCGCCGGCGTCGTACTGCTGCGCTTGCGTGTTCGCACCGGGATGCTCTTTGGGGACAACACAATACTTGTGCTGTTCTCCTTGTCGTCCTTATTGCGCGCCGGGCGACCGAGAGAAGACTGATGGCTTGATGACTGGGAAATGGGACCATTGAGCGCATTCGAAATGGAATTGGCGCGCGAACGAGGTCTCCGCTTCCGTGCACCGACAGGATGTCCGGCTTTGAGGCGTGGTATATTAGACTTGGCTTGACGGGAAGAACCGCTCAACGAGGCTTTGAGCTCGTTATCGTATAGTTGGGCATGTAGATCGGATAATAGGTCGCTCTGAGAGGAATTAAGAAGGTCGGAAAGTAGGTCGTTCTGAGAAATGTTGAGACGATTCTGTCTCCGTGGACGAGGCCCGCGGACAACTCTATCGGGTAGTTCTGCCGCACTATCGTCGGCAGTGGAGTAATGGGAGGCCGTTCGTGAGCGCGTCAGGGCATCACTATCTTGTGGAGCGTCACTGTACTGAGTATCAGGGGCATGAGAACTCGCATTGCTGTGTGACCGTGACAATGACGTAGATTGCGTGGGGGCAGGGAACGGAACGCCAGTGAGACTGGCTTGCGCAGCAGGGAAGTTCACAGCAGACGGCGTCTTGGCCGGTGGTGGGGAAGGAGGAAGACGCGACGTCGAGGCCTCGAGGGGAGAAGGTGTGGTATCAACGGAAGAGGACGAAGAAGGATCGTGGTTCTCCATAGTGCCCGTGCTATAGCGCTTGAGCATGTTCGCATGCAACTGCATCACGTTCATAGGCCGCTCGCGCAGCATTTTGCGCCGGTCAGTCAGGAAGCCAAACACATCCGACGCTCGTGGGGGCGTCTTAGGATCGTGTGTCGAGTCCGACCAAGACGTAGGACGACTGCCGCTCGCGACGCCACTAACTTCGCCATTCAGGGAAGAGAACTCCGGACGGCGCAGAGATGTTTCATGAGAGTGGTCATGAGTCATGCTCTGTGCGATCTGTCGGCTAGATGCATCAAGCGATAGTGACAAAGCGGTGTCGGCCTCTGGGGGCGTTTTGAGCGGCAAAGAGTCTGTAGACGACGAGGCATCTTCCACCTCCGCTTCCCTGAAAAGGTATCATTGAATCAATGCTATGCAACAGTAACGATGAAGACAGTGGACGCACTGCAGGAACTGCTCGGCCCAGGTAATGTCCTCCTGCGACTGCACCGGATCGCCCAGAAGTTGCCGCAGCGTCGATCCCGAACGACGTACCGATCCGCGATTATCGTAATTAGAGGGCGGAGTGTTCGAGAACGCCTTTGCATCGAGGCGGCCCTCGTGGTCATAGAGCGACAACAGACTTGCGACCGAAGGATCTCGGCGAAGCGCGTGCAGGCGACCTTGATCCACGGGCGTTTCTGGAAATTGCCTCATTCGACTCCGTTGCGAATCGAAGCGTGAACTGCTGGGTGTGGCGGGAGGACTGGAACCATGAGGAGAAAAGCGGGGGTTCGCATTGGGGAACTCTGTGCGGGAGTGCAGCGTCCGCTCGTGTACTCTGACACTGTACGTATTACTACGCTGTAGGGTAATGGTCGAGCGGCCGATGGTTCGCTGAGGAGCAAAGTCGTTCATGGGATTGCCTGACGATGACACGTGTGAGTTGCTGAAGGGGCAGACAGTGAAGTACAGAACGTACGCAACGATGGGAGGTCCGAATAGTCTGCCTCTGCGACCATAGCATAGCGCGCCGACGTCGACCGCTGGAGTCGATTAGCATTGGCGTCCGACCGTTGCTCCTCCCGCTGCACGATGCGGCCCTCCGCGTCGACCTCCTCCTCCAGGATACCGAGTTCGGAGCTCCTCTTGAGCTTCTTGTTCTTCGACCTGCGGTTTGTGCCCAGAGAGAAAAGCCGCGCAAGGAGTCCCATGTCGTGAACGGTCGTAACGGGCGTGAAGGGAAGGGAGGGGGGAGGTTACCCGACAAAGAGCGCGGTAATGTATAAGTTGAACTCAGATAAAATGCCGCCCGGCACGAGCGCTACACTGCGGACCTGTGCGTGTCACGGGACCGTTCAGAAACCAATGAGTGTGGGGAGTTAACGAGCGATGTATCGCCCCGAACGGTCACATCTTGTACCCGCCGGGCCTCTTCCTCCTCCTGTCTGTCGGCTGCAAGTTCAGGCGATGTCTAGTTGCGCGTCGCTGGCTTTGTTGTGGAGGCGATGGCAAGCGATGCCGTCTTGCATCACCGGCTCGGACGGCCGAGTCAACCCTGAGACAGATATGCGACGTTTGTTTCGAGAAATATTGCAGCGCCGACACAACGCGGAGCAGTGCATTTGAACCTCCGCTGCCTCGTTGCAGCACCGCGTGCCCTGGCTCCGCACCGAGGCGAATCAGGATCCTGGGCAGGCCCGCTCGAGGGTGTGCGAGAAATAGCCGTGAATCCCACTCACCGCAAGTGAGGCTGGAGACCCCGATCGTAACCTCTGTTCGCGAGACGCACTCTAGAGCTGTCAGCGCGGTCCCCCTGCCCTAATCAGGAGATCCGCCGCACGCGGTTGCTAGAGCTGTGGAACATGTCTGTGCGCACGGTTGGGATGCGGACGTGTAGCAGTGGAGAAGCAACGCACCCTGTTTTCGGCTCTGCGTTGAGGCTAGACAGGCGGTTCCGAGCAGCGGTGGCGGGCTTGGATTTTTTATTTGATTTTGGATTAGCCCCCTAATGGTGGGTGGTGAACAGCCAGATGAAAGTAGAGAACAGCCATGCATACAGAGAGTGACCAAGAAGGACGAGAGGCAGTGGATGCAGGATGGAAGGAAGCGGTGTTACGTGGTTGACCCGGCGCGACGCGTAAAACACGCAGGTCACGTGCTGCTAATTAAACGCGGTCACGCCACCTCAACGGACGCCGCTGCGTGTTTTGAGTGCATTGCAACGATCCTTCACACATACGAATGCGTCTACATGAAGTATCTGCTGGTATCGTTTTCTTGGCGGAGTAATGTGCAGCCTGTACAATGAGATGCGCGCGTTTTGCGCGATGCTCGCACAGGTCGCGGAAGTGGCTGAGAGTCAGCCCCCGGGGACTGCCCCCTTCACTTCGCGTCCGAGTGCCCCGGTAACGCAGCTTCGCTCCCATTCCTCCGGGCTAGGACACTATTCACTAAAGCAGTCTCCAAATGTAACATCAGTCACTTTTTGATGCATGGTTCCCCAATCTTCCGCCGCATCATCTGCGGTGTCAACATGCACTGTTGTGCTCCTTACAAAGGTTTCCAGAAGCCCAATATGTACATATATGGCTCTATTCATAAAGTGATTGCTATATTAAAATGATGAGGCAGCTTTTCCGTAGTAGAATAAGGTCGGACGATCACTCGGTGGAAGGCTTTCATTGCTTTGGGAGCTTCTATAGCACGGCATTCCTCCGTTCGCTCCCTACACATCCTATCTCTGGAAAAAAAAACCTGCTGACGGCAGCAACGATTGTGAAGCCTACAACAAATCCCATTCAACTTTACTGTTTTCGACAATGCGCCGTCCAAGTGAGGCCGAAGACAGCTTACTTCGGGATGGGCACATCACCTCCATCTTGCTGCAGCCTATTCTGCAAAGGTACACGAGGTATTCTGGCTGTGATATGCTGACCCAACCGCTGCGCCTCGATTACTGGAGGATGAGATGTTCAATTGTTACTTACCGCCTGGCCTGTCAAACCATCCGCCACTTGAATGCAACGCATTCACGGATTCGTTGTGCTTCTGTGCATCTGGTACATTCAATACTGGCTGTTATGTCAAATTCTTGACAGCGGTCGGCCGCCACAGCGGTCTGCGTCTCCCACACTAGCCTATGCTCGAAACTGATGACGGCCTCACTGCAAAGAGAACTGCCCATGGACTATTTCACAGAATACGTCAACGCACTCTAATTGCGACATTGCACTGTGGCCTCGTCAAAGTCCACTGGGGCGCCACTTTGTCGTGTTCGGTTCATTTGACATGGTCTTTGCGGCAATTAATCGCCGAAAATCAAATTCCTGTTTTCCCCCCAAACTTCGCGGTCTATATGAGCTTCGTATATCAAAGCTCGAAGCCTCGATAATCAATATGAGCCATTAGAGTTTAGGCTATTGATATAGACGAACGCTCTTTCAGATTGCTTCGATACGGGCAAACTCACCTCATTCTAACGTAACTTCAGCAGTTCTGCCACAAATCAAGCGCAGCCAATCGTCAAGGAAGCCCATGCAATGTCTCCCCAAACATGACCGCAGTCTCTTCTTTGGGATTGAGACGCTCAGCAACCTAAATGTCCATCCTTTAGCCACACTGAACATCGCAGCCGTACGCAGCCGTACACGATAAGCAATTGCGCCGCATCCCCATTCCACAACCTTCAGGCCGTCCACATACACTACACGCCCTGCAGTGGCCCCTGTTTCAAAAGCAAGCGCACCCGCATCTTGCAGTTGCCGCTTTGAATCTAGAACGCATTTGGGCCACCGGCAATAAAAGCGCCGGAAGAAAGATGAGCATGATGATGAGCATGACGATGAGCCTGACGATCGCTTCGTCACCGATCATCGTCAGGACGATATATGTGGTTCATTTTGAGGAGATTCCGATCTGTGGAGAAAGCATTGACGGTGTGCTCTATAAACATGAAGGGATAGGCATCGTGGCGGAACGTGCGCATGAGCTTGGCCAGCGTCGGTTCGTGAATACCTAAATCCGAGTCGCGCAGTTGTGCAAAGCCACGAAATCAGCCTCAACATTTGTGACCACGAGATCGCCAACTCTTGGAGGACACATTCAAAGTCAATCGTCGGGAGTAACATATACAAGGAATTGGGGGGGGGGGGGTCGCAGATTTGAAAATACACCACCTTCCTAAACAGCACCAATCTCAATCACGCTGGGAGTGCACTCAGCCCCGTGCTCCTCCCCCTGAGACTACTTTGCTTGGTCCGGCTCGATGAATGCGTGCGCATGCCTGTAGTGAAATCTGCCATCGGTATACTACTAGAGCCGCCATTTACATGACAAATACTTTCCGGATGGGAAGCAAGCGACGCACCTATGCACCGTCGCAGGCAGCCTCGCCCCAACGGGTGCCGGGTCGAGAACCCCAGAGACGTGCAAATGCGACGAGGCCTGCGCAGCCTTTGCTCTGATCGTGCGGCGGACGTTCAGCCTTACTCCAAATCTGTTTAGCCACATATCGAGGCGGATAAGCGTGGACATACGTCGCGAGCAGTGTCGTGATGAATACTGCGCAAAGATCAGTCACATTAGTTTGTCCTGACTGGAAGTTGCACCACTATACTCACTGGATCCTGCGGGGAAGTAGATGGCTGAGGCGACTTCGTTTTTGTAGAGCGTGCTCCAGATCAGCTGCACGGTTCGAAAGTAAGCACGGTTGGTATCGGGTTGAGATATGAGCTCACCGTCCCGACTAAGGCGACTTGCGCCAGACTACGAAGACGGCGGTTTCAGCAAAGTAAGACTATCCCATAGAAAGACTACACACAAGAGGAGAACACCTCGCTGAACGGTGATTGCGATCAACATCGACACCATTGTTTGTGTGCTTCACATTGAAATGAATAATTGACGTTGATCAGGAAAGGTCGCCTCTGGCCTTAGAACACTGGGACTCACGGTCTGAGTCCCGTACCCGATTGACGCAGGATGATGCACAACGATGCTGCGATATACAGATCGGTCACTAAGGAGAAGGCGGCCTCAACCCAAGCAGGTCTCTGTGAATGTTTTAGCATGACCAATCTAGCGCGGAGAATTGATAGCAAGCACAAAATATGCCCATTCGGAGGCTGATATGTCGACTTGGACTTGATTACTAGGAAGGGAAGAATGTCTACGTTTTTGCAAGATTGAGGACAACAACGGCACGCACATTCCAACCACGACACCTATGCTTCCACAAGGAGCGATTAGGAAACACACGGAAGAATAACCGGAACGTACCGATGCCGCCGCCTGAGAAAAAGGAAGGATCAGTGTCGTGCAAAACGGTGAGAGTCAGTAAAATCATACCGAATGATATCAGTGACAGCACGATCTACAGCAATTTTAGTCCTTCATTAAGTAATCACGTTTATACAAACGCTGCCTCGTACCGCAGAAGCCGTGAGTGTTGTACGATAGCGACCCTTGTCCATAACTAGGCGGTTCTAAGCTGAATTGGCTATCGATACCAGTGAGTAGAACACACGCACGTTGCCATATTTTGTAGATGAAGAAGCTGTGGGGTTGTAGTGTGAGCTATTTCCCCGGATCAGTAGGAAAGAAAGTGTACACTTGGACCAAGAGAACAGTGATTGCCTGTGATAGACCTCAAGCGAATAATCGGCAATAGGTTGCGGATATGCTCACTGTAAACAGTTGGCCAACCTGTGGAGCGAGAATTGGCAAATGACATGGGCGATTCAGCATAGAGCAGAGCACGCACCAGAAACGAACTGTGTGCGACCGGTCATGAGGTCAGACAACAATGTCTGCTTCACGCAGTCAATAAAAGCCTCACTTGGAGTAATGCAACAAAGCGAAGATGTCCGCGTGATTTTGGACGAGATACAACCAGAGAATCTGCCCATTCTATGAGAACCGGTGTACGTAAAAATGACGTGAACTGATATACCTGAACGTCCAAAATATTTCTACCCGTCTCGATGAGCCTGCAAAGATATTGTCAAACTCCTGCATTTGCGGCTCTGTGGTTCATCTTCTGCTCACAACAATACAGCGACCTGCAGAATCCGGCATCAGCGCAGAATTGGTGTAGCATCAGTTCCAAACGTACCAAGCCCTTCGTGAACATATCGTCAGCAGTATAGTGGATGTAGTAGAGCATCGCTTGTCCTAAGGCGCAACCGTACAACCTACATGACGATATTTTTGTCTGAAGCTGGAGGTCATGTTGGATGAAGGCACCCACATGAACGCTAAGGCCACGCCGACGACAAACGCGCCAAGGGATTCGTTCAAGTCCGTATCGAATCCAGCGGTCATTGTCTCGTCAGAGGGGGGTGTTAGTGATTAGAGCGGTACGATGCAACTTCGTGTTTGAACGAAGGGGTATATAATTTTCGGGACGGAGCCTGCTGTTTATCAGTCATGTCGTGGTTTACGACGGCTATGACAGCTGGACTTGCCAAGAATTGATTAGTTCTTACGAGCTGCCACGTGTGGGAATGTCAGGCCACTATTGAGCGGGTAGACAAGGACGCGACGATCCATCTGTCAAATACACCCGCATGCCTGCTGAATGGAGGATTCGAGTAACAATGACCGTTGACCAGGCTAAATGACAGAAGTCTCACAACTGTATGGGAGCAAGCGCGTTGATATTGGTTGGAACCATATCCGGGATTCCTTTGTGTGTCATCCGCTTCAAGGCGTGCTGGAGCCTGGCGCAACTTCACGATTTTTCGACAATAGATTGTAGCGTGGTGGCGTCGACCTGAGATCTGCTGCAATGTTTTCCACGAAAATGATACAAGACCTTGGCGATTACGTCAGGTACGATCCGTCATAACTGTCGACCCGCAACAGCTATCCTCGTCGCTTGCCCCGACGTCGAATACTCCGATCTGTCAGTCCTGTAGATGGCCTCATTCAACGGGCACACGCAATGCCTGACTTGTCACTTCGATAATCCTATCGCGGCTGAGCGGTAATCAGTGGCGGAGCACAACGAGAAGGCATGACATACATGTGAGCACATTTGGAATACCTGTTCACCTGCATCACCACGCATTCAGTCTACGATAGGCCGGTCAGGGAGAAATGCATTATAATCTTTACATGCACTGCACTTGGCAGGCACATATTGCCGCAGTAGTAGAGCCTGTGTGGCTGTATGCAATTAGATGATGCTCTGACGGGACCGTGGGTGCGTGTGGCAGAAACACTCTCCAGGAAATTATGTCGAATGATCGCTGTGATATTGATGCGTGTGGTTGAGGGGGGAGAGCCGAAAAACCGTCATACGTTAGTGTGAGGTTATCCGGAAGTCCCTGTACCTTGCGTAAGCTCTGAATAGAAGAGGAAAATCCAGCTAGGATAGCCGTTCTTTTGGTGTGCAGACCGATGTTGTCAAATGACCACCCATCACATCCAGTATATTATCTATTCCATTACGGTTTGAGACATTCCTTCGACGTATTTGGCCGCTCATAAAAAAGCGTCAGAAGCACTAACGCCAGATTCGTGAAAGCAAATGGGAATGTACGAAACAACACGCTTCCGCGTGCTAATGGTCTGGATGGTCGCATTTTCATGCAGGTCAGCGAAAGGGACGGAGTCATCGCAGAGGGATCCCAATTGTTGCCCGCTTACCGAGGATGCCCAACGCTCGTATCGTCCCAATCATGGCAAACACAATTTCTGGCGTACATTCAGCAAGCAGACGGAAGCGAGGACAAACGTCTGACAAAAGCTGAGAACAACGAGTCCTGTTAATTCGTCTTCGCCGCACATTGTCGCGCTCTACCATGAGGCAGACATGAGGGTAGCTGATGGAGAATGGAGGAGAAGGGCAAGGTGGGCGCTGAAATCGAGCGCTTCCAGCACGTGCTTGACGCGCCACGACGCGTCCATTTCTATCAGCCACCGAGCTCACGCGTAAGTTGAAACTTCGCATCGCCATGGCAGATAACGGCCCTTTCAACTTTGATCAGTCGGTATGTTCAATGATAATGCAATCCCCGTCCTGTTGACTCCGCCGACAGGCCGCGCAATCGAGCAGACGTTCAATGCCCACCTCACTGGATGCCGAGCACACAGCCAAGCTCGAGGCGGCTCGCGCGCTGCAGTCAACCTTGGAGAACACACGGCTGCATCTCATCGAGTACCGAGACCAGTTTGATTCCCAACAGAACTCGGGCGAAAGCGAGATAGCGCAGCTCTTCGAGGGCAGAGCGGGCCTCACAGACCCTGCCATCGTCGGGGTTCACAGTGCTGCGCAAATGGTACATTGTGCGTTGACGTCGCTGCGACGCGCCATCTGACAACTCCAGCGCAGACATTCCTCAGGAAGCTCAAGGTACAATATCTAGAGCAGAAGGCGAAAGACCAGTACATCAAGACGATTGTCAGCGATGTTGCACCGAATATCAACGCCGGGGACAACGAGAACCTCCGCTTGGCGAACGAACGGAAGAAAGAAGCGCTTCGGATGGCGAAGTCTCGGCTTGCGGAGAAGGATAGTGATATACGGAAGCTTGCTCCTCTTGTGGAACAAGGTGAGTCTAGTCTACTTCAGCGCATTCAAATCTGAACGCTTGCATCCCTCTCGCAGACTTCAACAAAGCCAAAGCTCTCACCTCCGAAGCAGCAGACCTCGCAAAGAAGATCCTCGATGCGCGGCTGCAGCTCACGCGTTTGCGGCAAGCGTACCCGCATCCGCGGCTTACAGTGCAGTCCGCCAAGACCCGGCTCGACGAGCAGATCACGGAGATGCAGGACCTTGCGGACGAGATGCAGAATATCAATAAGAAGTCAGACCGCGTGAAGAGCGAGGTCAAGGAGGGCGCGCGCGAGGTGGAGCGCCTGCGTGTCGAGCGCGCCGAGCTGGAGAAGCAGGCTCGTGCGGGGGAGAGGGACGTGAAGGACCCAAGGGTGGTTGGGCTATGCAATTGGTGCGTGTCCTCCTATAATTGCTTGTAATCAATCAGTTCATGTTATTACGCCCACAGGTTCAACTCATCCCTGAAGCTACATCGCTCGCTACATTCCCTCGAATCGTACCGCTCTGCCTCCGAGAACGAGTTGCACCTCACCTACTCTATCACGCCCACGAATGCGCCTGGCGCGGCACCACGAAAGGTCCGCTTCATCCTCCTCTTCGTGCCCAACACCTGGCAGCTCGCCGATGTGCAGATCGAGGGACTGGCTGGAGATGCTGGAGATGTCGTCGCCGCGCACATACAGTCGAATGATGTCCCCGGGCTCATTGCTTCTGTACTGTCGAGAGCTAGAGCCGGCTTGTAGCTGGCGAGTATTCTTCGTTGTCCTCCATCGAGACTTTCTTGCAGTTGACCATGTTGTACTGTAGTATTTATGGTCGATTATTTACTTTAGGTACGGATTGAGAGTGCATGTGGTGAGCATACTGCATCTTGTAATTATACAGCAGTCGACAAGTTCTCCTCTAGCTTTGAGCAAATGAAATTGTGGTTTGTTGAGTATACGCAGCCGAAGGAGATCGGTGTCGGATTTTTTGGCTCGATTTGTGGAGAAAATAAAGCATCGTTTACGCTGGCTAGAGAATTGAATATTGAAGGCTCAGTTTGTTATTTCTAACTGATATGCATATGCGATACTGGCTTTTGACCAACCATACGATAAGAGGACAGCCCGGAAAACATTGGACTAAGATCATCACTCATGCGCGTCTTCAGGCTTGCAATCACAATGCGTTTCGTCTCTAGCTGAATAACATACACATAAAACAAATACAGCAGGGAGTGAAGTGGTAAAGTAAAGGCAGGTCCTGGGCATGCTCGACGAAAGCTGCAGTTAATAGCGACATGATCATTATCGTTTCGTGATTAATCTCCAAGTCTATTGTTCAGGGACCGTCTGAAGCGTTCTCATCCATTCCACCACCGTCGGGTGTGCCTTGACCTTCAAAAGAGAATGAGCGCGTCGGATGTGGATGCCAGAGAACATATGCGGCTCGCCTTTTCGCGATCGAACCCGAGCACCCGCAGCGATCGAGGCAGCGCGAGAGAGTGCGACGTACGCTTGCCCTGAGTCGACTTGACCACAGCCATCACCCACTGGCCTCTTGATCAGCTCGTTGTTGATCCCGCCGTCCGCCTTCTCGTCGCTAAACGTCGACTATCCGTTTGCGGACGCTTCAAACGCTCATCACCCATCTCGTGGCCATCTTCCATGTCGGCAGGGTGTTAGGCAGCCTTAGTCACCAATATAAGGAGAGGAAGGAGAGGAAGCCTGCGCACTGGTTTATTTCAAAAAATCATGACATTTGGGTTTTGAACGTTTGAACGACCATGAATATTGATACAATCCACGTGCATTGCTCATTTGTGTCCTGGAGACATCGCAAGGTAGGCCTCCTCAGGCCTCCTCTGTGATATGGAGAATCCGTGAGGCATGACAGCGGCCTGGGGCATCTCCTAATCGAGGCGACACACATACGGTCTGACAGGTGCGAATTGAAGCAGACCTTTATACCTCCTGACCTTCCTCCCTCAGAGACGGAGGTATTTTATTGTCTGCCCACATAGGGAACAATGTCGGCAACCACCACAACTCCTTCACGCCCTCCAGACAGGCGCCGGCACCGCCCTCTGCTGCGAAGAGTCCCGTCACCGGCCCTCCTCGCGTCCGCACCTCTTTTCAGAAACCCGTCCGCAAACACTCTCTGCCAGCGCCGTCGGTCTCCAAGACAATCGATTGCGTCCCATTTGCCCCCAACCGTTCCAACGTCGGTGACACCGTGCTAATGGCAGGCATCTCCCCCTTCCTCGCTCATCGCGGGCCAACACCGCTAATCTGAACGACCTCTTCCCTACCCAGCGTACCGTCATGACATCGGGCAAATCGAAGAAGGGCATGTTCAACTTCATGTCCAATTTTCTCAAAAGCTCAAAGCGACCAGAGATCAGCACACCGTATGACCCAGTACACCTCAATCACGTTGTCTTCAACTCGTTCACGCGCGAGTTCACGGGTATGCCCAAGGAATGGCAGCGGCTCCTCCAGGAGAGCGATATCTCCAAGAGCGAGCAGGAGAGGAACCCGCAGTCGGTCGTGGAGATTATCAGGTCCTACCAGGAGGGCCGCGGTGACACGTCCGTCTTCGACGAGATGGGCGCTGTACTTGCTCCTCCGCCTGTGCCACCAGCTTCGACGGAAAGGGTACATCGATGATGGCTTTGACCGTCCAGTGAGTTGTGTCTCTAGTCTCATATTACTTGTAATTAATCAGTTCATGTTATTACGCCCACAGGTTCAACTCATCCCTGAAGCTACATCGCTCGCTGCATTCCCTCCAACCATACCCCTCTGCTTCCGAGAATGAGTTACACCTAAGCCCATCTGCTCTATCACGCCCACGAATGCGCCTGGCGCGGCGCCGCGAAAGATCCGCTTCCTTCTCCTCTTCGTGCCCAACACCTGGCAGCCCGCCGATGTGCAGATCGAGGGGCTGCCTGGAGATGCTGGAGATGTCGTTGTCGTGCACATACAGTCGAATGATGTTCCCGGACTCATTGCTTCCGTGCTGTCGAGAGCCAGGGCTGGCTTGTAACCGACGAGCGTTCTTCATTGTCCTCACTCTTGCATTTGACCGTGTTGTACTGTAGTATTTGTGGCCAATTGTGTACTTTGGGCACAGATTGAGAGCGCACGTAGTGAGCATGCTGCATGTTGTAACCGTACGACAGTTGACAAGTGTTCCTCTCCATGAGCAAATGGAATTGTGATGTTGCGTATATGCAGCCAAAGGAGATCGGTGATGTGTTTCGGCTCGAGCAGTATGCGTTGGACTAAGACCATCACTCATGCGCGTCTTCAGGCCTGCAATCATGATGCGTTTCGTCTCTAGCTGAATAACATACACATAAAACAAATACAGCAGGGAGTGAAGTAGTAAAGGAAAGGCAGGTCCTAGGTATGCTTGACGAACGCTACAGTTGATAGCGACATGATCATTATCGTTTCGTGATTCTCTAAGTCTATTGATCAGGGACCGTCTGAAGCGTCCTCGTCCATTCGACCACCGTCGGGTGTGCCTTGACCTTAAAAAGAGAATGAGCTCATCGGGTGTGGATGCCAGAGAACATATGCGGCTCACCTTTGCGGGGTCGAACCCGAGCACCTGCAGACCATCAAGCGAGGTAGCACGGGAGAGCGCGACGTACGCTTGCCCTGAGTGAGAGGTATACACGTTCAGACGATGCAACGCCGGAACAGACACCAGTCCCACCTTTCTCAAATATCCGCCGCAAATCAACCTTGACCCGCTCAAGCGTCTGGCCCTGCGACTTGTGTATGGATATCGCCCACGCTAGGATCAACGGCAGCTATACCATGACGCATACCCAGCTTCCCATCGTGTCATCGCAATCATCCAAAACTCATGCACTCACCTGCGTCCTGCTAACCTGCACCTCCCCATTCGGCAGCTCGACCTTGAACACCTCCGGCTGAATAAGCACGCGCCGCCTCCTCCCACCGGGCTGCAAGAAGTCCACCACGGGCATCAACCTGCCGTTACTCGCAGGGCGCTTGGTCTCCTTGCCCGCCTTCGATGCAGGCTTGGACGAGGCGGCCGCTCGGTCGCCCGGGTTCTGATCGACGTCGAGCAGCGCGTTCATGTCGGACGGGTCGACGAAACTGATGACCTTGCCCATCGAGCCATTGACGAGCGTCTCGTCGAGGTTCTTGATAAGCATGACCTACGCCATCGAGCATGCAGTTCAACGTATAGACTGCGAAGCTGTGCGGACGTTACCTGTGCGCCAACCTTCAGCTCGAGGTGTTGCGCTGCCATGAAGTTGCCTAGCATCTTCTCCCGCTGATTTTCGTCCGTGATCGAGCCACCATCATACGCTACGAAGCGCTGTATCGTCCCCTGGATCCCGGCCATCCTCGTCTGGTTGGACCGCTCGACGTCTTCGCGCCGCGGGAAGCTGGAAAGTCCATGAGATGCCATGAATCATCAACTAACAAACAGCGAGACATACAGCTCTGTTGCGCCAAGACCATCTTCGTAGACAATGTCCCTCTCCAGGCTCTTGAACTTCTGGATAGAATTCGTAGACAATCGCCCAAATCGCATCTCGTTCAGCATGTCGACGAATTCTGTGGCATCGACAATCGTCAGATGGCGCTCTGTTCTTTGGTTGCTGAGGAAGACGATCACCTTGGTCGCGTTGACGGAAAACCTTCGTGAGGTTAAAGGTATTCTTGACAGTCTCGCCCCACAGCTCAGCCTCGAAGGCAAATTTGACCTTCGCATTCTTTGCGACAGGAGGTAGCTGGAAGAAATCTCCGGTGACGATGACCTGATGCGCGACGCAATGATCAACAGGCATGTTGGCGAAGGTGGTTGGGCAACTATTCACCTGAATGCCACCAAACGGTTGTTGTGCCTTCCCGCGCAAGTTACTTCCGATCTGCGCCAGCTTATCAAACAGCTCCCCTTCCACCATTGAGACTAAACCGAAGAATTTGCGTAAGCATCTTCGAGTTGATATAACTCAAGGAAGTCTTACCCTCATCGATGATGAGAACTTGCGTACGAAGCCAGCGAGACATGGCCTTCTTATTTCTCTTGATCTTATTCGTGAGATGTTCAGCCGACTCGCGGCCCAGTCCGATTCCCGCGAATGAGTGGATCGTTACGCCTCCGATATTACACGCAGCGATACCTGCGTGTATATGCGCCCTGAGAACATTTCGAGGAGCTGGCAGAGCGCACGTACCCGTGGATGCGGTGACGGCCACAGCATCTGGCGACCGTATATATTTTTGACGTAAAGCTTTGATTATCTCGCGCAAAAGCACAGATTTTCCGGTACCTAGAAAGCCACGTTATCATACATATCTCGGGTTCAGCTTCAACGCGCATATAGCCACTCACCTGCACTACCAGTATAAAACAAGCTCTCCCCAAACTTCACAAGCTGTAAAATATGAATCTGCTCTGGACTCAGGAAGATTGCCGTCGGATCCGATGCCGCACTTGTGGACGAGGACGACGTAGGCACGACCAACGCCTGGGGTGTCCGCGACACATCTATCACGCGTCCGGCAAACTGCGCCTTTCTCGAGCCATGATCTGACTGATCCCAGCTCGGTGGGAGTTGCCGTCGCTTGGCTGGCGGATCCTGCGAGGACGAGGATCGTTTCTGTAGTGGGTTGCCACGCAGATTCTGCGACGACGTGAGCACCTTCTCCGAGGAGTCGATATTGCCATTGAGTGCATCTTGGATGTCCTTCAAGCGCTTCTCAAGGCCAGAAAGTTGCTTTTGAGGTGGCGAAGGCATCCATGGGATGGTGGTCGCGTCTGAGTCGCTGATGCATGAGTCCTGGCTTGCTGAGGGGAGCTTGCTCGAGGAGAAATCGCGCTTGATGGACCGCAGCCCTGACATCGTCTGTTTCGCTGGTTGCGTCATATAGCTGTACTTCTATCAAGAAATCCTGAGTTCTAGTAGTCTTGAATCTTGTGCATGCGGTGATTTGGGAGAGCAAGAGAAGGATTTCGCGCCGAACGCATTACTAGCGGGCGCGGTCACGTGGCCGTCGCGTCGGTTGATGCTGATAGGCGCCCATTGCACGCCCCGCACAAACTCAGTGCCACAGCGCATTGTGGGGAGCGTCTAAAGGTCGCTTAGCCTGGTCTTTTCTTGCATTCAAGTCTTCGAGAAAGCAATACAATGTACTAGGACTTTTTTAAAAAAATTAGCACCTGTTCAACTGCTGAAGCTGCTGCTGCTCTTGCTACCTTCGAAGAGTTAGTAACGCACGCCATGAGTAGGCCGTTCAAGGACTGGGCCTGATGCCAAACATCTGGAGTTAAGATATGCCTAAAAGCACCGTGACGGTCATTACACACTTCTGTGAGAGTTTCTCCGACTTGGAAGGCCCACGCAATTGATGCGACGGGATCATAACTACCAGTAGGGCAGCTTGAAGCTCGACTGATAGGTTCCTTCATGTGGGGATCGGCATACCCGTTACATAACTCTGTCTCCGAAGTCGAACGTGTCTGTGAGATCTCTGGGAACCGTTTGTGTCGAGGTTATCTTTCCCTTTGTTTCCGGCATCGCTTCATTGTATTGCGTGTCATTCGTGGCTGATGCGACCTATTCAGCGTCGACATCATTTTGGACGTTGGCTTGCAACCGAAGTGAACATCGTTGTCCCGCCAGGACAATGAGGCTGCTCGTATTTGGGGGACGCCTCCCACCGCCACAGCGACGCGTCACGAAACGCGCAGCGCGAGTCACAGGGCGATGTCACGCTAATTTCGAATGGGGAGAGAAAATTGATGGCGAGATGTTACGGGGTTCCATCACCAGAGGTCGTCCATCATCGCGGATGGCTGCCATGGAAGAGCACGACGTTGACAGAACATGCCCGGTCGCTGTGCACGTCGAGAGCGAAACGGAGAATTGTTTCATTGTCGATTGGAGTCGCTATGGCCGGATTGGGCAGTAGCGTCGGCTAACAGATCGATAGACTGCTTAAAGCTTGTCGCCAACGTTGCCGTTCACGTCGACGCTGCCACGCACATTGTGCTCGCGGAATATCTACTCGACGTGGTCGCTGGCGTTGCTGCAGTGCTCACTATAGAGCCCGGCGACGAAGCCACTGGAATTGTAAACGCACGTGTGGAGATCCCGATAGCGGACCATTAAAGGGAGAATCTTGACCACAGCCATCACCCACTGGCCTCTTGATCAGCTCGTCGTTGAGCCCGCCGTCCGCCTTCTCGTCGCTAAACGTCGACTATCCGTTTACGGACACTTCAACCGCTCATCACCCATCTCGTCGCCATCTTCCATGTCGGCAACGTCGCAAAGCGCACGGCAGTTCCCCACCTCGCAGCCCAGCCGCAACTCTGAGATCAGCGTCGAATATTACCGCGCGAGCCGAGCGTCCATCCAAAACTACTCCGAGCTCATTGCTGCCTCCGACCTCCACGCTGCTGTCGGCAACCACCACGACTCCTTCACGCCCTCCAGACAGGCGCCCGCACCGCCCTCTGCTGCGAAGAGTCCCGTCACCGGCCCTCCTCGCGTCCGCAACTCTTTTCAGAAACCCGTCCGCAAACACTCTCTGCCAGCGCCGTCGGTCTCCAAGACAATCGGTCGCGACCCATTCGCTCCCAACCGTTCCAACATCGGTGATACCGTGCTCATGGCAGGCATTTCTCCCCCTCCTCGCCCATCGCGGGCCAACACCGCCAATCTGAACGACCTCTTCCCTACCCAGCGCACCCTTGCCAGCCATCGCCTTTCCGATCCCATCAGTCTCCCTCCAGACACCATCTTCTATATCGACGACCAGCAGCAGACGCCGCAGCACATCCAGTCACAGCCGCTGCTCACGCAGGAGCCATTGGATATGGGCGGTGTGCAGGAGCAGCTCTCGTATTCGACTTCCACACTTGTTCCCAGCACGCCCCAGAACGGGGGCACGGTACGTAGCCGGAGCGGGACGACGTCGGGCAAATCGAAGAAGGGCATGTTCAACTTCATGTCCGATTTTCTCAACAGCTCAAAGCGACCAGAGATCAGCACACCGTATGACCCAGTACACCTCACCCATGTTGGCTTCAACTCGTCCACGGGCGAGTTCACGGGTCTGCCCAAGGAATGGCAGCAGCTCCTCCAGGAGAGCGGTATCTCCAAGCTCGAGCAGGAGAAGAACCCCCAGGCGGTCATGGAGATCGTTAAGTTCTACCAGGAGGGCCGCGGTGACACGTCCGTCTGGGACAAGATGGGCGCTGTATCTGCTCCTCCGCCTGTGCCACCAGCTTCGACGAAAGGGTACAGCGATGACGGCTTTGACCGTCCAGTGAGTTGTATCTCTAGTCTCGTTAGCCTACATATATTGACAGATAGCAGCGTGTTGCACCTCCCCCGCCAAAGAAGTCATCATCTGCCCCGACGCCATCCACGCCTAGTCCTCACCGCGCTGCTCCCTCCCCTCCTACGCCGCTCACACCGGCGCTCGACCGGTCGACCTCCACGCGGCTCCCTCCTTCCAAACCCCACAAGACCAATGAGAGTCTCGCGCGCGCCAACACCACGCGTGCCTCGCGCTCTCCCGCTTCGAGCCAACAGACGCCACCACCGCCTGTGGCCCTTCCACCTAAGGCCGCCAAGTCTTCGTCCGGCACGTCCGGCACAGACCTGCATGCTTCGCCGTCGATGCGGGAGCGAGGCGATGGACGCTCTCCCACCCAGCAGCAGCAGAGTCCGGCCGCGCAGAGCCTGCAGAAGGTGGCGGCGGCGACACCGCGGCGGAGGGAGAAGAAGGAAAAGGACAAGGACAAAGAGGCGGACATTGTCAAGCGGCTGCAGGCAATATGCACAGATGCGGACCCCACACGTCTGTACCGTAGTCTGGTGAAGATCGGTGCAGGGTGAGTCTTTGATTGCAGTGCGTCGTTATATGCGCATTCTGACAGGTTGCCATGGTCCAGCGCATCCGGCGGTGTGTATACTGCATATCAGGTCGGGACGAACGTGTCCGTCGCGATCAAGCAGATGGACCTGGACAAGCAGCCAAAGAAGGATCTTATCATCAACGAGATTCTTGTCATGCGGGCATCGCGACACCCGAACATTGTGAACTACATCGACTCGTTCTTGCATAAGAACGAGCTGTGGGTCGTAATGGAGTACATGGAGGGTGGCTCGTTGACGGACGTCGTTACCGCAAACTTGATGTCCGAGGGCCAGATTGCGGCCGTCTCACGCGAGACGGCGCAGGGACTTGAGCATCTCCATCGACATGGTGTCATCCACCGGGATATCAAGAGCGATAACGTGTTGCTCAGTATGAACGGGGACATCAAGCTGAGTGCGTATACGGAAACGCCAGGTGTATGCGATGGTTGAAGTGACGTCTCTGAATTGACAGCTGACTTCGGGTTCTGCGCTCAAATCTCGGATGCAAACTCGAAGCGGACAACCATGGTCGGTACGCCATATTGGATGGCCCCGGAGGTTGTCACTCGCAAGGAGTATGGCCCGAAGGTTGACATCTGGAGTTTGGGGATCATGGCGATCGGTGAGCTACTTTACTTCCTCATTTTAGTGTAAGTGACCATGTGCTCATAATTGATTGTCAGAAATGATTGAGGGAGAACCTCCATACTTGAACCAAAATCCTCTAAAGGCTTTGTATCTGATTGCGACGAATGGGACGCCGACAATTGCGAACCCGGAAGCACTGTCGTCTGTGTTCCGCGACTACCTCGCTAAGACATTGGAGGTTGATGCCGAGAAGCGACCCACGGCCTCCGAGATTCTACAAGTAAGCCCTTATGTTACTTTGTACATTCGACGGAGATCTCAACCGGTAACGCTGCAGCATCCATTCTTCAAGCTATCTGAGCCTTTGCGGACATTGGCGCCGCTCATCAAAGCTGCTCGGGAAATCGCAAAGTCTAAGTAGAGAACACAAACCTCTTTGCGTTCTGTTGTCATTTCCTCCTCATCACCATGTTATGTCGTGCATCGATCTACGCTCAATTCTCCGGATCTCTCTCAGTCGTTGTCCTTTGGTAACACAGAAACTCATATGTTGTTCTACGTACGAGAGTCGTAGGCCGTTTAGCAGCAATACGCTCTGACGGCGTACGGTACGTCGGTGTCCAGGGTTTTATGGCTTGTATTCATACATGATACGCACCGTCCGTGGTTTATACCCGTGACTAGTAATACCTGTCTTGCATCTTCTGCTCGTGGCGTGAAAGGCGTCGCTGCAGCTCTAGAAACGAAGTTGTACAGGCATTTACTTTCTGCCGTTGTTGCTTCAGGTTCATCATAAGTTATATGCATTACTTCTGTGATAGGATGGACGGTAGCTCGAAAACTAATCTACATTCTTAAAGCACAACGAAGCCAGATACAGAAATGCAAAAAATAGAGTGTCCCATCCACAGACCAGATCAATGCGACGGAGATGAAACAGATCAGGAACAGATAGATCAAAAGTATGGACCCCAGCCTGATCCTGCAATTGAGCAATTTCACGGGCGGTAATAGAGGTAGACGCACCTTGATACATCTGAGCAAGATTGCCTGGGTCAGTAGCCTCGGAGATTAACTCATTCACCGTATATTCAACGCTGAGGGTCTTGTCCAATTTGCGGCTGACAGCCGAAAGCGCGCGGTCAGCTGCTTCGTGCGCAGTACCGCTGGCTAGATCAATCCCGATAGCGTAGCGGAATGCTTCGTCAGTCAATCGCGAAGCAGCTTCGCTGGTAGAGCCCTGGACACGCTTGACTTTTAATTCGCTCGCCGTCCTGGGGTTTCATACAGAAATGAGCATAGTCCATAGGTAGTGTAGCAGAGCACGCACCAAGAGTGCAAAGGGTCATATTTGAAGACTTCCAGAACAGTCAAGATGACCTCCGACTGATCGCGCAGTACTCGCAGGGTCTCTTCGGCGCATCTATGAAAAACGCCTTGCGTTCCTGAGATACCCAGACCATCCACCATGTCAGCTGTGAGACGGAAGGGCACCCGCTCGGGGACCGGTAACAGTTTCCCCTGAACGCATGATGAGTATGTAGTCCCGGATTGACCGTGTACGCACTGACCTGCTCAAACGCAATTCCGAGATCAATGTGCACAACTTCTCCAGTGATATTGTCCAACAGAATATTGGAGGTGTGCCTATCTCCCAGTCCGAGAACGTGTCCAACAATGGACGTGGCAGCCACGCTGCGAGCGTACTTCAAGCGCATTGCGAACCAGCGCGTTGGGGACTTGTGTCTTTCTCTGAAGTAATGCCTCATCACAGGCTTGAAGCGCTTGCGCAGCTCAAGGAACAACTGCAGTAAGGGTCCGCGCTCGTGCTTGCATTCAGCGTGTTTCTTAGACAATTGTTCGAGCACCTCATTAGGGTGCAGGTCTTTCGGTCTGTAGCTGTTGAGAAGGATGCGTGAGAATTGGCACCAGTGGGAAGGCAACGCGAGCTTCACACTATGTGCGCACGGTTCAACCATATAGCTAGAGGTGTAGTGTCTTGGACAAACTCCAGCACGCCTGCTTGAGCAGCAAGCGGGATAACCTTGTAACCTCGAATTCCCAGGTCCCGCTTTCTCGTTTCACGATCGCGGCGCAGGATGACATTCACCAAATCAAATACTTGTTCCATGACAGCATCTTGCCGTAGATCGTCACCACCTTCTCCCTTGAACTGTGGAATGCTTAGCCGTTTTATGGCGCAACAGAGACATTCTTACTCACCAACTGCTTATACTTTTTGCCGTCGCTTCCGACGCAAACCGAAATCTTGGGTAGATTGACACCTCCAGCAGTAGTATAGGTGGACTCATAGTGGCTGATCCATATACAATCCTTGTATTCCGTCGTCCGGTCGACAGGTGTACGGATGGTTGTGACTGGCACGCGGATAGACTGAAGTTGCAGTATGGGCTGATCGTCCGGTATGCGCAAAGAAGCCTTGGACTTTTTCTTCTGGCTATCTTTGATAGGAAATTTTGCCCACTGAAGGGATGCGTTGAACACTTTCTCCACGTCTCGTACGCAATCTCGCCTTGATGAATCATTGCGCAGACGATCAAGTATTTCTACCGCAGCGGCAGCTCTCTCTGCTCGAGCCGAGGGAGAATCATGGCGTCCAGATTGTCTTCTAGCAGATGCACCATTCTGAGTGTCGACTTGCTCTGACACAAGACAGAATACTTGATACAAGCTATGGAACGGATGCTCCTGACACATCCGGGCTAGCAGCTTCTGGAGATATTCCTGGTTGAAGGAGGTTTCCGGTAGTATCTTCGATAATCGGGCGGTTAGCTGATGGGCCAAGAAGAGGAATTTATGGGAGGGGACACGATCTAGGGCTGCATCGATTGCCAACGCCGCGTTTGACTCTTCAAAGTTCGCAAACCATAATGAGCACAGTCTGATCACGCAATCGTCGTCGAACATATCGGTAGCATTAAGACAGCGTGAATGCATGTCAATTGCCAACGCAAGGAATGACTCTCGCGAGCGATTGTGATCTGCGAATTTTGCTTCGTCCTGCTTCAATAATTGTGTGGCTTTATTGTACGCTCTTGTGGACTCTTGGTGTTCTTTTGTACCGACTTGAGTTTTCCTGATCTGATATGCACGTTGCTTGATTTCCTCCTTCTTACGATCCACGTATACCCTCCACCTGAGAGCATCCGGAGAGTTCGCTATTGAGTGATACTGCCGCTCCGCGAATATGGCGTACTCATGTAGGATTTCGCCATCGGCTGGTTTCGGATATTGATCCTGACTGTCAAGTAACAAGCTCAAAGCTGCGTCGAAGTAACGGGTCCTGATATCCTCTGGTTTCTCGAGGGAAGCCTCAAACGTCCAAGTACCCTGAAATTTAATGAGCCGACAAGTCGACACCAGTAGTGTTATTACATACCATACGGGAGAGGAGCTTTGCTCTGTGTTGCTTGTCGTGCAAGGCCCGCAGCGAGGTATCAGGGAGTGTGGCTACTAGCAGATTAGCTAGAGATTGCACCGCCACTTTTGGTTCTCCCATTAGCCATAAAACGTTGGCAAACTCAAGGGAGACGTCCGAGTCAGCGTGGCTTCCAAGTGCCTGTGCTTTCATCACTGCATTGAGAGAGATCTGGGAGACATTTGCGTCGCGTGCTAGCTCAGATAAGCGAAGGAGACACCTCCTCTCGATGCTAACGAGACAGCGACAAAATGATGACAACAGATTCCCGATCTGTTCGCGCTGTTCCTTCTGCCTAGCAGCGGTTAGCAAGGAGGCGCGTGTTGCGATTATACCCTCCGCATCATCGAAACTAACACGACCAATTGTCAGTTGTGTGCCTCGGAAATGACATGAAGGAATGCGCTCACTCGAATCCGTCATCCAAGTTAGCAAGCACATCCCATTCGTTCTCGTCCTCGATCTTGGCGAGCAATAAAGTCTGTATTGGTTGCTGCCTCCATTGCCTGATCTGCCTCAGACACATGATATTCCGGACGGTTTGCCGCACCCCGGACAAATTCTCGTTTCCAAGGCCTCGCAGTTGTTGAAGCTCATCTGTCAATGCTTGACGAACGACACGGTCGATTACGTTCGTGTCGCGTTCGCGATGTATGGCTCTCAAAGCGAAGTAGAGCGGGGTCCCGGGGTTACACCCCGCTTTCTGTTGCGGAAGATCCCACGTTTCTGTTCGCCAGCCGAGATGGTACATCATGGAAGGCACATGGCCACCCCCTTCTGATGCTGAAGAGGTCTGCACCACCGACGTCATAGCGAGACGGTCAAACCCGAAAGCATGCATAGCCTGTGTGATTCCCTGAGCATCATCTGCACTATGAGGTTTTGCCTCCAGTGCCGCTCCGTGAAAGCGGAAAGCTTTGTCCCATTGCCGCTCGTGGTGCAGTCGCTTTACGAGAAAATGGTTCAAATCATGAGTTTCAATCCCATAAAACCCATCTGGCTCGTCGATGTGGCTGTAGATGTCAAAGAGAATTTGCTCAGTTGCAGTTGTGCTGGACAGCGGCCCTGTGGAGTATTCGGCTGCCAGTTCGAGGAAGAGGAGAGCAGTCGTGAACGCCCCACATTTGATTGCGTTCTGGCTCAACAGTGTGTGATCTATCTGAAGCCAACCGTCATACGCGAGAGGATTCCTACGCTCGAGTGCATCGGGGGGATTGAAATACCGGAGATGGAGCACTACTTCAACTATAGCACCCACACAAGAGCTGCTCGCGTCCTCCCTGACAAGCACCAGAGTGAAGTAGTTTGATAACGCATCTCGAAAAGGCAGTTGAGCACTAGATGGATTGGCTTCGCGTTCTCGGTGCAGCAGTGTGCAAACCAAAATAGGTAAGATTTGCTGAGCGAAGTGGAAGTTCGTCTTTAGCATGTGCACTAAAGGAGAGTAGAAAATGTCCTGAGTTGATAGCGTATCGCAGAGTAAACTTGTCACGCGGGGTATCCAGACTGTAAAATCGGTAGCACAATCAAGAAGGTCCTCTGAAGCTAAGCCCTCTGTCAAATCGTGAAGAGGTCTCGAGGAAATACTCGTTGGATATGAAATCATGAAGGTCAGATCCCCATCGTAGTCGTGGTACCATGCATAGGAATTCGTGACATCCACGTCGAGGGTTGAAACCACGGACCGCAGTATACGATAGGCATCGTGCACTAGTTCCTCAGGAACGGCATCGAGCGATCTTAGAAGATACCAAAGGATAGCGCGATGGGCAGCTTCCGGGACCTTCACATCCCTATTTCGGAAGGAGACATGCATAGTGCACATATTATGATGCCGAGAATTTTCGTGGCCGAGGTCGCTGACATGTGCATGATTGAGTAGCAAGAGTTCGGCAAACGCGTCGATATCGTCATCAAGTACTTGTGCGGGATTCGGTAGGTACTCTTTAAGATGCCAGAAATCGAACTGGAATTGCCTTTCATCTCGGTTGTGGGTCTGAAGTGCTACATCACGAAGTCTACGGACTAGGCGGAACTTGTTGCTAGAAAGTCGGTCACCGGATAGGATAGAGGAAATCTCTTGTGATGTAAGCTCGTCTCGCAGGGCCTGCAAGTCAGGAGGCAAGTCCCGCGGCCAGGCTGCGAGGGCTTGAATGACCTGTTGCTTGAGCACCACGTTGTTACAAAGAGTCAACGCCTCATTCTCTGACCAGGACAATAGGTCACGGCCGATGCTTTCCGTTAGAAGCTCGCCTGTGTCTTGAAGGTATTCGATAGCTGCGTAACTTGTCCGTATTAGCATGTCTGGAATGCGTGTGTCCCGTTCGGGGTTGCGATCATAGGCATTGAGAGTCCACTGTAGTAGGGACTGAGCAGCTCGAGCGAGATCTGGTTGCACTATAATTGCGGTAGCCATGTTACCTAGTGTCCTCAGCAAAGTGTGGTCTTGAAAATGATCGGCATGAATGGCTATCCAAATGCATATGCCGTTAAGCAGTCTGATCTGCTCATTGACAAGCGGGCAGCGTTGCAATTCCGCGTACGTGCGATGTAGAATATGGTAGGTGATCGCGGCAGTGGAGGCCTCAGGCACTCGGACACTTAGCCACTTCAAGGATTCTAGTACAGTCTGCGTACTGAAGCAGGGTGCTTTGGGAGGGTGCAATTGCAAACTGTGGAGATCTCTGTAACAAGACAAGTGAAGGAACGTTTGAATAGCGACTTCGTCGCATTGAGTGCACTTGAGTCCCCCGACGATGGGTCCGTCGAGTGAATGGCCTTGGTCTTTCAGTGTCCCGAGAATGGCACTAACGACGGAGTCAATGTTACGCCTGAGGTGGTGACCGAATTCATCGCCCTTTCCAAGCATCCGCGTCTTCTCCATCAACGATTCCTCTAATTCGTGTGACGCATTCTGCACGTAACCAGGATGACAGTCCATCCAGAAGACGATCTGAATGCCAACGATATCCGCGAAGCACTCCCGAATACCGTCGGCCACAGATTTCTGTAGAAATTTGCAATGACCCACGAAGAGTTGGTAGCCATCGACACGGTCCTTAGATGAATGCAAATCCTCCGCTAATAGATTTGCAGGGGTGAAGGACCGGAAACCAGCGGCTACACATTGTCTCCTGTCCTGATAGCCTAAGACTTCGGGAGGGAATTGCAAGAGGTCATTTCCAGCTTGGCGGACTGAGAACGCTATTTGAGAAGCGTAGGCTTCGAATAGGTCGGACAACCGCAGGAGACCCAACCTCTCCGCAACTCCCGCCAGTATGGCATGTATATGTTTGGTATAAGCCGGTGTCCAAAGACAGGTCTCTAATAAATGCCAGTATGGACCATGTCTCACGGCGGAGTTCACAATCATGATATTCCCTAAGCAGAGTAGACGTGAAACGATGTGCTCGTAGCTATACAGATTGACACGTCAGTAAGCAAATTGTATCAGATACGAGATGATTACGTACTCTTCAATGATGTTGCTCAAATGTTCCTTCACTGCGTTATACAGCTGGAATGCATCTTGTCCTACTTCATGAGCTATAGAGAATAAACGAGCGTTTGCGACAGCGGCACGAAAGCGCACTCGGATGTCGTCGTCAGCACTGCGAGTAGATAGAATTGCTATGGGAGAAATGGAAGGCTTATTTTTCTGTTGCTCTTCGCTTTTTCTCCGGTCAAAGACTGCATTCTGCGATTGACTTTCACCTTCTCCATCGTCCGTACAGGTTTTCCACCCTACCTGACCTGGATCGCGCATCAGGTAGATATTGAGAAATTGTACTAGCCGATCTCGTATCTTCCATGAGCCGATATAGCCTTCCGACAGCGTATCGTGGAACCATCTCCATAGTTCGCCAATTCTCCAGCCAACCTCACTGGAAGCGAGCCTCGGCTGTAGCCACAAGTGCATTGTAGATTCAAGGAATTCTAAGGCCAGAAGCTGAAGTTTTTCGCTTCTGCTGTACTCGTATGGGGTCAATAGAGATCCCAACTTTTCCAGCCACTCGCCCATGACAGTTGAACTGATGCTCAACGTTCGCTGGCGAACGTGATTGAGGAAAACAGGAGCAACAAGGAAGAAGGCCTCATCTGCAAGATCTAAGACCAGCTGCGTTAGGTCTCCATCACGTGTCGGTTCGTCAGATGCGCACTGCAAGGCAGGGATGACCGCAAGTCCAGTCACACAAAGCTCAATACCGCCTTGATCTAAGTGCAAGTTTCTGCGGCCTTGTGGTGTTGCGGTCTGACTGGTTCGCACTGGCGCAAAGCCATCATCGATATCAATCGTATGGCTGCTGCGATCTTCGCTTATTGGTACTGGAAGCAGAGAATGAAGGGTTTTGCGCAGCGCCTTCAAAATACATTCGGACATATCCTGCGCCTACAAATGAATCAACGGTAAGTCTCAGTATTGTGGAGAGCGCTGCCGGAATGCTTACGTCGGCGTGTTGGAAAATCAGGCGTTGAAGATCGAGTCGTCCAGTGGCACTTTGGGCTGTTAGGGGGACTTTTGGCCTAAGCTTTCGCAGCCTCTGCATTCTGATTCCAGATCCTTCATTTGGAAGAAGCAAGATCTCCCAAGCTGCAACATCTCGCGAAGTTTCCCTCGCAAGCACCAGAGGTTGAAGTCCTTCCAGTATGAGTTTTCTCTCGTCAGAGGACCAGCGGCGATCATGAATGGAAGGAGCTATGACCCCAGTCAACCTGCATGCGGCTTGGATGACGCGACGATGCGGTTGTATGCCGTTTGCATTTAATGTGGCTTCAAAGAGCATGGCGGTAACGGTGAAGTCAAGACAAGATCTGACGTTTTCAGAAAACATATTGCCGGAGGATTCCCCGCTGCCTTCCCAGCTCGAGAACAGCAACTCTAAGGACTTGACGAAGAAGGCGGATATTCGACGCTCTCGATTGCGTGGCTGGATCAGGTCTTGTTCCACATTGTTGGTGGCAGAAGCCAATGCTGCTTCAACAGCCGAACTGGCCAGCGGACGTGACAAGTTGGAAAATTGCCCAACCTGACCGCTGAGCGGAGGAATGTGAGCATGAAGGAAGAATTCTCGGATCACAGCCACGTCATGATAATCGCGCATTGTGTTCACGATCGAGCATTCTGGCAACGACGTCCCACAAACCAAATCACATCGAGAAGAGAGCCCGCAAATGCTCTCTAGAAGCATCAACAGGTCACCCGCATTATATGGCAACATTCGTGTCCTCTTCACCCGTGCCACCTGCCAGTTGTTGATTAGCCAAGTCAAGATTTTGTCTTCCATTTGCATCCTAAACATGCGTATGTCTTGATTGGCAGCACGAAGGCAAAGGACTAAGAACGAGCAAACGGAGTCGTACGGGAGCGTAGGGCCTTGTACCTCGAGGTCCTTGGCCACGGACTCAATCTCGGCTAGGACTTGTTGTGATGTCAGAAGGTTGTCGGCATTGAGAAGAAGGACCGCTGCTGCGTGGCATGCAGCCCGGCATACGACGGAAACATTTGTTCGTCGCATGGCATGAGTCCAGACCGAATCCCATATTTCAGTCGGTGATGATTGGTGAGGGGTGGTGCGAACCGCATTGGCAATACCTGCAAAGCAAAGGAAAACCCAGGATTGAACGACAGCGTCGTCATGGGCTACAAGCTGGAGCATGGCTTCTAGTATATCCCGCTGTAAACCATCATGGAAAATGTGCCAGTGCCTGTCGATGATGAACAATAGGCTTTGAAGGTGGTAGACGCGAGCATTAGATGTCGACTGCGCCCTTATCAGGGCTAACAGTGACTGAACAGGGTTTTCAGCCTTGAGCCGCTTGCCTGCAGTTCGACCTGGACCTGCCGTCAGATGATGCACGGACTCGCCGAACTCGTACAACTTCAGGGTTAACTTATGAGTCGGACAGTAACAACTTGGATGATGGAGATGTACGTACCTTCGCTGCACAGTCTGCTTGCAATTCGAGCATAGCCCATGCTAGTGCTTGATTTGCATCAAAATGCCACCCATATAGGAACGTCTTCGCCACGAATGCTGCACTACCTTCGGTGTCATGATCATCTCGAGCAAGCTCCAAACGTAAGCAATCTATCGAAAGACCGCTCGCGGTCCAGCGGTTATCTGCTTCGCCCACAAGGAGCTGCCACAGGTGAGCAAGGCTGTCACCGCATTGCGCAATATTCGTATCGTCTCCGTCCGTTTCCACCTCTAGCAAGAATGGGAAGAGAGCTCGTAGTATCCCCACCAGTCCCTGTTTCATGCTTTGATGCTTGGTATTCCACAGCCGTAATAGTCCGTCCCACGTTTCTAGGGCTAGTTTGACCGTGAGGGAGCGTTTGTTCAGTGCGAGATGAGATATGGCAGCGTTCAGAGTGACGAGATAGTCGTGATGGAGCGATGAATCCACGGGATACATATGTATGAACCGAGCGAGCCGGTCGTATAGGGCAGCAGGGAGATAATCATAGTCTTTCGAGAGCAGAGGTGAAGACGATGATTGCAGAAGGAGGGCAATGATAGCCATGAATTCAACTTGCTCTGGATTCACAGGCTGAAGCTTCGGAGCAGGACTGCGATGAGGAGTAGAGTGCTGGAGCCTCTGATTTACTCTTCTATGCTTCCGCTTCCTAGTGGCGATGTAGGTGGACGACATACCACCATCGTCAACTTCGTCATCTCCCGGTATGCTGTCGGTACCTGAATTCGAGTCTTCAGCATTTTCTGAGCGATGCTGTGATGCCTCCATGTCATTCTCCAACTTTCTTGTGACAGGATCCTCGAGGACAACATTGAAGGCCGTTTCGAGCAACCCGACCCAAGTCGATACATCTAAATGGTCCAGATGTGGCGACCAACTTAGAATGCACCGTATTGCCTTGACATATTCCAAAGCTATCGGAGTATACAGTGCACCTTTATGCATCATAGTCTTTAGTAAGTGATCGAGCACATTGTGAACAACCTTCTTGTTCCACCTCCGAACACTCCGTTCAGTCAGCCAACGAACGGTGTTTGCAGCATCGTTGACTCTGCGGAAAGCGGCGATACCAGTTTGTCCGCCTTTCTTGACGTGGGCACTCTTTTCGCTGAGTACGGCAATGGATAGCTTGTGGAAGATTACTCCCCATGCCTTTCCTGGGTCGACGTTGAGCACGGCGGAGTTCGACTCGAAAGCAACACGGAGGCCCGCAAAACCTTCCTGACGATCTTTCACCTTTTCGCTGCTAAGAAGTTTGAGAACATCATTCAAGTTGGAAGCGGAGCCCATGTCAGCTCGTATGAGCCGCAAGAGATGAGAGCCACAAAATAGAGTCGGTCTTGGACAACAGTCCGAGTCGCTTTGCCACAAACGCGTGCGGGGATGCTTGCGCATGTTTGGTACGCGCTGATTGGCGCCCACTAGCACGTCCGGGCATAAATTTGTGATTTTTTTAAACGCTTGCACTCCATCGTCCCTCTCTCATCAACTACCTTCTTTCTTTGCTGTATGAAGTGAAACGTATTCGTTTCTCAATGCCAAGAGCATCGTCGTCAACGTGGACGTCAGCAGTTCAATTTCCTTGTTTCTGAGTACACGTCACCTCTGGTACGTCTGTCTAGTTGGCGCCTTTCTGCCCGAGCAGTTGCTTTCCACTCTGCATCGGTTCTGGTGACGCGCCAAGAGCAAATCACAAACGACTGTCTAATCAACAGTTGTTTGGGCAACTTTGAGAAGTGAGGACTTTATCAATGAAGTCCGTCATGGTTTAGGTTCGCCGTACATCCCCTTGATATTTCCTCCTTGCCGTCCCTTTGCTATCGATCATTAATTCACATTCAGTCATATGTGTATGATAGGGATAGATCCAAATATTATATTTCATGTAATACATGGCAACGGAACAAATATTTATAGTTCGCATCAGCGAAAAGGAACGCATGTTTGATATAGGAAGCAGAGAACACTTGTTCACAATAGGCGTGCTCAATTCTTAGAGTTCGGCACGCCAGTTCAGTTCGTCGACCTCAAATACCAAGGGGACGGCGATGCCGAGCAGATGCCGAGTATTATGTAAGCCAAGTGGCTCGTGGGAACGCTAGGCAGGGAACAGGAGTGGCGAGATTATTTCCGAAGGATTGCTTTACATTTTCTCGGTTTTTATTGCCATCTCCCGTCGCACCTTCCCTAGTGCTCTGGTTTACCATGGATTGCAACATGTATGCACAGAGTTGCTTAGCCTGAATGTTGAAATGCTTCCAAGCAATAATTACACAGACTATCACAGCACATTTGATGACAGCAATATGCAGGACCATGCAGTAGCTGCTGTCAATGTCATTATTGTTCCTCATCTATGTTGTGACTTTGTGAGAGTGAGATACACAGCCATTCGTCACTGTGATCCCCGCCGAGGTTGTCTGCAGCTGGACACCACAAACCGTGAGAAGATTGTGGGTGTGCAGTCTTCTTTTCAGGGATGTCCGCATCGCAATTTGGGGTTTACACAAGCAGCAATTCACACAAGAAATGTAGGAATGTCCCAAAGATAGAATTAACTGCCGGACATCTCAACAGCCACATTTGCTTATGTAATTCTCGGCATTTGCTCGGCATCGCCGTTCCTTTGGTATTTGAGGTCGACGAACTGAACTGGCGTGCCGAACTCTAAGAATTGAGCACGCCTAATCGAAGTGGCCTGCCTGCGAAGGCTTCAGTTCGGATGGCAGGAGTTCACAAAGAACCTGTACCGCCGGCACGGTAACTACTAGACAGTACTGTTGAGCGAGATCTTGGGCCCGTGGTGGCAAGATATCGGGACTAGCCATGTTGATTTTGTCTCTTCTGCTGATGATGCTTCTGGGTGCTTATCGCTCACCAAGCATCTCTACCAACACACAGGCCTAATTGAGTTCATCATTCTCGGGACTTTCCTCTGTTATCTGCAGCCCTTCGTTGCGTTGTCGGATCATTGCTAGTACGTGCACTTGTAATCTTCGTCTGAGAATGACGAACTCCTGCTGCTGGAACGGCAGCTATATCGCTTGGTGTCCTCAGCGCATCTTCGGTTGGCAAACGAACGGTTCGATCATATGCAAGAACATAGAAGAAGAGATTGGAGGGCACGCTTGCGCTATCAATGGAATACACGCTCCAATCAATCAGTTCCCGCCAGAGATCTTGACGGAAATAATACGATCACACGAGTCTGCTCCCACTATTACCGCTCAAATGCACTCGGATCCCCGAGGCTACAAAAGTCGCATCAGGATCACACGCCAGTCTGACTGAATGAAGGAGGTTTTTCGGAGAGCCAAGCATGCGCCATCTTCTGTCACAGCAACGCTTTCGGTCTCGAGGTCCACTTTGAGGATTCGGGACGCTAACCTCAGCTTGTGATAAATGAGCTACCGCTCATTCGAGAGCTCGATATTACCGCGTCCACGATCGCCTTCAAGAGCATCCTGAACAATCAATCGGTGCCGCTCCTCGATCGGAGGCTGACCCCGTGGCATGACACGCGTATAATGGGCAAGTCTCTCCCGATCCCAGTCTACTTAACCAATTAATGGCGGGGTCCAGCGGTTGCAATGTCTAGAAAGGAACGATAGTACGCGTTTCCTCGAAGAACCAATTTTGCGCTTCCTCTGAAGCATTCCAAGGTATAATATGATGAGCGCAACCCGAGACCGGGCATTTCAGCCACGCTGGACACCCTCAAACCGCTCGCGAATTTTCGAGATCATTCCTCATCCTATCAGCGGTTCCTATGGCTGACTGTCAAGTCAGTTAGATTCAATTTTCCGTATTTCCATGTTCAGTATAGACTGCGCTCCTGAAATTCGTGGACCAATTTAAATTCATGCTCATCCTGATCGTTATTACTCCATGCTCTTAATCCTGTGTCATCAGCTCGAGTACGTTCATGGATGGCGCATCGGAGGAGCTGTTTCACTTGCGCGGTAGCCATTGAGCGTGACCTAACGCGTCGCGTAACGCGGTTAGTCACATCACGAAGCACGCGAGAGCGTTTCGCATTTTCTAATTCCATACGCTATCCATCAAGTTTAACTTTGTCTGTGTACGTTAGAAGGGTATGCAGGCCACTTTGGATGTAACTTCGCTCAAGCGTGCGGTTTCTAAAGTTTTTGGCGAACCTGTACTCACCTATACCATCAGAACTCACCAGAGCGTTGACCTGCATTTCGCGATACGGAGAGGATCTCGTCGTTTACGCGACGCCCGATACATTTGCTCTATCTATCACCAATTCTTCCAAGTCTGCTTATTGTCGCTTCAAATATGGCAAACAGTTCTTCTCCAGATATAAAGTTGGTGGCCAGGCGTCTGGTGAGGATGCCGATGAGGTGCCTAGTGTTATGGGCCAGCTGATCGCAAAGGTTCGGGCGCAATACGTGATCTGCTACATTTCTCAAAACATTCACACTTGTGTATCAGAATTTGCTCTATATACTCAAACATAGGACGGTGGAGAAGTCGGTCGACAAATGCGAGCTCTCCATAACAGATGGGGATCGCGACGCCGGCGGCCCAGACGATGAGGATACCCTAGAGAGCAGACTGACTGTGCGTCTCCACTGCAAACACGGTAATTCCGCGCCATATCTGCTCGCCGTCCACTCAGGTCGCCGGGCGATGCCCACTGACGTGCATCCACAGGTGTCGTGAAAACCCACCGGCTGTTGCTGCTAACTCCGACGACGCCTCTGCTTGCGCCAAGTATCCCTGACCCGACATTTCAGTCGCGGCTGGCGGTCGGTCCCCGTGCGATGCGGGATATGATTGAGCACTTCCCCTTTGTGAAGGGCCCGAAGAGCGATCCGCAGCTGATTTGGAACTTTGGCGAAACGGACGTGGAGGTCAAGAGCATCGAGGCGTCAATCGACTCGAAGGGTGCGTCCGCTTCGTCGCGATAGACGGTAGTCGTATTAATGGGAGTGACCGGAGAAGGCAGGGCACAGCTGGCGACAGAGCTGACAATCAGTGCGGAGGAGTTTGACAATTATGAGATCTATGAGGTGCCTACAACGATTGCCTTCCATCTCCGCGAATTCAATGTAAGCATCGTATATATATGTACGCTGAACACTTTTGAATGTCCCTTCGACGCGCATATAGGCTACCATCGCATTCGCAGAAGCATCTTCTCTGGCACTTGAGATAAGTTTCACCGACCCGGCCGAGCCAATCTTCATCCATCTCGATGGCGATGTGTCCGAAATGCTCTTTGTGATTGCCACCACGCAGGCACGGGGAGAAACGGGCCCGCGCACAGGGAGGCGGGGCACCTCTGTCATGGCCTCGACTCCGAATGCACAACCGCGTGGGCAGAAGCGGCCGCGCGAGGACGATACAGCGCCGAGCGTCACAACGTCTCGCTCAGGCTCAGGTTCGAGAGAAGGTACGATTGTTCCCTCGAGGCCATCGCGGGCCACGCAGTCTTCCAATAGCGGGCCTGTATACCCAGAAGGCTCAATGCCACCGCCCGCGTCCATCCCACGGCCTGCATCATTCCCTCCGCCGGCATCAGTGCTCTCTCCCGAATTGATGCCTCCTCCATCCTTTCCTCGTTTTCAAGCTGCGTCGGCCGCAAGTGCGTCACCACAACACGAGCCGCTCTTCCTGCCATCCTCGCAGCCATACGAAGAGGAGCTGATCAGGCCCGGAATGTCGCAAGTGTCACATACACCTCTCTCGCGCACGCAGGAACCGCTGTTCCTGCCCGGCACCCAGCTATCGCAGGCAGACCAGTATACAATCAGGTCGTCAGGATTGGGGATTGAAAACATGACTGCAGAGGAATTTGCGGATATGCTGGAGGGAGAGGGGGAGGAGGTGGACTTTGGGGATGGGAAAGGGGAGGATAAGCTGAGTGGACAGGACGATGAGGGTGAAAGGGAAGGCAGTCTTAATATTTACGAAGAGATGCAGGCCACACAGGTGGAAGCTGGAACGAGGGTGAGGACTCTGTCTCATTCTGGTATCGGAGTTTTTGAAAATGCAGCTGATTCGTCTTATCACAGACATTCAGACCATTGTTCGAGGATTAGGATCGACTCTGCCGTCCTATTGCTTCCATCCGACCTACAAGTGTACGATACATTGCGTTACTAACGATACAACTCGAGTTCCGTTTAATGGGAGAGTCCATACAAAGACAGTGAGCAATCACAAAGAGCGGTCATCAATATCGTACGGGTCGTGAATGTCATAAGTGGTCCGCCACCATGACGGTCTAATGAACGCAAACGTGAGTAATCATGATAGATGTTGAACGTGGAGATTGTGGACTCACAGAGTCTGCATGAGTATCGAGTGCGTTATCAGAATTCCGTATCGTACTCGGTGGCATAAACTGGTCCGCCGCTGAGGTATATGTCGCGCAGGTCAAATGAACTCTTCTTCCTCCGCACGGTGCGCTCGCCAGGAAGAATGCGCTCTGCACCCTGTAGTTCCCTTGATATCGGCATACTCTCGTCCACAGGAGAACTTTGCGGAAACGGGGTATCATTTATCTCGACATGACGGGTCGTAGAGGATGGCATGGTATTAATGGTATGCGGCATATCCGATTCGATGTTCGTGAGCATATAAGTCGTGAGGGTAAGAGAGACGGAACAGCGAATGGTGCTGGCTCATCTGTGATGAGTGAGCCAATATATAGAGCACTGGAATGGGCCGAAGTGGCACCCGTTCCACCTAGAGACATCAGCAGATCCGTGCTTCGAGATCCGGAAAAAATCGTCCAGAATGAACACAGACCGGTTGGTTTCGACCAAAACGTCATTCGCCTCCGGCCCCGCCGCCATTATGGGGCGATCGAGAGCGCGCAGCCCGTGCCGCGCCAATGTGGCTGTGTGTGGCTGAGCAACTCAACCGAAATATTGCCGCATCGTCGGGTAACCTCTTCGGTCGGTGCGATGGTCCGTGAGCGAAAATGAATCCGCTGCGGACCACAGCAGTGTAATATCGGAGACCGGTGAGCGTATATGATCGTCGCACGTATGCGGTAGATGCGGGGCTTGGAGTTCGAGGCGCTTCCGAATCTTAGGGGGAAAAACAAGTCCAAGATTTTGAGACGGCTTGAAGTATCTAGAATTTTCTTCAACCATCGTAAGCAGGCCCCTGTTCCCACCAAGTACTTCGGGACAGCAAGCCAGAGCATGAAACCTATGTATGAGGCTGAGACTCTCATCGTCCATCGGGCACGTCGGATGGCCACAGCGGGACTGCGGAAGCAATCGTGGCGATGACGTTAGGATCTTGTGACGTCCGAAATGGAGACCTGTACCAAAAGATGAATGTAGTGTCCAAGACAGTTTCACCGAGTGACATTGTGACCCTCACAGTAGGAGTTCGATGCATGAGCGGGCGCGGAGGAATCTCTGGTAGATGAATCGCCAACCTCGACCTAGGTCTCGAGAGCATAGCAATTGACGCATATAGTCGTCTCAAGAGCACTTCAACCTACTGCATTGCATGATAATACATGGAAACTGGAGCTATGGGCTGCGATCAACGCAGGCTAAAACCGAATTTCCGTCAACTCGAGCTGTGTCGTAGGAGTCGACGCCGTCACGCGATCACTAGATGAGATGTGACACATCGCGTCTGTCACACCACCTGACTGCGTCACGCAACGCGTCTCGACACGTCGCTTCGCACCTCATCTCCCGCTGACTATGCGGCTTACATTCATTTTCCGTTCTAAAAACAGTTCCGAATCTTCTAGTGTGGAAGAACTGCGCGGCTGTACCACCCATGATCGACCGAACCCAAAACACATGGAAGACACCTAGTCCGATGCCACCGGCAGATTCCAAGTCGGATATCAGGTACGTACGAGCAACCACACGGTATCTCGGAGTGCTCACTGTGCTTCTAGTACGGAGGCAATGAGAACGGAACTTGCGAAGAGGTCTCAGCTTGGGAAAAGAAAGGCAGCCGAAGTCGGTCTGGATGGTCATGAGGAACAAGCAGTTGCCTATCGCGAATGCATATGCTCCGTGTACCAGAGCGGGGACGACTTATGTGATGACCTCGCCGCGTCCTTCGGGGCCTTTCAAGAGGCACGCGCAGCTTCTTCGCAACATCTGCCATATGTCAATTTCCACGGCGCATAGTCGATCATCGCGGATCCGTCCATTCCTGCAGCAAAGCGGGTGAAGCTCGTGTCCTCTGAGCTCCGCAATATTGTCGAGTATCCTCACAGGTGAGTTTGCATATCGGCTGTGCTCCTCAATTGAATGCTGACTCTCATTATTTCACCAGCAACAACGTCCACGCACGTCCTCTCACCGCTAAATGCTGGACGGAAACGTTCCGGTGTGACTGCAGCAAGAGGCGTGTCATCGTCTCCTCCGTCCCACAACCACCTCCACCAAGTCCCTCTCCTACCTCTACGACCCCGCCGTCACCGCAGCCAGAGATATGCAATGCATCCGCGCCTGCAGGTGCCAAGCCGCTGAAGCGTACACAGAGCAGCCTTTCACATTGGGTTGCCGGTGTTAGCAAGAAGCACAAGCCCGACACGGCCCCGGTTGGTGCACCGCCGCAGACGAATGGCAAGCAGGGGCAGAGTGGCGTTCTGGGATGTGGAGGGTATGTGCAGATCACGGTTGAGGAAGAGGCTCATCCGCTTTGCTCGTACATCAAGGGACAGATGATCACCGTGCTGGTAGAGCGTCCGACCCAAATGGCCCCTGTGAAGTAGCTCATTCTCGCAGGAGTTGGATTAGACATAGACTCGGACATTTGGCATATGACACGCATGTATGATACCATTGCAATACCAGAACGATATTTAGATAACCTTGATCTCGACCTCACGAGCGGGTAAGTTGGCTGCGAGACTCTATGGCCGAACGTATGAGCAGTAGCGCGCAAACTAGAAAAGCCTATGAAAGCGGCTTATGGACGACTAAGCGTGTCGAGGCCCGAGGGCCACATTGAGGTCACTCAAGCACGCCAAGCACAACGACATACGGGCGCCTATATCGATCGAAGTCGACCTGAACCGCCACGCTACAATGGATTCCTCAGAGTTGTACCATGTCAAACAGCAGTTCATCCTTGGTATGCAGGTCGACGCTTCATATGTGTTACTAGTCGTTGAAATTTGTGCGAATCAGGCGCATACAAGTCGCTAGTAAACCTCACGCTACCCGACCCCGGCTCTCCGGACTACACACCGATTCTCGTATACCAGGCTCGTGCACACATCGCGCTCAACGAGCCCGAGGCGGTCTCACAGGTAGTCCCAGAGGATACGGAGAATGTTGCGCTAAAGGCGGTATCCGCCCTCGCTCGCTACGTCGTGGCCTCATCAGCAGACAAGAAGGACACGTCGCTCGAGGAGCTCCGGGATCTCTGCATCGAGATTGAGGGCGAGGACGTTGATGCGGATGAGAATGAGAAGGGCATGGTGCGGGTGCTTGCTGGGACTGCCTTTGCGCTAGCTGGCGAAGTTGAGGAGGCTTTGGAGACTCTCGGCGCGGGGACGAGTACTCAGAACCTCGAGGCGTGCGTCTCTCATCTGTCATTTCGCGACTCGTTCACCAATCACTTTACAGTGTCGCTTTCACAGTTCAAATATACCTGTCAATCAATCGTCCTGACCTTGCACGCAAGGAGTTCGATCAGGCCAAGCGATGGTCGGAGGACGACCTGCTCTTGCAACTCATCGAATCATCCATCGGCCTCGTCACTGGCAAGGATGGTTATTCCGACTGCAATTCTTTCTACACCGAGCAGCTTGGAAATCCCTCGCTCTCTTCTGCACATCTGCTCACCGCGCGCGGGGTCACGCGCCTGCTACGCGGTGAGGTTCCAGCAGCAAAGTGCGACTTTGAGGAGGCCGTATCACAGTTGGGCGGCAAGCCTGATGCGGAGACGCTCGCTGCGATGACCGTCGCGGCGGGCTTGGGTACCTCGAAGCATGCGGAAGCGGACCAGCTATTCAGGTGTGCACATCCAGACATTTTTGGCATAAGTTGGATGATGACTGTGCACCGCGCTGCCTCAGTCAACTGCAGAGCCAATATCCGAGCTATCCGATGGTACTCGACGTCGACCGTAAGGCAGATTTGTTTGACGAGCTGTGCGCAAAATTCGATGTGCCACCGCTGGCGGTCGCCACAGCGTGATGTAGATTGTGTTGGTGCATTCGGACCAATGGACATTCCGATTATTTAAATTTCAAGCCTTGTCAAAGCTGCGATTGAGTGAGGTGCGTGTGTGTCATCAAGTGTGGCAGCCAACTGCGAATGAATGAAATTAGCGGGCGGACATAGATCGATTGCGATGAGAGGACTCGAATAAGGACGAAAGAACTGGTGTGTTCCCGCGACTACATAGGTGTGGTCGCTTGGCGTTCTCGGTTACTACTACAATCGGACAAGTTCAAAGCCACGCTCATGTCATGCTTCTCGCTTCCGACTGACGACGGATTCGCGCTGTGTGAGTGACATGGAAGCTTGCCTACTAAAACGAACGGAATCGTCTTCTAGAGGCGGCCCGGTATCTCTGGCCGTATGATGCTTCCTTAGAATAGGCCATTCTGGCTTATGCATGCCACGCCCATCTTTCTCAATCCGGGTAAGTTGCATGCGACTGTTGAATATTGCGAGTCCCCGCCTTTTCAATTGCTATCCGAGCGCTCGACCATAGTGGTTTGTCGATAAGCGGAGTTCGTCCGACGTCACAGCGACGGATGGCACGAATCGTGGCTTTACAGGTTGGCTGACGGCGGTTCATAGAAATCCTCAAGCTCAGTGAGGAGATTTCCTATTTCTACATTCGTCCTACTGCCGCTGCCCGGAAACTGCGATGGTCCGTGATCGAAACCCAAATCTTCATTGAGATGGACACTGAGATGAACACTTTTTACGGTGTGTCCCATTCCAATTAGCAGCAAAGACACACAACCTGAGTCTTGAAAATTTATGCGTTGTCTCCCGCACTCGTGATTGCTGGCAAGTCGTTTCCTTTCATGGCCGAGAGTACGCAAGCCATCTCTTATAATCAATGCGACAATTACTCCATATAGTCGGGTGGGTCCTATCCGATGTTACATGGGATGGAGGAATCTGAAGCGCTACATTCTAACCTAGCCTCGACCTGTCTGGGAGCGCTCGCAGGTAGCTGCTCTGAGTACGTGCGCATATAATGTGTCTGATGTCGGCGAATCCGTTGCAGCGACTCAGAAATTGTCCATTGGCTTGCCGGCTCAACACAGGGCGGTCACGATCCTCGAAGGTTTGAACTGTCAAAGACGAGCTGCGCCCAAATACGATACATTAATCACGGGAACCATCAGGAAGATAAAAACGTACCAGTTCTAGTTTCTACGCCATTGTTGCCGCTTACGTGCCAGTCGGAACCGCAGATCCGCATGTCCTCTGCATATGGAAGGATACATTAGTATCGAAGCGCCTCTCCCGGCGGCCTTGTGGCCTATGAACTGCCGACGGCCAACTAAAGGAAATCAGATTCGTCAACCAATCTTCGCGTGCCTATGCGCTAGCAGGGATCATTCGTTTGCTGGAAATCCCACCGACTCTTCCGAATATCAGCGACATGTGCATGGAATCCCTACGAGAATGTGTCTAGTAGTGTCGTGTCCGAAGGGAACGATGGGCAATACATTACGACAGATCCAGGATCCTTCATGCCTGTCTACAGCCATGCAGCGCTTCTCCTCCTCATATATAGAGGCAGGCACGAAGCGAGAAGCTCACTCTCCCACTGTCATTGCGCCTAGCCCAGATGGCATCTACACTGAGCAGACTATCGTCGTTCACCTCAACCGTGGTAAGATAACGCTTATTACCATGCACGTGTGTCTCATTGCGTGAAACGACAGGAGCATGACATCGCGCGCGTTGATCAAGACATCAGTGCTCGGGGAGAGAAGCTCCTCCAGAAATGCCGTGAATCGGTATGATAATAATGCCAGAGTCTATACAAACGTGGAAATGCTGACAATACGAATAGGTAAAGAACGGAGGACCCATTGCTGATGACATTGCTACTGTGGTAAGCCGTCAATTTGCCCCATTCTACAGTCACTTGTGTGACGCCGCATCTGTAGGAGGGTCTGGTCGACCTTCTCAAGCATCCTAACGGCATTGATGATCGTAAGATGTTGGTTAGTGAACACCTGCGCTGATTGGTCGCATCACGCTGACATTATAGCAGCTCGAGCATATCCTTATCTTCCTCTCGACGCATTCTACGAGTGCCCTGGGAGCAGCATTGTCGACTAAAGTCGTCGAACTCTGTGAGCAGTTCATGCTTTCACAGCCTTCTTCGGGTTCTCTGACATGCATGATAGTGTACAACGACCTTCCACATCCTCCCCTGACATACATAGGCAACGAGTATGCATGGCGCACTGCGGACGGCTCGAACAACAATGCCTCTGTTCCAGACAGAGGCAAAGCAGGTACCCCATATGCGCGGACTGTACAGCAGACGCATCCACTCCCTCAGAACGAGTTGCCAGATGCCGGTCTCGTATTCGACACGCTACTGAGGCGGGAGGCCGTAAGCGACTATTCCTTTTGGAGTAAGGTTCACAATCTAACTGATAATGTCTAGTTCGTCAAGCATCCGGCTGGTCTATCTAGCATGATGTTCTCATTCGCTGCGCTCGTCATTCATAGGTGCGTCGCATATCGTCTGTGTAAACTAAGGTAGATATCTGACATCCTGCCGAAGCATCTTCCGCACCTCTCACGAGAACGTTAACATCAACGAAACGTCGTCCTATGTAGACCTTGCTCCATTGTACGGCAACAACCAAGATACACAGGACAAGATTCGAGTGCGCAATGGCCGCGGTCTTATCTATCCTGATACATTTGCCGAAGATAGGCTGCTCCTCCTACCGCCGGCCGTCTGTGTCCTTCTCGTTATGTTCAACCGGAACCATAATGTAAGTGCTGTCCATTGGAGCAGTTCAGATTATTTGCTCATCCGAACTGCTTATAATAGTATATCGCGAAAATGCTGCTCGAGTTGAACGAGCGAGGCACATACGTCGATCCTGACTTCATCCCATCAGAGGACCCTAAGCGTGCTTCGATTCTTCTGGCGCAAGATGAAGAGATCTTCCAAACAGCGCGCCTGATAAACTGTGGTTGGTTTGCATCGGTCGTCTTCTCCGACTACTTCAGCGCGATCCTGGGACTAGTACGGGATGGCAACAGCTGGAGCTTGGATCCATTTGGAGTGAGTTGAGATTGTCTGCATTTGTTGCTTCGTTGACAGTCGTGCTTGGCGCTGTAGGAGATCAGAGATATGGATCACTCTTTGTTTGAACGTGGCAGAGGTAACGTTTGCAGCATTGAGGTATGTGAATTTGCGCGCAAGTAGGCATGGATGCTAAGTGCTGTCGCTACTCAGTTCAACTGCTTATACCGCTGGCATGCTACGACCTCGCAGCACGATGAGCAGTGGATAGAGACGCTCTTTGGTAAATTTTTCCCCGGTAAAACATGGAATCAGGTAAATGAGAGTTCCTCCAACTTTGGTACGTCTGAGGACTTACTGTCAAAAGATTTCAATCTCAGATTTCAAGAAAACCGCGAAGGACCTGCAGGCATTGGAGCCTGATATCACTCATTGGACGTTCGGAAGGTATGTACAGCTTGTTGAAGTCAAATAGTTTGCCGATCTGATTCCTCCAACAGCTTGAAGCGTCAAGCCGATGGGAGTTTCAACGATGCAGATCTCGCTGCCATCATACAGACAGCGTACGTGGTTCGACCTGTAATATTCATTAAGGATCTCACTCGCGCGTCTTAGGACCCAGCATCCGGCAGCCGCCTTCAAAGCTCGTGGAACTCCCCACGTCATGCGCCTGCATGAAATTATGGGAATTGAATCGAACCGGAAATGGGGTTGCTGTTCCCTGAATGATTTCCGGCAGGTACGTAATCTCATAGAATTCGCCTGATGAGTCTAATAATCCGTACCATTCCTTCCCAGTTCATTGGGCTGAAGAGTGAGCCACACCCAGCAGGACCGCTTGCGATAAGACTTTAACATCTTCTTGTCAGGATATTCAAGTTTCCTTGAGTGGAATCCGGATCCAGAAGTTGCAGCTGCCGCCGAGAAATTGTACGGCGATATTGATCGCCTAGAGTTATACGTTGGTTTGCAGGCAGAAGCCGCGAAGCCCGTCATGGAGGGAGCAGGCTTGTGTCCATGTGCGCCATCTCTGGCTTTCCTACCGGGAATGTCAACTGATCTTTACCCTTCATGCTTAGCGTACACCATCAGTCGTGCCATTCTCAGCGATGCCATTGCTCTTACTCGAGGCGACAGGTTTTTCACCGCCGATTACACTCCGTACAACCTGACCTCCTGGGGCTTCGCTGATTGCCAGCGGGACCCTGATGCCCCAGGATATGGCAGTATGCTCGGCAAGCTGTTCCTCCGCACGCTGCCCAACCACTTCACAAGTGACAGCACGTATACCTGGTTCCCTCTCATGACGCCGGAGGCCATACAGACGGTCTTGACAAAGCTTGGAGACATCCAGACTTACAGTCTCGCAAAGCCTGGGACAATTCCGCCCTTGCCGAAGTTCAACCAGTACTTGGACGTGGCGAAGGTGCTTGGCAACCCGGATCAATTCTCTGTACCATACGCGAGCCGTGCAGGACGTGTGGTTACTGGACAAGGGTGAGTGCGGAGAATGCGATGGGTTGGCCACACTACTGATCCCAGTACGGCAGCTTCTTCATCGCCTCAGATGATCCCGCTCGGGCGATAAAGGAGCAAAGCGCCATCGTTGGCGTGCTCTCTCAGTTCTCGGGCAAGATCATGGAGTATTTCTACCAGAAGACGCAGCTTCTCATGCAGCGCGAGTCATACACATCGGTTGGGACATCGACCAGGAACGTTGATATCGTGCGAGATGTCTTGAAGTACATCCCCATCCATTGGGCAAGCTCGCTGGTGATTTTGTTTCCTAGAGTCTTTCAATCGGGCGCAATGTTGACGATTTGCATCTCAAAGGCCGGCATTCGCCTCAAGGCAAAAGCGGACTCGAAAGACGGTGACTACACGCCACAGGAACTATTTGACATGCTATCCGATATCTATTCGTGGGTCCCCCCTCACCAACAAGCACAAAGTTAAACTTTGCTGACGAACATGGCCTTTGACTCCTCAGATTCCTGTTCCTGGACGTCGAAGCGTCAAAGCTTCTCAACCTTCAGCGAAAAGTGAAGACCGACATTGACAAGCTGCTGCAGCTCATCAAGGCAGGTCTTCGGGGCTCGTCGCGCGTGAGTGGTTCTCCTCCAACATCAAGCCCGCTCTAATAAGGAGATGTTATAGCTGTCGATCATCGGAGTTGTGGAGTCAATCGCGGAGATATTCCTCGGACGGGAGAAGAGCGACAAGGATGAGCTCATCGAGAGCTTGACCCAGCTTGGTTTTCCAACGGATACCCTTGCCAATTCCATCCTGGCGGTGTTGGTCGGTGCCACTGTGGAGATGTCTCAATGTAGGTTTTCAATTCGTGCGTTCGCACGTCCACCATCCTGAAGGCGGCTTGCAGCTATCATCCACGTCGTCAACTTCTATCTGGATGAGAACAAGCCGAGGGACGTGCAGAGCCTGGCAGCTAAGATCAAACTCAGCCCGAAAGATGAGAACGCTCTGGGAGGATATGTAAGGGAGGCTCTTCGTATGTATCAGTCTCTTTCCAGTACATTTTCGCCGCTCATGACGTTGATCATGCAGGCCTCGATCCTCCGTTCCGTGGTGTATACCGTACGTGCTCTGTCGCCATGGACGCCATACATAGGATTGACGGGTCTCATCTAGGACAAGCCGTACGCACCGTGACCCTCGGCAAGCAGGCTGTCCCGGCCAATACCACGATCCTCTTGGACATTGCTGACGCAAGCCTTGATGTGAGCATCTCACCCTCATTACAAAATCGTGCAGGCTCACTCATGCCATTACCAGGCACACGTTTTCGTTGACCCTACCTCAGTTAACCCAACTCGAAGCCCAACCGAACGATACCTAGTTGGCGACGGATCTGCCAGGTGGCCTATTTGCCATATCTCTACCGCAGCACCTATTGATCTACTCTCTACAGATGTCTCGGCACCGAGCTGTCCACCAAGGTACGCAGTATGATGAACTGTTGTTTAAATCTTATCTCACAGGGGGGTTTTGCGCAGATCATTGGTGAAGTTGTTCGCGCAGTCTTCGAGGCCAAGCATATTCGCCGTGCTCCGGGACAGTCAGGCATGTTGAAGAGGTGAGTCCTACACTAAGTCTTACCAAAATGCAAGCCAGGCTGACGTGTCGTCGTGTAGGTTCAAGACCGATCTTGCGAAGACCAGCACTTACTTGTACCTGTCATCCAAACAGGAGTTGGTTCCTTGGGCGTCCTCGATGGCAGTGCAGGTACGTCATATCCAGGCTCCCTGTTGCAAAGTGCAGCAGTCTGACTGGTGCCTGGTGATCTGCCATAGTTCGATTGAACGTCTTTTCATATCGATCCCGGCTAGCAATTTCATGATCTTGAACCACTCGTATGAATGTATATATCTTATGATAACCGATGAATGAAACCCTATCGCTTTCTGCTCTTCTACCACGGATATTAAGCAAAGTCGTGACCCCAGAGGCGTAGCAGACATACAGGAATTGCGATCAGTGTTCGCCACCCTCCGCTAGCTCATAACCCACCCAAAGCACCTCTGAACAGCTGATGCAGCCAACAAGATGCTGACCCGCCTCCATGTCATCCTCCGTGATCACATACAACCCTCCACATCGACAACCATACGTCCATCTCAGCGGCCCTTCATCAGACGGCTGCTCGAAATCCTCCAGAGAAATTACTTGCGCAGGACGCGGCCCGATATGAGTCGCGTTCTTCTGGGCACTTGACGAATCGTAGATGGAGCGGGTATTAGGATCGGTTAGTGTTTCGTAGGCGGCCTTCAACAAGCCAATGTCAATTGTGGGCGCCGCCTCCGAATGGGTGGAACGCTTGGCCTTGTCAGGGTGAAAGCGCAAAAGAGCCTGGTGATATGCGAGCTTTATCTCGTCCGCGGATGCAGACGGAGAGGTGGAGAGAATAAAGTAGTAATCGGGGAGAGCATTGTTATCCAGCTTGGTCGAAGCCTCGGCGAAGGACTCAAGAACAAGGACTCAGATGGACAGTCGAGCACGGAGCTCAGATAGAACGTTAATAGGCTCGCACCGACACTGCTCGAGCGTTTGTCGTACCTCGAGGAGAAGATGGTTGATGCGTGAGTGCGCAGTCAGCGCTCGCCGCCGATCAGCCACTTTAGCCGACTCGGTTCCTCGCCATCGCAATCAGTTCATCTGTTCCCGCATGCATAGCAATCGCCGAGATGACTAGCAATCGCTCGGATACGAAATATGGTTGCTGCGCCGGGCGCGGCACTGGGACGCGTCAGGCCCCAAGGTGGCTGCACCAGCCCCGCCCGGTTGGCTCTATTTATGCACGCAATTTGATCCCCATGCTCACTCATCTTCCTAACGGACCTATCCTGCCTTCATCGACAACAGATCATGTCTGCGGAGACAGTGCATTTGCTCGTGCTCGTGCATGGAATGTGGGGCAACCCCGTCCACCTCGCGGAGCTGCACCGGACGATCACTGAGTTGCGCGGTCAACCCTCCTCCGATCCAGGGCCGGACGGCGAGCGATTGGAGGTCTTGCTCGCGGAAACAAATAGGGAGGACCATACGTATGATGGAGTGGACTGGGGAGGAGAGCGGGTCGCTGACGAGGTGAGTGCTCTATACATACAAGCCGAACTACATCTCGTCCGTCGCGGAATTGTCCCGGTGTTGCGGAACGCTAATCCATGTGCAATATAGATCTATGAGGCCGTGAAGCGACTCGAGGACGCCGGCGAGAGAGTCACACGCTTCTCAATCACTGGGTACAGCCTTGGAGGGCTGGTGTCTCGGTACACCGTTGGGTACGTCGCTGTTTCCCATCTAGTTCGATGCTTGTTATCTAACGCCGCCTACATAGCGTACTGCACCAACGCAAATACTTCGACAAGGTTAAGCCGGTGAACTTTAACACCTTCGCGACACCGCATATAGGCCTGCCGAGGTACCGCAATGTGCTTTCCTCGCTGACGTCCTACTTGGGGCCCAAGATGCTCTCGCGGACGGGAGAGCAGTTCTGGGTCGTGCGTGTGCACATGATACTTGCTGTTGGACGAATCGCTGACTGGTGCCTATGCTCAGGTGGACAAGTGGTCTGCACATGGACGGCCGCTGCTGGAGGTCATGGCGGACCCTGGTGAATACAGAATCGTAAAAGTCACCATCTGCCCCGCTAACAGATGACGCAGATCGTATATTCTACCAAGCTCTCTGCCTGTTCGAAGACGTGCGCATATATGCGAATGCGGTCAATGACCTCACCGTACCATACCCAACAGCCGCGATCGAAGCGGAAGATATCTTCTTGAACCATATGACTAATGGCATAGAGATGTACGTTCATCATTCAAGCGCATATAGCCACATGGTGACGGCTTTCGCCAACCCAACAGAGAACTAGACGATAAATACGCACCTATAATCAAGTCTTATTCACTCCCAGATCCCCCGCTGCCGCCACCACCGCCACCAAAGCGATTCACACTGCAATGGCTGAAGAGCTTCCAGATACCACTGCCGCCAGCACTCCAATTTACCTTTCCTTTCAACATCGTACGTGATCCCTACCCTATGCTCTGTTAGGATCGCTCACACTCACGGCCCTGCAGCTGCTTTACATCTCCCTCCCAGTCATCATCCCGCTCTTCCTTGCGCTTGTCCTGAGCCGACTTGCACTCGCTTCCCGCGCGTCCCGGCTGCGGCTTGAGCTGCTCGAGAAGGAGCCCTCCTCCGTCGAGCGCCTCGCAAAGGTCATCGCGCGGCTCGAGCGCAGCGTCGAAAGCGCCATTGACGACATAATGGACGATCCCGGGAACCCGCCTTCATCGTTTTCCTCTCCGTCTCCACCTCGTAACGACTCGCCAAACCCTGAGCTTGGGCTAGATCCGAAGTCGAAGTCACATCTGAAGCTGGGGGAGAGCGCGCCGCAGCATGTGATCCTGACGGACGTGCAGCTGCGGCTCGTGCGGTTGCTGAACACGCTTCCGGGGCTGAAGAAGGAGCGCGCGTTCATAGATCCGGTGCGGAACGCGCATGGGTCAATTATCTGTCGAGACCCGCAGCGATTTGAGTTTCATAAGCTGGGCGAGGGTGTGTTGAGGCACTGGGCAGACCATTTTGTTATGTGAAGTGGGCGTTGTGGCTGGACGGGTTATGGGGTGTTGTATGCGTGTGATTTCACTCTCGTTCCGTTTCTGTCGGAAGGCCGTTGTCCTTATCATAGACGGACTTCATTTTAAGTTACTCTGACATCCTTTCACCAATGAGTAGATGCATTATGTGCCATAGCGATAGCAGGATGGTGCATTAAACATTATGCAGCAGTATGGTAGCAAGGGCAGTACATGTATCGAACCCAACAGCCCACGCCAGGCTGAGAGAGAACGTTTGAACACATACACACATACAACGTAGTACGGGGCATTAATCTACAAAACATGGCGATGTCCGGTTGCTAGAGGATGATTATAGCATCCAAGGGTATGCAAATAGGGTAAGGGCATCATGGGCATTACACGAGAAAGCTGTCCATCGTCCACGTCAAAAGAATGTGGTAGCGCGCTGCGCGTTTGGGTGGTGGGGTATTTCGGAGCCACGGACGAGGCGAAGGGGCGTCATGGGTGCTTGGACCCTCGTCGAGCCGATAGTTCGACTGCTGTCGGACTGAGCACCCGGATGTCGTGCAGGCATGCATGCGGACGTGTTAAGCCCAGAGACATGTGGAGACGGTGCTCAGTGCTGGTTGTAGCGGATGCTGCGCCGACGGGCAGTCATGAGGACAAAGTCTTCTGGGAGGATAGACGCGCGCTCAGGCTTGCGGGTCCTCTGGCTGAAGGACTTCCATGCGCGGACGATGCGCCGCTCGAGGTACTTTTTGCAGGAGAAGCTGTGGCGCGAGGTCGTGAGCGAGCAGGTCGATGAGAATGAACGAGAATGGGAGACTTACTGGGGACGCTCGATCTCGGAAACGGTGGCGGCGAGGTAGCGAGAGGCCATGGCGGTCGTAGTAGTGGGTGAAAAAACGAGAATAGGTGTGGGGTAGCTAATGTATGTGGGCGTGACGAGAGCGTGGACGATATACCGACGGATGTGCGAGCTGGGACGAGGAGCAGATGCGGCGAGAGCGAAGAGAACGTGCAGAGGTAATACAGTGGTCTAAAATGCTGATATAATGTCGTCACAGACGAGGATGAGGATACAACGGAAGCGAGGTGAGTCCGGGAAAGGGCGTGGGTGGCGGTCGCGAAATGCAAGATGCGGGGGCGAGACTTATATATCAGATACAGCGGGTGTGGCACGCGTCTCGATAGCTATGCGAAATGAAAATTAAGTGGAGTTTGTGGGCACGCTGCCGGCGGGATCTCGAAAGCAAATGCGAACGCAGAGAACAATGAGCCTGTGCGGGGAGGCGCGCGAGAACAATCGCTTGCGTGGGATCGCGGTTACCGGAGGGCTTCGCGAAGCAGACTGGAGAACATCGGGGCATCGAGAGGGCAAATGGGAGGATGCAGACGAAAGGAGTTGCCGAATAGAACACAAGCAATGTGCAGTATGAGGACAAAAGCCTTCCGTTGCCGCTTCCACGCCGCACAATTGCCACTTTCGGTTATGCACCCGTGACCGCGTTTGCATTCGTGCGGCCACCGGCACTCTTCTTCTGGCCGATACAAGCGACTTTGCGCATAAATGCGTTGGGTCCTTCCTGCTATATGTCTAGACATTATCGAATCTACGACCGCTGACCATTTTCCCTCATCGCGTCGCCTGTGAAGGCTTCTACTTCTTGCGCGCCTTAGGGACAATTAGACCAACCATTTGAATAGCCACCACATAGCTGCGAATGCAGATATCCCTACACACCCCCTCCTCGTGTGCATAGGCATTCAATTAGGTCTTTCACAGGGCATTGCCGTGGATACCATTTGTGCGGCACCGGAACGCACTGCACAGCCAAAACCTGCGCCAGGTAGTTCCATCGCAATCCGGAAATCAATCTGCAACGATCTACGGGTGTCATGTCATTTGCCGGATTTCGTAGCCGAGATGAAGCCGGGGGGCAATGCTTGACATGAGCTGTGCGTGCATGTCATTAAAGGGTGACTTTACGAACCTATGGTCCCTACACAATAAGGAATGTGGGTGATCTAAATGCTTTGCAATGGACTTAGCATGTACAATGGTCCCGGTTCGCTTACGGCATAGACTAGGGCCACATGAGGTGGAGAACATGCTGCTTTGACCCACACTCGAGGCGTATCCGACCACCTGCCCTCTCTTCCCTGCAGAATGTCCCTGCGACAAAGAATATTTCTTCGCAATTATGAGTCCCTGTCGAGTCTCCTCTCAAATTCTGCAGCTTCGAAGAGGACGGCGCAAAGCAGGGAAGTCCAGGAAAGGTTGCAAACTAGGCAGGGGGGAACAATGAAGGAGAATGCGAACCCGCTGGACATGGCGCCAGTGCCGAGCAGGTTTGGGCACACAAGCCAAGTTTACTCGTGGCGCAGCTGATTAGAGCGCGTCGCACGCTCTCAGCTGCGCACGTCAAACGTTCTGCAAGACAGTCGAGAGGCGACGATAACCAGCGCGGCCTCTATGGCAACTGTCATTTGGTGGTTTGCCCATGCCGGACATCAGTCTGCAGCATGTTGTCTCCTTTCACATTGAATCGAACTCAAAGGCAGCACGTTTGGGCGCGACGGCACGAGCAGGATATGTAGTTCCGTTGTACACGGACATCGAAGACCCCGAATTGCTCAAAATCGCGATCAAGATACAAAGCCACACAGATCCGCCGTGACGCTGAACCTCACTGTTTCATGGGCGTCTGACTGCGAAACGAAAGGCCTCCAAAGATGTCCAAAATACAAGACCATATCTCATGACGTTCACCGTGCATTCGCTCACGCGGACTGTTTGAATAACTCTTTTTTCGCTCTCTAACGCCTGTTCATGGGACGTGTTGCAGATTTGCTGGCAATTAGGTAAAAGATCCTAGATATCGCGCTGCTACAGCTTCAACGCGCGCATTCTGCTCCCGATTTTGATAAGTATCCAGTAACTGTCTTCGAATGCACAGATCTCATTGAATATTTCCATCATTTCATCCGCGATTCAATCTCCATGAGTTGCGGTATACATCTTGTTGACTTTCCCAGCCAGCCCGCTGCGCAGCCAGGAATTCGGGAGTCACCCGCTCTCTAGAAGATGGCTCCACGGGGCCAAACCGATGGCCCATCCCATTGTAGCCGCGCCCTATTATATACACGCGCGCTACTACTCTCCCACGCCGGTGGCGCAGGTCGCACCGGGGCCTCTCACATCTGTGCTCCGCGCCCAGATTCCAACACGCCCCCTCGACCTAGCCACTGCTGCGTCTATCCCATTGTGGGCCACACGCCTGTACCACACTCCCTGTCCCCAGGGATGCCGGTCTCCGTTCCATGTGCTTCCCTGCCCGCCTCGGTCCGTACGCCAGTCCCGGCACCCCCTGATCTTGGGTCCCGGTCTCCGTACCATACGCATCCCGTACGTGCCCATTTTCGGTGACTTCCTATAGCGCCCCCACGCGCTCGTCGCTCACTCGGTCTGCACGCCAGTGCCGACGCCCCTTGGATTCGGGTCTCGGTCTCCGTTCCGTGCGCGCTCCGTGCAAGCGCCTCGCTCGGCTTTTCTTCGGCGCTCCGCGTGCTGTGGCTGTGCCGCTTCGTCGGACTGCCGGCCTGTTTCGCTCGGCATCCGCTCGGCCCGCCCTTTGACGCCCTGCTCCGCCCTCGCCTCGCTGGTAGGCCCGCCTCGCGCAGTGCCCGCCCCCTGCGCCTGGTGTCTTGTATCACCGCAGCGGCGCCCCGCGGTCAACCCTCTGGCCCTCACCCTCCTGCCCTCGACCTCCTGATCCCACCTCTGCTTGGTCGCACCTGTCCCTCAGCTGCCCTGCAGCCTTCACACCTCAGCGACCTGCCCCAGCTCCCAGCCTTTGACCTGCCAACTGGATTACTCACCAGCCAGCATCCTGGTCCCCAGCAGGAGCCTCGTAGTTGGTGGTTTCACATCGATTGCGGTGAGTGCCCCTTGGTCAATGGTGATCGGTTTGTGTTGACTTTCCCAGCCAGCCCGTTGTGCGGCCAGGAGTTTGGGAGTCGCCCGCTCTCTAGAAGATGGCTCCACGGGGCCAAACCGATGGCCCATCCCATTGTAGCCGCGCCCTATTATATACACGCGCGCTACTACTCTCCCACGCCGGTGGCGCAGGTCGCACCGGGGCCTCTCACATCTGTGCTCCGCGCCCAGATTCCAACACATCTTTCGTTCTAGCCAAAGAAAGTACCGCAGCAATCAAGCTATTGATCAGAGCTTGACCCGGTGTTCATCACGTGACCGTGTCTCTGCTATGTAGCTCGGAGGTTCTGGAATCCGACGTTAAACGTTAAACGATGATCTGCCAGCTCACTACCTTGGCTCTCTGTTTTGCGAACACGGTTACGTGCATCTTAGCACACTCCTCCCTCATGTGCACAGGCCGTTCAATGGGACATCAATGAGTGCGACGGCTTCTAAAAAAAAATGCGGATGGACCGCCCAGCCAAGAAGTATACTATCGACTCCCTCACACTCCCTATCCCAGGGCAGCGTTCGGCTCCTCCTCGTTACTTCTGTGTAAACCCATAGCAGGAGCCCCATGCGTGGCAAGCGTCGCGCTTGTGGAAGGTCTTGCTGATCCTCCAAGGTGATCAATGCGTAAGGTTTAATGGATGAGCGACACTCAGATGTTACAGCGCAACCTGCGAGGACTTGCGGGCCAGAGGGTACGTTGGTTTCGTCTCATCCGAGACGTATCCTACCAACAGCTCTCTCTTTCCTCCAAAACATCCCTACGACGACAACCTTGACCAACGTCGCGACCACGAATCCCCAGCCGACCCTTCTTGCCAATTGTATGGCTGCCTCGCTATCGCTTTCCTCTGGCGATCGCCCCCATCGCAGGGTCAGTGCGCCTATTGCGGCTCCTGAGACCAGCGCCATAAGGCCCGACGCCTTTTTCGCCCTTTGCATGCGAGAGCAGCGCGAATCGACCATATCAAGCCAGATACTGGTCCACGCGACGCTGGTGCCAAACGGAGTGTGTGCACGCCTGACAAGCTCAGCTTGGAGAGACATGCTAGCAGAAACGAGTGCGAGCACCGCATGGGGACGCGGGAGGCCGATGTGCAGGTCAGGCGTGCCAGAAAGGCTCTGGAGCACAAGCGTTGCAGCACATGCGAGGAGGACGGCCTGCACGGCGCCTGAGACTGTTAAAGAGAGATTGCGGACAGGTGTGTTCGAGCCGACCGCCGCACCGCAGAGGAAGCCCGATAAAGCCACGATACGTGCAAAGGCGGTGGATGCGACGAAGCGGGAAAGGGCGTGCTTGAACGTGGGCCGTTGGGACGAGGTGAGGGCGTCGAAGAGGCCGGGGGCGTTCATCCCAAGCTGTACGGTGGTGCCGGTGACGAAAGCACACCAAACGCCGGTGGCGGCGAAGGTAAGACTATCGATGAAGCCCGTTGAGAGGCAGAGGATGAGTAGGGCGACGGTGGGTGGGGCAACATCGGCTTCGGGACCAAATTCAACTTGGTGGTCGGAGGACATGGCGGTAATATGCTACAACCAGTATTAGAGCAAGGCAAGCCTGGCGGGCGTCATGTATAGCGATAGTGAGTGTCAGCCTTGTGGTAGGAGGAGGAGGTAAAAATGACCTGTGCCTGTCGCCGTCCCGCCGCAAGCCGCGGCCGTCGGGTTTCTGCGGTGACTTCTGGGACCGGCGCTCTTCGACGGAGGGTCATCTATAATGCTTGCTATCGCATGAATCTTCGCCGTTGTTGTTCATTGACCAAGTGACCGGTGTGCTCTATTCACTCACATAAGGATGACAAACAGTTGGAGACTCGGCTGAGTTTCCAAGCAGCAGGAATGGGTTGACAGCGACTCCAAAAGCAGGAGGAAAAAAAAAAGTATCACGTGACCGCGCTCAAGCAAACGGGCGCCACCCGGGCCATGCGGGGGCCACTCCCTGCCTGTTCTAACACAGCATAGTGATCAATTCTTCGAGGTCATTCGTGTGCAAGGCAGACCACTGATTTTGGAAACCTCTGCTATGGTTCTGTTGAAACCACCATAATCGTATCACCTTGCTGCAAGGAGTGCTATTGGTCTCGGGAGGCGTTCCTATTCAATGAAACAATGTTGCAGGGCCGGTCTTGCTCATAATCTCAGAGTCTACAGCTCTCCGGATGTCTCATAATATGTTACAGATACCGAAAGGTTGTCAGCTTTTTATGATATATTGTTTCTTTCAAGTTGTGGGAGCATAACCATTATCGATTCAACCTATGAGCCCACAGGTGAAGTGCAATTAACTCCGCGAAGAATTCTTCTGGCCGAATACTTATTTATGTTGCTTTAGAGGCTGTCTACCCCGTTCTTGAGGCCCCTATGCCTGGCTTCGATATTTTCTCTGGGATAGGCGCTACAATATTCGATGAAGGTTCAACCTCGGCCGGAGCTATGCGCACTCTGAATCACACGGAAGCCACCACGCTACATTGCAGTCCGCACCCTCATGTAATGTGATGCATACGCCTGCAACGAGGCGAACAGGTCTTTCGCAGTGGATCTTGGCTTGTGGGGCAACGCCGTGCGATTGACAGCACTCAATTCACGTCGATTCCCTCACTCTCATAGAACTTGGTGCACATTTCTCAAAAGAAACGGATCTGAGGTCGCCATCGCAGATTTCAAATTATTACGTGGGTTGAGGGGCTATACAACTGATACGCTGGTTTAAAGGACAGGCGTTATCTCAAGTACCACACGTCTCGTTGTAGACTGATCAATCTTCTTGGCAGCACACCCTTCGGATGACTATTTATAGTGCTGCAGTTACGAACCGCAGTATTCGAATGCTATCAATATGAGCAGTTCGGCTGGTTTGTCCGCGAGGTACAATCATCACGATGCAGGTGCCGATGGAGCCATTGCGCAATACGGTCCATAAGATTATACACAAAAGAAGAGGGACAGAAGATCCCCAAAGAGAGGGATATGATATACACGCCGCTGACACGCGGTGGGCACAAGGAGTCGGTGCGGTGCGTTGGACGGCAGGATCTACCATGTATCAACTGAGCCAGAAGGCTCATACTATAAGTACGGCCACTCTCGAAGGATAGCCGGAACACTCTACCGCCCCCCAATACGGCCGCAAGTTGTTTCATCCTCATGTCGTCCATTGGCACTTACGCAGAAGACGACTTTACTTGGCGTCAGCGATGGCAGACCGGTAATCTTGTGAGGAAGGACCCGTCTCAAGGCAAGCCTTGCCACTTTCGAAGTTCTCCAATACTGAGATGAGCATCCTCTGAAGCATTGCCCGTACTCCCACCTGAAGTGTGGGAGCACATAATCAAGATGGAATCAGGAGATAACAAGACATTGAAGGCATGCGCCCATGTGTGCCGTTCATGGTACTTCGAGAGTCGCATCACGTCGTTCGCCCATCTACTCTGCCGAAATCAAGCAGACGTGCGATGCTACGTGAATTTATTGAAATCACCGAGGGCGCATTTACCGTCATTGCGAGAGCGCACCAGAAGTTTGTGCATCGAACCTCAATACCCCAGCCGATGCTCAATCCTCTCGACTGCAGTCACTGAGCTCGCAGGAGAGTTACCCCGGCTAGATTCAATTTCTATACGTTACACGGATTGGCAACCATCAGAGATGCACAAAGACGCGTTCGCTCCTTTGTCCAGGTTGTCTTCTGTCACACAACTCCATCTTTACCGCGTCAAATTCCCTTCGATCAATGTCTTCCATCGCCTCATTTCCGCTCTTCCAAGACTTACGGGATTGGAATGTTGCCTTGTTTCGGTCGGAGGAGTTTCGTCCTATCATTCTGCCTGCAAGAGCAGTGTCAGTCTCAAGCGGCTGCATATTGATGAAAAGTCGTATGAGATTATCCCATCTATGACTTCCACTCGAATGCTGGACGCACTGGAGGTAGCTGAGCTGGAGGGTGATCGCACGATGATGTCCCAATTGCATGCTTGGCAAACTCAGCGATTGCTGTCTTCTGCCGGCGGATCACTCTTGGAACTACAAATCGAAGCAGACGCTGGCTCTGCTGTAGAAGAGGCTGTTAGACATGATATCGGCAAGTGATTCTCAGTCCTACGGACGTCGTCTCACCGACTGATTTCTTGGCATTTCAGGCGTAGCTCTGAAAGCTAATTCAAAGCTCCAAAAGCTGCGACTCCGACTCAAGACTTGGCATCTCGACGCAGTCTATCTTAGATGGCTCAACGCCATGTTGGCCACCATCACGTCAAACCAGCTCAGACAGATCACAGTGCTTCTGATGGGCCGCAGCGAGAAACCACTGGCTGGAAAGCAGTCCATTGAAACCTATGCTTTACGTATCGATAGCGTTGACATTTTCAGTCAACCAGCTACGAGCTCGCAATTAGATGATCTCCTATCGTCTAAGCAGTTCGAAGCTCTCGCTGAAGTGGACTTCCAACTCCAAGATTTCTCCCTTGGATGGAAAGATCTTCAGCCACTTGGTCAACGACTGAGTTCTCGAATTGTTTCCCAATATCCTAAACTCCACAAGCGAGGGGTTCTCCGGTGCGTTGCGTGCTCTGTGTCCAAGATGGAAACCACGATGCGACTTATACTGTTACAGAACCAGCGTCATTGACTACTACGGCAATGTCCTGACGTTGTAAGGGCGCAGGCGCTCATCCAGATTTCAGCCATTTCGGTCATTTTCTGACGCAACATCGTATTCAACATACTTATTCGTGATTGAAGAACGATATCGGGAGCGGCATTACGTATATTCGCGGGAGGGCTAGACACGATTCGTTGCATGTGTGTACATGTAAACGCAGACGTTGCCGCGCAGAGGAAGACCGAAGGACACTCAGTCATCATTTCCCTTCCCTCGCCGCATTGGAAGCCATGAGTGCACTAACCGTCGTCATCCTATCGGTTAATTCCCACCGTCAAGCCTCGAGACCCACAGCCCGGGCGGCTGCGGCTGTATCTGAATACTCCAAATGTACCTTCGCATACTCTCCGCGTGTTGTCGCACTTTCTTACAAAACGGTTTGCGCGTGGATTGGATGATTACGGACGCAACCCTGTGGCGACAACCGTCATCATTAATCCTCATGCATATCTCCACGAACTTGTAGTATCCCTGAACGAACTCTCCCCGTCGCATTGTTTATCACCCCTACACAGATCCCCCCCACCCCCCCCCCCGGGTGGAGGGGTTAACGTCACTGGTCCTCCACGCGTGAGTAGGACTCATATTGTGCGGGCTGACTCACTGACAAGGAAGGATTTGATGAATTGCACAAGGACACGATCAATCCGAATCGTGAGCTCGTTCGGAAAGTAAAGAGAATGATATGCAGGTCTGAGACGTGCTTGTCATGGCGCTATGTATACCTGTAGTCGAGAGTGTTCAAACACGCTATTGTAATTTATTGTTTTGTGACTCCAGACACTGAGTCGCGTGTGGTCTCTCTCGCTGCACGTTGTTATTCACAAGTGATCGTTTCGATTTCATCTGGTCGAAGGCTGCCTGGATTATACGGTCCGAAGAACGAGAATTTGACGCGTCCATTGTGCCACGCTGCACGCGGAGCAATATGTGTAGCCGAATCCCGATGCACAGGAGCGATAATGTCATCCCACATCAGACTGAGTTACCACAGACGCGTTCGAGTCGCTGCGCGAACAGCAAACAGCGCACAAGAATTGCCCTGAAGAAAATGACCGACGAGACAAGCAGGTTCCCGTTTTGGTCTATCAACACTACTCATGAGTTCAATAGACAAGACAACAATAACCTAGAACAAGATACACCAATCATGGTACCAATGTTCAGCGCTTAGTCCTCGCAATCTCACACTTCCGGCATGTCAGCAGTAATCTCCGAGTTCACCCTTCCGCCGCCTTCCTTTCTCGAAATCTTCATATGAGAGAGTTCAATGGCAAAGTTCCCAGCATGATTGTAGGTGGACTCGTCCATGAGTTGCAGTTGAACGCGGGTCGCCTCTGCACTCGTTTGAACGTGCTCCGCTGCAATGCCTCGGCTGATACGAATCAGTATCAAATCGAGCTGGATACCACCAATCTCGATAGCCTCATTGCGAGCAATGTGAGATAGTGACATACGCCTGCGAGTGAAGCGAATGGACGTACTAGGCTGGAAACGGCGTAAATCGCATTACTTCCCAATGCATCGACGACCAGAGTCAAAAGACCGATAGTTTCGTACAGCAACGCCGATTCGACGATGATTCTGATGACACTCGACAGCTGCCTGCTGCGTGCGCCGCCACCGGACGATGTACTTGAGAAGAATCGAGATGACTGTTTGTGAATCCGCCAGATGCGATATACTAGCAAGCCTGTAATCGAGCACGTTAATATTATTTCTGCTCGAGAAAACGTTAGAAAATCACCGGTCGCTAGAGTATTTTCCACATTCATCAGAACAGTGAACGCGATCAGGAACGGTTGGACTTTGCGAGCATCGGCCACGCTTGTCTTCTCGTTCAAGGTTCCAGTGAAGTATAGCTCGCCTACCGCAGATGCGAGTGCTCCCAACCAGATAATTATGGGTACCGCAATAGCCAGAGGTTTGCGCTCATAGACGATCCAGCAGCGATATATCTGTTTCAGCATATATTCGTGAAAACCGTCCAACTGGATCTCGACAAGGAGGGTTGAGTCATGATCAGACGTACGAGAGCAGCATCTGTGACGAGCGTTGACAAGCACGTCAATACGCTCTATCGCAAAGTCAGTTACATTTGCGAGACTGAACGAGTGGACACGTACTCGGATCACTTGCACCCAGGTCGAGATCTGCTCAAATTCGCCAGTGGCTCCGCCAGAGCCTGTATACAACGTGAAAGCAAGGATGTTGTGATACAAATTAAATGCAAGGTCGGCCGTCCCAACAACGAACAGGATGACGACGATAGACAGCATCAGAGAATTGATCGGCTTCGCGTGCCTGTATCGCTGCTCCAGCATGTTCCAAATGCACACCATGAATGTTACGACATGAACGCCGTATGAGACGCTCTGCACGAAGAGCGAAACAATTTGGGACTCTGCGAGGGGAAAGGATGCCATGATAGCTTCAGTTGCGGACAAGGGGCGGCGGTCTCTCGCCCACTTATAGAGTCACTGGGGGATCAAGGCGGGGGATCAAGGCGTCGCTGCATCCCGGAGAATCCATCAAAGAATCGAATCGTTGTATGCATGGCCGCAAACGACGGAGCACGCCGCCCTCAGTTCATCCGGAGGCGGTGATTATGTCTTCAAACCCATTTTGAGCCGGAACGTGCCATGAAGCATGCGGATCAAGAAGCACATAGTGTGGTTTGAATGATGAGCAGTGTGGTCAATTTAGGAGGTTACACGCGTGGAAGGGTGCCCAAGAAAAAATAAGATGTTCCTTCAGGGATGAGCACTTCCAGCTCAGCCCGTTGCTATCGCCCCATGAAGGATTGTGCGCCTCATGCCACCTTGGTCGCATGGATATGGAACAGCCTGGTGCAAAGATGATCAGCGAGAAGGTGACGGTAATTATGCAGACAGTGGCGCGGATCACTCTGAAGATGCAGGTATAGAAGATAGAGGGCGTATGACAGGGCGGCTATCTAGAGTCATGCGACGGCCATCGTGATACAGAAGGAAGTGCAAATCCACCATTGAGCTGTCTTAGTTCGGAATGGAGCGTAACCGATAGAGATCACTGTCCTACGTCTGCATAGACACAACTTGAATCCACCAGATCTGGCCGAAGGATTGCACTGCAAAAGAAAGCCGGTTAGTGCAACTTGAATTACTCTTCATTACACTACGGTTTCAGTCAACCATGGAGTAAATAATATAAGTCCTCTTGACAGAGACCACGCGCGAAATACCCCTACTAGCCCACTGTAAATTACAGCGCATACTCGTACTGATGCACCAACTTGGTGCCTCATGATTCTTGAACGCATCATGACACAATAAGCATACGTGCGAGACAGGACAGATCAGAGAAAAGATTAGCCCGAACATGAACGACTCACTGCATCATATAAATGTGCCTTGTCCGCATTGGTGACTTCCTTGAGCACGGCTTACTTGAGTTTAATCTCTCAACAAGTTTGTCACTGGCTCTTTGATTCAAACCCCGCTGTAGCTGAAGGTGGCATTTGCGTGCATGCTCGGTGATCGGCTTCGTGAACGGCACATCTCTCATATCACACAAAATCGTCAGATATATACCTCACGAGTAGCTCGCCATTAATTGCACAGCCATCACTTTCAATGGATTTGATCCCAACTTACGGTCACCCTGCATCAGTACATCAGGAAGATGCCCGCCACCGACGTGATGCGAGATTGTATCGGTAGCCGTGTCGCAGAACGGCCCCCCCTGTCATATCATATATGTTGTTGTCCCCGGCAGCTACGACAGCGCACAACAGAGCACGCTGGTATTTTCCCCGAGCGCGACAGTGTGCAACAGCGTGCGGCACAAATTAGATGTACTGTAGTAGTATGTATACTCCGTTGTCTAGTGACGACACGGGTAGTACCTGTTCAATGAGTACGATATATTTCACTTTGCATGCAGTCCATATCACTGACTTTGTGAACATTATTGCAACTAGAGCGACTCAGTGACAGGTGCAACAAGGAAGCATGCATACAGACTCTCGGGTCAGACAGTTCTCTTTTCATTTGTGATGCTTGAAGATCTCTGTCATAATGCATACATAACTTGTTGTCTCTTGGTGAGTGCTTTTATCATTTAGGATGCACTATCTGGCTGTACCACAAGCCAGACCGGCTTTTAATCATGATTCTGTCACCTTTCAAGGGCTGGTAGTGCTAATGAGAGTCAATAGTACCTTTATCCAGGCAATGTGGTTCCATGTATACTGTGCTCATGTACATTCTACACGAAAAAGATGGAACCGCATGTGCAATGATGGATGACTCGACATCAAAGTTGTATTTCTCAGGACAGCAGGTCTACCATCGTATGGCCAACCTCTTTCGTGAGGCCGGCGGATGCGTTCACAGGGCAACTGCGAGAATGACATGGAACAGTATTGAGAGATGTTGTTATGGTCCAATTTTTGCATCACAGATGCTGGACAGCGAGGAAAAGCACAGGCTATGGCGTCCTCGTACTACTCTCAGCCACATGCGCGACTTTCTCACGTGACCGCGTCGTGGATATTCCCTAACGTTCATTCGAGCTGATATCAAACGTTCGTGACGGATTGAACCCCATTCGAGGCATTTATAATGGGGTTGCAGTAGTCAATGGTTCGTATGCCGGAATTGATGGACATAGCACATTTTCACGTCATTAATTTATCGCATCTAGTCCTAACATCGAATTGAACCTTGATCGGGAACTCAAAGTCTCATCTATCCTAGTTGATACGGCGTCGTTCATGCCTTTGGACTTCAAGCTCAAATCAACAGTCACAGGGACAGTCGAAATGGGGATATGCCTCGGCCCGCTTAGCAAGACGAACGCAAAGCCTACCATCGAGCGGCGCCGAGTGCTGACACGACGGACCTTACAGCTAGTACGGTTCCTGACCTATCTGTCGAAAGAACTATTTGCAAGTGTCATTCTTGCCCCTCGAACACATTGACAATCATGCAAATTCAGAACAAAGAAGACATCATTTGTTTACGATTCTACCACGTTCTTCCATTGCTACAAGCGTGAAAGCGCAATAACATTGGGGAACTCATAAGTGTCGCACTCAAAAACCAAGACGACATGACTCACTGAATAAGCACACAGTAATGGGAGACACGAATGGCGCATCAGACTCCAGGTGATTCAAAAAACCTGGTCAGAATTGATCACATCCATTAACAGTTGCTTCCGCTCCGCACGCGTGCCCGGCATGAGACTCAAAGGCGGGAACTTGTCTTTCATATAGTCCATAAGCTCCACTTGGGCCATTCCCAGGTCGGGACACCACATAATCGCCAAGAATGCGCCTCCGTGACCCGTTGCCTTCAATCTCTCGTCCGCCAACGCCAACCTCGCACGGATCCTGCCCACTTCCTCCGGATGGAGCACTGTCCCGGGGAGTTTGTCGAGGCCGTATAGGCAAATGTCTGTCACAGAGTAGGAGACTTCACGCCGCCTCTCCGGGTGCGAGTCCAGGCATAAAAGTAAGGCCGCATGTTTGGTGACGATAGGCATCTCGTAGATCTCGAGTACGGAGGGACCGAGAACGGTGACTGTGGGCAGATGGCGTCTCTTGAACAGGACGAGAGAATGCATGCGTTCCGCGTTCAGATCGTCCATGTGCGCCACATTGTCACATCTTGGCCTGTGTGTTGGCCAAGCGTTTCTCTGACATTGTTTACTCTGCAGAATGAGCGAAGGTCAAACACGGAGAGAATGCAATCTGACTGTGAACGCACGCAGTAGATATCCCACTTGCAACGGCCGCATTGCATGAGCTTGCCGGCTTTTCCGAGTGGCTTCACGCAGTGGTAGCACTCCATCATTTCCTTGCGTAGAGGCAAAGGCTTGCTTCCAGCCCCATAGAGCGACATGATTTCAGATGCGATTGTAGAAACATGATGTCGAGCATAACTGCTATTGTTGCTGTAGCTCATAGTGGGCGAGTGTCGGGTAATCCACTGTTGGAAGAGGAGGATGAAGGCGGTGAATCTCTGGGGTACTTCGCCTCGAACGTGAAGCAGCCTTTATGTAGTGATGTGACATAAGTATGTCAGTCGCGGTTCAGGCCGGATGTCGACGATGATCATATTAGCCGCTAGCAGCCAAGAGCACGTTGCATGCTAGTTGCATGCCCGCCGTCGCTTGCGGCCCTTGACCTTGCAGCATGTTGCTTGTTCAACATTTCTCCTCACACTTCCTGCCTCGCGTTCTTCGCATGCACGCCACTCATAAGACGCTGTCATTGAGACTGCAGATGTTGTCCAAGTCTGTAGCTGATTGCTCTTCTGCACTGCCATCTCGAGTCGCAATAAAGCAGCTGACAGTCATTACATGTTCGATGCGCCGTCGGACAGTATTCAGCCTGCAGAAAAGACGTCTATCTTGCCCATGGAGGACTGGTCGAGACCTGATCGTAGAACAGGCGATTTCGTACTGTGTAACAAAGCATCCTCATGGCGTTTTGCTTGCGTGTGTGCACAGATGCTCGCATCCTCCGTTTATTCGGCGGTGTATATGTTAGTGCTCGCTGCTCGCTGTTTATTTGAGATCAGCGCTGCGTTACGTATTCATATTTTATCTTATATCTATTTGCTCATCTTTCTCAGACTCTTGGTTGGTGAGGCCTCTGGTTTCGTATATGCTACGTCATGTTGGTTCTCCTCTAGACATTGCTACAAACTTGAAAGCGCAATGACACTAGGGAACTCATAAGCGTCGCTCTGGAAAACCAAGACGACATGACTCACTTAATAAGCACACAGTAATGGGAGACACGAATGGCGCATCAAACTCCAGGTGATTCAAAAAACCTGGTCAGAATTGATCACATCCATCAGCAGCTGCTTCCGCTCCGCACGCGTGCCCGGCATCAGACTCAAAGGCGGGAACTTGTCTTTCATATAGGCCAGGATCTCCAGTTGCGTCAATCCCAGCTTGCGACACCACATAATCGCCAAGAATGCGCCTCCGTGACCCGTTGCCTTGAATTTCTCGTCCGCTGACGCCAACTTCGCGCGCACTTCCTCCGGATGGAGCACTGTCTCGGGGAGTTTGTCGAGGCCGAATAGACAAATGTCTGTCACAGAGTAGGAGACTTTACGCCGCCTCTCCGGGTGCGAGTCCAGGCATAAAAGTAAGGCCGCGGTTTTGGTAACGATAGGCATCTCGTAGATCTCGAGTACAGAGGGACCGAGAACGGTGACTGTGGGCAGATGGCGTCTCTTGAACAGGACGAGAGAATGCATGCGTTCCGCGTTCAGATCGTCCATGCGCGCAACATTGTCGCATGCTTTCTTATGTGCTGGCCAAGCGTTTCTCTGGCACTGTTTGCTCTGCGGAACGAACGAAGGTCAAACAGGGAGAGAATGCAATCTGACTGTGAACGCACGCAATAGAGATCCCACTTGCAACGGCCGCATTGCATGAGCTTTCCGGCTTTCCTGAGTGACTTCGCGCAGTGGTAGCACTCCATCATTTCCTTGCGTATAGGCAAAGGCTTGCTTCCAGCCCCATAGAGCGACATGATTTCAGATGCGATTGTAGAAGCATGATGCCGAGCATAACCGCTATTGTTGCTGTAGCTCATAGTGTGCGAGTGTCGGTTGATCCACTGCTGGAAGACGAGATGAGGGTGGTGAATAACTGGGATACTTCACCTCGAACGTGAAGTAGGGACCTGGGATGTCGATGGCGCGTACTACTAATATGATTTAGCCACTAGCGAAGAGTGCGCGCCGTGCGCTTGCGCCCCCGAGTCGGTGATTCTGACCTTGCAGATGATGTTCGTTGTTCAACGTTAATTCTCCTCACACTTCCTGCCTGGCACTCTACACATAACGCCACTCGTAAAACTCTGTCCTTTGACTCAGAAGCTGCAGATCTTGTTCAAGCCTGTAGCTGATCGCTCTTCTGCACTGACATCTCCAGTCGCAATAAAGCAGCTGACAGTCATTACATGTTCGGTGCGCTGTCGGACAGTATTCAGCCTGCAAAAAAGAGGTCTATCTTGTCCATGGAGGACTGGTCGAGACCTGATCGTAGAACAGGCGATTTCATACTGTCTAACGAAGCATCCTCATGGCGTTTTGCTTACGTGTGTGCACAGATGCTCGCATCCGCCGTTGACTCGCCGGTGTATACATTTAGTCCTCGCTGCCCGCTATTCCTTTGGGATCAGCGCTGCGTTACGGATTCACGCTTTGTTCAATATCTATTTGCTCACCCTTCTCAGACTCTTGGTTGGCGAGGCCTCTGGTTTCGTATCTGCTACGTCATGTTGGTTCTCCTTTACGACATCGTTATAACACCTTCGAATACTAATACGCATCATGCTCGAGATTGCGACCAGACGCACGATTGTGGTTTCCGACGCTGTGGCTTCCATTCGCTTCCATCAGTTCTTAATATCCCAATCAGACGCGTGAGTCAGTTCTGTATTATAATCATCTGACCCCATTCACCTGATCCAAACCACCTACGTGTCGACAACAATATGGCAGCAATTTCCGAGTTCGCCGAATGACAAAGCTGCGATGCTCACACTATAAGGGGCGAAGATACCGGGCGCAATGCCGCTCAGGATGCTAACTGTATGGAGGCGGACAATCTAGACACCCCGGAAGTGAAGTCTACCGACCGCCGCCGAACATCATCTGCCGTATCGATGCTTGCAAGCTTGTCACTGCATCTGAGCCTCACGCCGGCCGAACATGAGCGCCATGACGTGCTCAATTAAGCGATTCGATGTAGTGAGTTTCCTTCAATCGGGTTAACTTTGAGCATGTTTCCGCTGATCGGGGCTCTAGCTCGCTTAGCGTGGATTACCCTCAAATGTCGAGGGTTGGGACACCAACACGGCGATTCAACTAGCCAGCCATGTTCCAGACGAACGTACGTTGGCACTACCCCCGCACAATGTGCGACGAGATGCCGTCGGAGTTCAGCTCCCCAAGCGTAACAACGCGCAGCAGCTGCAGGTCCCCGCTGGTGCTCCAAGAGCCTCCGGTACTCCACGCATCTTGATGTCCAGATGAGCATAGAATGACTGTCATTTCTGCGAAGGCTGTTTCACAAGTCTAGATCCACAGACTCATTCTGGTGTGTATCTCTTGTATAAGGCGCGCAGAAAGCATTCTAGTCTCTTGTTTTTTTTATCTCGTTGCCGTTGATTTAATGGCCATCATGTTCTCACATCATCCTAATGACCGCGCTCTAGAAACATCAACTGTGAAAACCTCCTGCTCGTAGAGATAAGGGCATACCAGCCACGTCGTATCAGCAGTGCGGTCGCGCTTGAGCTTGTAACTCTACTTCTGGCGCCTCTACGTCTTCGAATTGGCTACATATGGAAGCCCTTCTGTGCAATGAGCTTAAATGACAGGAAGTGAACGCCAGAGAAAGCACATGTTGAGAAACGCGGGGTAAGCGCTTATTGCAATGGCGGTCAGGAGGACAATGTCGCTTTCGAGAGGGGATCCTGTACGTGAGCTGCGTCCATTGTGCGGGCTGGCGAAGGCCAAGCGAGATGTTGGACCAAGAGTGGTGTTAGAAATCGATATCGAGGTTGGGACGATCCAGTGAAATTCAGTGCTAGTGAAATTATCTATCATACTGTAGTATTCATGATCCTCTAAGCATAGCATGAGAGCAGTTAAGATACATCGAGCACCAGAGCATGCTAGGATAATGGCTTGGGCTAAGAGCGCCAATAACGGGTAGAGGTGTAAGTGATCCACAGCTAATTCAGTGCAACAGGAGATTGGAAGCAGGGGAGAGAACCGTGAGCTGAGAAGAGTACGGTGGTACAGAATATCACAGATGATGGCATCTTGGGACCAGCAAATGATGGACGGGGAGAGATCGAGTGAGGTACAGCGAACGTGCTACTAGGTACTAGGGTATAGTGAGAAGCGAGAAATGCAGGATAGCAGTTGTGGGAGCGACAATGAGAATCATCCAAGCGAGCAGGAATGACGGAATAGCACAGTCGAAATATGAAAGATGAGAGGCACGATGTAACATGTCGCATCAAAGTCCCCGAACAGATAGCCCAAAGTCATCGTGAAGTCGCATGGAGAATAATCCAGCCAGCTCATGGCACCAAGCCGCCCTCCGCCCTCCACCCGCCAGTAACAGCTCCTTGAGACCAGAACGAATACCCACCGGCGTACTGACGTTGTCCATATCCAAGCATCGCATGCTGCGGACGGGGCTGGTGAAGAGGCGGGTTCACTCCAGCCTTGTCGTGTGGAGATTCGGACACAGCCTGCTGAGAGGCACTGGCAACCACCATATCTCGCATGTGCGCCTGCGGTGAAACAGTTTCAGGCTGCGGCTGCGGGGTCTGATGGCTAGAGTACGCTCCTATGGGCACGCTGTTGCCGCTAGACGCGGCACTGCTCATATGCGAGTGCAATCGTGCGTTCGCAGTGTGCACATCGACCCTGAGCTGCGTCGGCCTCTGAGCAGGCATTGTGGTCGTGGTCAGCACAAGCGTCGCGGCCGGCGGCGAGCACCTGCTGGCGGCTAGCTGGTCAGCAGAGTATGTCAAAGTCGAGAACGTGGATGAACCACGCGCATAAGCAGGATAACGTTCATCCTCCTGTCGGTATGGGAACTCGGATATCGTCGGAGCACTGTCGGTTGGAGTGGGGAGCTGACTTTGAGGGAGGTCCGGCTTCAGATAGGCGTACGACCTGTAGCCATCATCGAAAGGCTGACTTATCGGAGCGACAGCCGGCACTCCACAGGCGTCGCGAGGACTCTCCTGCACTGGACTCGGAACCTGGCTGCCGTTGTGCGAAGGGGGCGCGGACATATGAGTATTTGCCGTGTTCCCGTCGGTACTGCTTCGGTGCACCACGTGCATGCTTTCTGTCGGATAGATCGATAGATGAGCATGTGAAACATATGCAGGTGCAGCCTCGTGGCTGTGCCTCGCTGCCGGCTGAGTTTGGACTGGCGTGCCGTGCGACGGTGGCCTGTACGTCAGCGACGCCATTGGTGGCTTGTACGTCGGCGGAGTAAGCTGCTGCAGTGAGGAGCCAGTACCCGGCTGGCATTGCACACCACATCTCAGTTGAGGAGCATTTGGCGAGTGCACGTCGGACGGCGTCCCCGGATATTGCAGATCAGGCTCGAATAGGTATGGATATCTATCTCCAGTAAACCCACGAGCTACTTGATGGCCTTCTGCGCTCGACAGCGGTGAAGGAGGTTCGCTGTGAGACAGCCCATTTGGCGTTGCGAGTGGCCCAGGGTGCAAATGTCCCCCGTATGCTCGCGGATCGGGATGACGGGAGGGGTATACATCCTGGGGCGGGGAATAACCCGAGGGAGGATACACAATCTCAGGCGATTGTGACGGACTCAGCGTTGGGCTATTGTGGCTGTCCTGGTCATTGAACTGTGGATACGCATCCGCAATCGCCGGTGGATGGTAGATGATATGCGAAGGCACGCTCGCACTTGAAGACTGACTGGATATACTCCTTGACGATGCTGCGACTGTAATCACCACGCATGCCGGCGCTAATGGAGGCGGTGTGTCCGGTGGCTCCGGTATTAGGATGGAGCTCGCGCTATGATGGAAGGTGGCCTGTACAAGCGCGGGCGGCTCGAGCGGGAGTGGAGACAGGGAGGGAGAGAGACGAGGAATAGTGATGTTGCTCGTATGGGCATAACTCCCGCCAGAGTGGTTAGAGCGAGGGTTTCGCGGTGAGCGCGATCGGGAGGGAAGACTGAGAGCGCGGGTCATGGCGGCACGCGTCGCTGAGCTGGAGCCTCTGCGCGAGCCAGGGGAAAGATGGATGCGATAACTGGGAGGACATGGATATCAGCACACGAACTGAGAAATCAAAAGAATGTACACGACGGTAGATGTGGATTGCTGCAGAGAAAAGCAACCTGAACAATTCCCGTTCTTGCAAACACATCACAATTTCCGACGATGTAAGAGAAAAGGCCATCTTGCATCAGCTTCCATGCTGGCAGAACTGATGGCACAATTGACGCTGAACGCTTCTGCAAGGCAGCGAAATATTGCGCACAAGCAGCGATGCCAATTGAACGTTGCTCGTATGGTAAAATCGCTTGGTCCATATCATGCAGGACGCTTGCTCGTAGAGCTCAGCTGGCTCGGCGGTACTGCAAACGACAGCTTGCTTGCCAAATTTAGGCAAAGCAACAACTGATGCCCGAGCGCGTCTACGATCGACTTGCTAGCCCACTGCTAAAGTCACGCTGCAGCCAAGCAGCGATTGTCGGCCATCCCGTATCACAGCGAAAGGTGATGAGTTCTGAACGGAGAACCCACTCACTGTTGTTGCAGATTGTCCTGTCGTGAGCAGCGCGTCTCGCAACCTGGAAACGGGCACTTGTGGTTGCGCTCGCCAGTGTGTATGCGCGTGTGCCTGGCCAGGTGACCGCTCGTGGTGAACCCGCGCTCGCATGTCTGGCAGATGTGCTTGCGCTTCGTAGGGCTCATTTGCGGCGGTGTCAAGGAGGCAGGCGGAGGGCTGGGTTGCGACTGCTCCTGTGCAGGCACGGAGGGCGGAGGCAGGCTAGCCGTCGCGTAGGTGTATTGGCTGTGCGCACTCGGCGGCGGGAGGGAGTGTACGAGGTAGGAGTAGGTCATGGGAGCGGGGCGAGAAGCAGGGACCCTTGTGTCATTGCGGAGAGGAAGAGCGGGGTACATTAAAAGGCGAGGCGGGAGGAGGAGGAGGACATGGTAGCGGGGAGTAAGGAGGGCTGGAGGATATGGCAGCGCGGCCGCTGCATTCGACGACGTGCACGGCGATTCGGTCGGAGTTGATTTGGGCTGCGCGGGGTGATCACCCAAGCTGATGATCTTCCATAACTCGGAACCAAATCTAGGCGCCTCCGCTTTCCCTTACCGCTCTCCTGGTTTTTGTTCTCACAACTCGACAAAGGCGAACGACGACGACGACGTCTGCCCATCATTCATCGCCCGCATCGCCTATCGACAGCGACACTCCGACGAACTGAAACGGCGCCCCGACGTGTTCTCACCAGCCCTCGCCACGCCACCACTCAAATTCACACCGTGATGGTCGACCGGCGCGTTGTTATCAAAATGTTCCCGGACTCATCACTCGAGGCAGTGCCCGGAAGCCGCGCCGCCATCGAGCGCGCCGAAGGGCAAATCTGAATTATAATTTCGCACTTTGAATGCCTGGTCCAGACCTCCTCTACCCCCAGGTCCCTCTTTCTGCTTCTCTCTCTCACCCTCATCGCCGCGTGTCGAGATACACCGTCCGTCTATCTCGCCACCACCCTCAGCCATATGCGCTTGCGGGCTTGCGTGAGCATCCAACTCACCCCCAATGTTCCGTCCTGTAACTTGCCGTGGCATCGCCGGATCGTGGGCTTCGCGGCTTCTAGCCCTGGGAATCTGAACATTAATTGAGGATGCTCCCAGCGCCGCAAAACTGCCAGCGCTCCTCGTTTGCCTTTGAGATCTCGACTCTCGGAAATCTTCCGAGTCCATGCGTCAGGATCTGTCAGAATGTTCACCTCTTCGACGCCGTCGGCACGTACTCTGGTTCATTAATTTTTCCGTCATGCACCACAGCACCGATCGTCGTAGAACCTGCGTGGTGACAGGACTTCGGTCGATGATCAGCCTGTAGGAGAGTTTCTTCGAATCGCACCAAGCATTAGGAATTCATCAGAGCGGCAATAAAGCTGCTAGAAGTAGACAAGTTCCGGATGAGAAGCGAGAACAAATTTTCGCATGCCGTCAAAGTCGACCTTCATGTACCTGCCTGTCGACGCGAGACAACGGCAAGACAGTCACCGGATGTCTAGTGGGGATATCGTGTCTCATCGGGCCACTGGCTTGGGTAGAGAGAGTTCCACCCCTCCGGCGGTACATTCGCGAAGTGGGCTGTGGCACGATTCTTCGGTCAGTCTGCTGCAATTGTTAGCATCCATCTATCATGATGATTGAATCCGAACAGAGGTTTAACTCACGGAGTGATTCTTGGATGTGCTTACGTAGACGTGGTATATGCCATGGAAGATGTCTGGACCGTTTAGATTCCGTCGAGATCTCTCGGTCGTGAGGCAAATCAGCCTGAAACAGTTTCTCACGGAGACAGTAGCGTCCGTCTTCTACCACACACACAGGTGTAATTGCCAGACAACGTTTGGATGACAGTAACGAGCATGCAATCGCCGCTACATTTGACCGCGGTGAGGCGATAGAAGAAGATCTTGATGACAACTTAGATGACTGAGGCCGGTGAAACTTGACGAGGGTGAGTTGGCAGATACAGCGGCAGAGATACTGTACAGTAGTCTGGGCCTATGGTATCGATGTTGACATGAACAGGGAACCGGTCCATAAATCCGCTGTTCAAATGATAAAATTAGTACTTTCTGATGCGTTGAAGCTGAAGCTTAAGCTTAAAGTTTCAGTCAGCGTAACATGTATGGAATGCTCTCGAATATCCAGACTGAGTCACCTAAAGATATTTCAGAATGCATGTTATTGCGCGGTTAGAATGTGGGATTTGAAAAGATGACTACGCCGGGAGAGGCAGCAACGCGCTTGTGGCGAGCGCGGAGAGACGCCCACGTGCACGGTGTTTAAGCAGGCGCCTAGCCTTATACGGCATTGCCCGGGTGGGGGATCTGGTGTGAGCGTGATCGATCGTGCCGTGCACCATATCTGTGCTTTCCCGACTCCACTGTGCAATTCTCCGCCGCCTGCCCGCGGCACGGAGTATCGACGTTCGCTCGCTTGCTGTTCGCTTGTCCAAATGTGAATTTCAACGCGAGAAGGAAATCGGGGGCTTCGAGATGGAGAGCGATTGACGAGTGTTCTTTGGGCGATCTTGCTTGGCTTGTGTTCGCAGCCTAGCCGTGTTCAAATATTCACCGCTGAGTGGCGGCGGCGCACTCTACGTACAGATGCCTGACTGCCGTCCTGACTTTCGACTCGGTCATTGCCGCATTGTCATATGCATTACTCTGCGGCATGAGTTGCCAATTTTCTCGGAGCGCCTGACTGTGCGCGACGCCGCGTACTGTGAAGTCAGTCAGCGATGGCTGTTGCTTCGGACCCAGGTCCATACGCCCACGCAGCTGCACGGAATCTGCGATCCCCGCCTGCCGTCCGCGACCGAGTATGAAGCGAGCCAACTCCCCGTGCACATCCTCCGAACCGTCGGGAGAAGCTGTCAAACAAGACAGGCCTTGGGAAGCCTCCACATGTCCGCGTCTACGTCTCGACGCTTTGCCTTCGGGGATGATAATTTAGCAGCGATGCATGCGCTGTCGCTCGCGGACGCTGGTCGCGAGGCACAAGAGAAGATGTCTGGATCGGGCTGGCTGCGGGTCGGGGGTGATGACGAGCTCCTCCGCCTCGAGGAGCGCGCAGCAGGTCATGCTTATCCAAAGGCGTCTCAGATGAGGGAGGTCCCACCTGATTCCACCGATTACTGCTTACTATTGTGTCCTCCGCACGTTGGAGCGGAAAGAACCAGTTCGGACCACATTCGAAAGGCTAATACGGGCGATATGATGTACAATTGTGGCTGCGTTCGTGCCGGACGCTATATCGAGTGGAGAATGTGCACATCAATTGCACCCGAGTCTGTACCCGCGCAGTTCCAGGAAGTTCGCGTCGCGTACCGCCAATGTCGTGGCAGTACCCCGATCCACGTATCAGGCTATTCAGCCATATCGGTACGCAATGTGGCGCTGAGATGATGACGAGCTAACGGTTAATCTCCGGAAAGAGCATCAATGTAGCCTTTGTCGAATCCAGCGGCGGTCATACTCCTTCCTTGGAGCGAAAGGCTCGCAGGCGCTCCGGTCGGGAAATGGCTATATGCATAACATGATAGATGCAACGTTCGTGAAGGTGTGTTCCTCTGACCAATGCGGATTAATGACATTCGTGATGTTCGCAACGGGGTGGCAGTGAAGCTTCAAACACTACGTTCGGAGGTGCGGTCAGATGGCAGTTCAGCACCAGCTGCAGGGAGTCTTCTGCAGATCTAGAACCACTCACTGCCAAGGCCGTTGGTGCGCCCGCTACTAACCAGAAGCTTTACTTTACGTGATCGCCCCAGGTTGGTTCTTCTGGATGACAAAGGATTCCCTCCCCAGGAGAGTATATGCGCACGCCATCTGACAGTCACCGTTCTAGGTGCAGACGTTTGCATACCTTCAACAGCGTGGCACATCGTGGTCTCTATATGGCATCCCGTGTCAAGCTAATGCGCATATATGCGCCTAGATTAAGCTAGACTATCACGATTTGCGGTGGGGTTCGCTCCCGTGCATCGGGAGCAGTTGTAGTGACGCCGTCGTGCCCGTCGTAAACGTTATTGATGAATGAACTAGGTTGCCATACTACTCAGGGGATGAAAGCGCCGCGGGAAGTCAAATACGTGTCGTTTCGACCACAAACGAAGGATCATCACTGCCAAATTGACTCCAGTTGTATCAGCGGTTGCCCGTATCTTGGGGTCACCCACACCTTAACAACAAAGGTGCTGCGCTCCATCGAGTATATTCTATGCCGCAAATGGAGGCAATGTGTCCATGTACCTCCGCAAAATTTCAACGCGGGAGGTGCGATCATCTAAGTAAGTTCCTTCTTTGCCTCTATACATCGCATATAAAGTATGTTTATGATCGGGTCAGGAACAGTGTTATACGAAGGAAGGCTTTGGCTGAGTCTTTCCCCTTGATTTTCTCCTTCGTGATGAATGGCGTAATTCACGGTATGTGTGGGTTTCGATGATTTGTCTTGAAAATGCGTGTGCAACTGCCAAGCCTTTCACTAATATAGAGGCAACTACTCCTGTCGTAGAGAGTCCTACGAAAACGCGAAGGCACATGGAAGCGTCTGGACTGTATGTCAGGTGTACTCCCAAATTCTCCGCATCTCGCTCACACGGGCAAACACAGCAGCAGACCATCTCTTGCTTGGCCGTGTCCGAGCGCACTCAAGTCAGGCCCTCGTATTGCCTTACGACACGCAGGCAGGTCACCTTCTGGTACGAATCCGGAGTTGTGCCGAGGTCATTAGTCGTGTGGGCACGGTGGGGCCTGACGGCGAAACGTTGCAGCCGTGCTACTCCACAGGTGACCACGGTTTATACCCCGGAAATCTTTTTTGGCAGCACGCGGGGGCGAAGCATGGAGCAACGTTTTATGTGATCCGTTCGTGGAAGGTAAGAGTACTCCCGCGAAGTTCGCAGTGCTCGATCAATTCATTCCCGCCTTCTCGTACAATTTTAATGTCCTCTGCTCAGGTCTGCCTACCGGTCATGAGAGGAGCGATCGCTGTATGACCTGTTGCTCGAGATTTCAAGTGAAGCAACCCGTTGTATGGCCCGCGTGAGATAGCCTCCAACAAACGTCACCAGTAAGTCTTATTAATGTACCCTATTAATCTATCTAAACGAGATATCTAAGATAACATCTACGCTCTAGATGTGTACCTTCGCAATAATAATAAAAAAATGGGTGGCTCTATTTGAGCCTTTACCTCGTCTAGTTGGACAACGGGTCCTTCCGACGCGCCCAAAGGACGGTCTGCAGCCCATAAGTCCTCACAACTGGACAAGTCCCTTCTTCCCTCTTCTCCGCAACATCAGTGAGATGAATCCCTTGACCGCTCCCGCCGCGACCAATCCCCATCCCATACGGTGCAAGACCTCCTTTTCACCTTCCTCCCCGTCCTCCTTCCAGAGCCTCAAAATAGCCGCCCCGAAGGTGCCACCGGCCATCAACGCCGCAAGACCCGCAAAGCGCTTCCAATGCGAGGTCGTCGGTCCCGGCGCGACAGCGCTCAGCCACACGCTCGTCCACGCAACGCTAGTAGCGTACGGCGTCTTCAACCGCTGCACCAAAGCCGCCTGCAGCGACATGCTCGTCGAGATCAGACTCAGGGTGATGTGTGGGTCAGGCAAGTGCGCCACCCCAGGATGCGACAGGATCACCGCACCTGCGGCTGCGAGCAGGGCTGATTGGACCGCAGTGGAGATAGCGGGCGTAATGAAATGGGGAAGGCGCGAGCCGGTGAAGCCGCCGAAGAGGAAACCCGAGAGAGCCGCGAGGCGCTCAGAGGTGGGCGTTGCAGCGAATATCGTGAACGCAGAAGTGAGATCGGGCGCGTTGGCACAGAGGTCAGCGAGCAGAGCGGGGAGGTCCATTCCGAGTTGCACGGTGGTGCCCGTGACAAAGGCACACCACACGCCCGAGACGGCGAAAGTCAGGCTGTCGACGAGGCCGGTGGACAGACAGAAGAGAAGGAGGGCGTTGTTGTTCGGTGTCGGTTTTGTTAGGGGAGATTGCGGGGGTGGGATTGGCGACGTGCCAGCTGGCGTGGAGTTGGAGAGCGGCTCGGATGCTGGCGCGCGTGGGGGAGGCGTGGTCGAGAGAGGTCGCGTGCACGCATAATGAGTGCGTGGACGCTGGAGGAACGCGAGGGAGGCGACGGGGCGCGTCCCGCGGTGGTATAAACAGCGGCCTGCGCTGGGCCAAACGGCGAGGACGCGCATTTGGACGACGAGCAGCACAGCGAGAAAGAGCGTAGCCGCCGCTATGACCGCATTCAGCGCTCGTGTATATGATCAGATCGGTCGGTTTTCCGGCCCGACGTCGGCTCCGAAGGGTCCCGTGAGTCGGCGGCGACCGTGTCTTGGTCGCGTCCCACGTCCTGCTCGCCGTCTTTGTGTTCTTTGCGCACTACAAATTCGCTGCTCGGCGGCGATGTACCCCACTATTCTTGGCTGTCGCGTGCACGGCATGCATGGGAGACCAGGGGAGACCCAGGGCCGATATTCAGGCCAAGGTTCCCTCGCCACTCGCTGCGATTAGCAGCAGCGAGTCTTAGGATTATGCGACCATATGCTGGCGATTGAAGACCAAGTTCATGCCTTGTGACAATCCGGCTGTTGTCTCTCATCCGTTCAATGTTCCCAGGAGATTATGTACCTGGCTTAACTCATTGACGAATACTTCATTGACACAAATCCTGCTCCGCGGCTGCCTTCATACGGCAACCGTGACTGACCAGCTACAAACACGTCCGTATATGGTATATGCCGAACCTCGCGCCACCCGGCTTTGCGGTAGGACCTCTGTCACTGTCCATTAAAAGCGGAAAAGCGTGCTTCGGATTATGTAAGCGTCGAACCTGTGTAACTGGTTTGAGGTCATATATAGGCTTTGTGAGGAAAAGATAGATTTCTTCAGGTTAGGAGACATGCTGAGAAGAAGCTCATCGTGATTTTCGGTGAAACGGATGGCCGTATATCGCCCTACAATTCTAACTCTCTGCGTTGACGGGCGCTTCCCCTGTTAGGCAGTCCCAATTTATCCATGGAACATGCCTATGGAAGCCTGATTGTCTACCTGTAATAGATTTGGCTTCGCCTCACTGCTGCTAACTTGTCGTGGGCTTGTCAATGCGATCATACATACCAGTTTACAAGCACTCAGCCTCACCGTCAATGCCGACGATACGCTCCAACCCCCACCGTGCAGTCCTTGTGTGGTGCATGCTGTAGCACGCTGAAGCTTGAAGTTCAGTGCAGCGTACACAGGTGGTTATTGGGTAAGAGCATGGATGACGTATGCACTGTCTACAGTTTACATGGTTTCACAGAGCTATATCAAGTGTGCTGTGGCCCAGTGATACTGTTACCGCTACCTTTATGCGTACAATGTCTTTTGAACATGACAGTACTCTGAGTCACATAAAGGCACAACGGGTCGAAGGGTAGTGATGTTCTGATATAAAAATCTACTCGGATGCATCATGAAAGAGCAAGTATGTGGCCACCGGCAGCTCAACTTGCACTGCGCGTCAGCTAGAGACTCTGGCGCCCGTCAGAGTTTGACCTGCATCTTTACATCGACACGGTCATTTTTGCCCACACTCATTTATACAGTCTTTCTTTTGCTTCAAAGCCATTGATTCTTGCTAAAGATGCCTCAACACACTGTCTCAGCTGATTTTCTTGCGACATTTACGACCGAGAACCCAAACCAGCGGTGTGAGGCACACAACTGCCCGAACGAAGTGTCCGATGTGCCAGTACCTACCAAATACATGGGCAACAAGGACCCTACAAAGCCTGGCAAGCACCTCTGCATCGACTGCTTTCAACGCTATCAGAGTAAACCTACCACAATTCGTGCTCTGTCTTCTGGTGCGTAATCAAATTCTACCCCTGTCGTCTATCAAATGAACTAGTGTACTAATGATTGGCTTCGCAGCTTCCAACTTATATAGAAGCATGAATGACCTCCCGACGAGGCATGTGGGGCATTCATATAATGACGAGAGAGTGCATATTCATAGACAGGTTGCTGCCGCACAGCGTGGAGGTATGTGCATTTCTTGTAGATGACATGGGCGAAGCATGGCTCACATGAGCTTTGGTTAGAAACTGCTGATCCCGTTCGCCCCATTGGTGCTGTCAGAGGCAGCAACAGACCGTCACGTAACTATCCACCAATCGTTGAACACCGGATGCCACCACCACGATCTGGTCCACTGCGTACAGGTCCAGTCGTCTTCCTGCCTGGGGCCAGCAGTCAGTCGGCAAATCATCTCATCTATCCCACTCCTTACGCATCCACCTTTATCAATGAGCGTCCTGGATATACTGCCGCCCATGACACATACAATGATCTTCGTGCTCGCCTGCAAAGCTTTGCATATGCTGGTGCAAATGGTGAGGTTATTGTTGTGAAGGCGAAGATGATGACATGGGAGGAAGGCAAAAAGGCTCCAAAAGTCGTCTCAGTAAGCTTTTCTGTACATCAAAATGAGCTGCCGCATTCTAAATTCCTTATCAGAACATTGTCGACTCTATTGCATTTGTCCCAGTTAGAATCGGTGCACGCAACCTCAAGACGATAGTTTACTCAGCGCTCGTCTCACAATACATCGACTGGTCAAAATGCGAGGCGGTCTCAATCAACGATTTTCGCCTGCGTACAAAAGATTGGGTTGAGCTAGTACCACCTCCAGATTTGATGAGTGATATGGACGCTGTATCCGCTACCTTCTTCACTGCCGGGCGAGGAAAGTTGGGCAATCAATCAAAGTTCAAAGCAGGCGCTATCGACATATATCTTGAACTTCCGATTGAATTGTACAAGGCAGCATTGCATCAACGCTTGATGGAAGAAGAAGCAAGAGAAACTGGCGAGAGGATCAGTGAAGGTGAGGAAGAATGTATGGCAGGAAAGGAATATGGGAACTATAAGACTGCGTCGGTGCGTGTTCACATACTTTGAAGATAAAGTTGAACAGTTTTACCTATATGAGAGATACAGAACTCGAAGCTTGCACAAGACAATGTGGAAACTCAACACGAAACACGTGCTATGGAAAATTTCAACTTCTTTGACCGTCACCACAAAAGCAATAGCGAGAAATTACACAAAAGGAAGCATGCTAGCCATGAAGTAAGTTCAACCAAGCGTGTGACCTCTCAATACATCAATGTAACTGAACGTGTGTTTCATCAAATCTAGAGTGACAATGCAAATGCGTCCCCGAAGAAGGACCGGAAATGTCAAGTACCAGCTGCAAAGACGTCTGCTCATGCTGAAGCTGAAGATGCAGAGATTCCTGCCGCTGATGCAAGTAAGGCACTGGATACTAGCGCTAGTTGCAGAGACACAGAAACTCAACAGGAACATGTGACGGCACTTGAGCTACCAGACGATGAACAGCTTCGATCTGCACTTGCGTTGCAGAAAGCTCCTAGCCGCAATGCAATCCGGTCCCTTCGTACGTCATTCTCTGCGCTGAGGAGCATGCCACTCATGATTCCGTGTTCGCAGTGAACATTGCCAGTATTCCGGTGTTGGTGTTTGTCTGTCCCTTTCAAACATATACCGAGCTCGCAACCAGGAAGGGCACATGGCGTGCGAATGTCAGTCCTGTCAAGACCAATCTACTCTATGATCCGCAATCAAAGTTCCAACAAGGCACATTCAAGGTCACGCACTTCGGCACAATCAGTCCTCCACTGCCTGCATTCGGTAGTACTGGTTATGTGGCCATTAAACGTGCATTTGTGCGTGATAGGGCCATGGCATCCCCGCATCCTATGTTCTATGATGCTGCAAAGCAGGCAGAGTTGCTGTCGGTGGAGGTCAACTGTGCGCAGTGGGCTGCCGGTCTTATGCAGCTTTGCTACGCTTTTATACAAAGGGAAGATGTCATACGTGGACCACCTCCATTCACCATTCCTCAGCTGCAATTTGTTTGTGTCGGCTTGGCAGTGGAGGATGCAAGCGACATAAACGATCAGAACCCATCTCGCCGCCGCCAGGTTTTTTTGCTTGAACAGTACATCGATTCAACAGCCGAGGGACGCTGGCGCAAATATATTAACAATGACACGCCTACTCCACTCGCAATGATTGATGAAGATGATCAACACCGCGCTGACTTCCTGGCCTTTTGTCAGCATATACAGTTTTTGAAGACGAAGCGCCTGCTCTTCGTCTCTGACTTTCAAGGCAAGTACTACATCCTATAGCTCAATTAATACTCTACTCATTTCTATTTCGATGTCGTACCAGGCGGCAGCACTCTTTTGTCTGATCCACAAATTATTTCAGATGCGTACGCCTCCATCACCTTCTTTTACACAATAGCAGTATTTGATATAGTGCGGTGGCATGTTGATACAGATCTCTCGGCACAATCTTCAGTGATGGCAATGTGTCCGCAGCATTGGACGAGTTCGACATGGCTCACGAGTGCAACAATTTCTGTAAGCACTATGGCATCTTTGAGGACTTCGGCAAAAACGATATGAAGGCCAGTTTCAAATCTGCTCGCCCGCTGTTTGTGCCATCCGTGAACGATCCTCGTCTCCGAACCAGTACTATGGAGAAGGAGATATTTTCCGCTTCTTTGGCTGCACTGTCCAAGCAAAGTGTCCAGGCAACAGGAGAGGTTTCTACTAAGTCTGCACGTGTCCACGGTCATGATGAAATGGAAGAGGGGGAGGTTGTCGAGTTGAAGATCAGAGATGCAATGGCGGCAGCAGTAGGAGCTGAAAAAGACAGTCGCATGCAGTAGTAAAATCTAAACAGCTTTCAATCTTTATCTGACAATTAATTGCATGCTTTCCAAACCCAACGATTTGCATTGTTCACATCAAAAATGGTGTTGAGACGCGAGGTGGCTTCAAATTGCGGCCAGTATTGGCCACTTCACTTTTCACGTGCCACCTAGCCACTGCGCTCATTGCTTTTGTGGAATGTCACTGCAGCTCGAAGATGCAACAACGACAGCGAAATCAGCATAAGCCTTGTCGTACGTATTACATTCTCTGCTCGTTATAGCCATTGAAGGCACAATCGACGTCTGACAGCCCCAGCCGATGAGCTAAAACCTGTCCTGACGTTCTTCTACAATCTTGGGCTCAACGATGGCCAGATAGCACACTGTTGTATCAAGCATTTTGACGTGGAGCTCTATGGTCTGAGGTATGTACCACTACTCAAGCAAGAAAGTGCAATCTACTGAAATGTTTCCTCAGTATCTCTTCCGTCAAACGATTCAGGAAACAGTGGGGGCTTCTTAGCACACGCCAGCAAGGCCATACTATGGAGAGCATAGCACAGTATGTCGATGCAATCAAGGCAAAATTTCCACATCGCGGTGCAGACTCCATACGCAAGTCGCTAATTTTGACGTTCAAAGTCCATGCACCAAGGTCTGCATACCGTTTGCTTCTCAAAATCATCACTGCTCATTCGTGGCATTCAGAGCACTGGTTGCTCAATATCTACGCCAGATCGAGCCTGAAGCTGTCCAGGCACGTCGCCACCGACGTTTTAAGAGACGACGCTTCTGGGCAACTGGTGTGCATGACATATGGGCGCAAGATCAGCACGACAAATGGGGTCGCTTTGGCTTGTATCTTCACGTCTCCGTTGACACCTTCTCTGGTTACATCAATTGGATGAAGATTTGGTGGAACAACTCAAATCCTCGGCTCATCACTGGCTATTACATCGAGGCGATCCGTAAGCTCAAAGGTGAGCATTTTTATTGTGATCCATGCATTGCACAGTCTGCAGCTCATCATATATGATGCAGCCGTCCCTCTAGTAACGCAGAGCGATCCAGGGTCAGAGAACTTTGGTGTCGCAAATGCGCACACCACTATTCGGCACCGTCTTGATCCTTCACTTGCAGACACGCTTCAGCACCGCTGGATGAGGGCGCACATGAATATCAAACCAGAAATCATGTGGTCGGTATTGAACAGTGACTTCAAGCCAGGATTCGAGGAGATACTTCAGTACGGCGTTGACCAAGGATGGTATGATGTAAATAGCACTCTAGAAGTGTGAGTGCCTTGCAGTACCGACAAATTTCAGTCGTCTTGACAGCCCAATAGGCTCATCTTCCGCTGGCTAGCCATACCATGGCTACAAGCTGAGCTTGACGACTGGACAAAGCAATTCAACTTGACTCCACGGCGCGCAAATAAGCACAAGTCTCTCCCGCATGGCATTCCAATCCTCATTGTGAACCAGCCTCAAGATTTCAATGCCGTGGATTTCAAGGTCCGTGATCATACCATCGTGCTATTACATCTAGAAAGGCCACTGATAGCTGCGTGTCGAAGGTGAATGCACCGGCTGATCTCATTGACGAAGTGGAGCGACAGTGGGCACCTCCGACCCACCCTATCTTTGAACTGGTTCCTTCAGCATTCGAGGAGCATGCGCAGACGATCTACAATGAGATCGGAAGGCCAGGGGTTCATGGTGAATCATTTTGGGATGTGTACCTTCAGATGCTCGACCACTTTAATCGTCTTCAAGGAAATGCTGAACTTTCCGCTGCAATCGCGGAGCATGCAGCAACGTTCGACAGGCTCATGAACGAGAAGATCGAAGTATTACCCGGTCTTCGTGATTTGCGCAATGGAGATGTGCTTATTGGCAAGCGCGGCAGTTCTGCACCTGAAGGCAATCCTGATGATCTCGAGTTGGCGGACTTCACGGACTCTGAAGAGGATGAGGAGGACGAGGATCACGGATGGTTTCATTGAAACCACACTGATTGTCGATACAAAAGAGCAGAAATAGCGTAATAACAAGAATCATTATTGCGAACCCCTGATCTGTGAGACGGTACGGGCGATGCTGGGTCAGGAACTGCAAGGATGCCTCGGTGCAAGTCGTCGAAGCCTAGCAACCACATGGTCGGCTGCCTCATGTGGTCATACACCTGCATCATCTCTTTATCGCAAGATGAGGCCTGCTGTTCAACTGGCTCCCCGTCAAAGTTTATCTTGATCTCAGTTCCGACACCCTCCGCGCTCCAGACATCGACCTCGCCATCCACACTGTGAGATCATATGATGCTGTGTTGCACAGCATCTCAGGTGGATGTATCTGGCACAGGGACTCAAACATCTTGCGATCTCTGCGACAGAGTGCGACAGATCTCTCGAACTACAGAAACAAACCCTCCGGGTTCCAAGGGCGGATCCACGATCAGGAATGTTATCTGTCTCAAAAGGTCGAACCCAAAGTCGCCTGCGCCAGATGACTGGGTGCCTGGAGCTGTGAGCGAGGGGAGTGCGGGGTGCAGAGACAGTCCAAGCGGCCGACTGCGTACGCGTGCACGAAAGCAGCCCAGTTGCACAAGGCCTCGCCGTCAGCGTTTGCAACTGCAGACTTCTCGTTCACCGGAGGAAGCTGGCGCTGGAGCTGGGGATCGTCAGAGTTGTTGGTGGGGGTGGGGTCAAACGAGGAGGGCAGCACGTCGACTGTCGGCGAGGATATGGATCATGGTGAGGGCCACGCAGACATCAGGAACGGCGTACATGGAGAGCAAGGACCTGCGTTCACGAGGTGCGAAGCCGAGGGCAAGACGGGAGATGATCCGGACGGTGTGAGCAGTGGGGATGTAGGGTAATTTGAGGAAGTGGAAGAGGTCGTTGAGTGAGAGGGTGGCGGGAGCGGGAGTAGGCGTAGTGATAGTCTGCACTGCAGGGATGGCGCGTTGAGGGTGGGGGGAGCATGCAAGCTGGCAGTGCATAGCATGGGAAAGTTCTGGAACTGAACATGGGTATTCGCAGCGGAACATGCAGTGCTCACCTTACACCTCCTTTTTCTCGACGACCGTGTGATACTGCTCTAATTGACGCTACAATTGCTATCCGCCTCTCCAACCCCATTAGCCACCTTGCTCGGGGACGTTCGCGCGCAGCTATTATAGCTCCTGCTCAATGTTGACACGCTTAATCGATGGCGCGGCGCGGTGCTGGATGGACGAAAATGTTATTCGCAGCATTCGTGAATGAAGTGCAGCACAGGCGGCTTCTACACGTTCATGTACGCCTGGCATGCGCATGGCAGATACGAAGCGAGCACCTTCTAGGAGGTGGGGCGTGGGCCAAGGAGAGGAGGTCCTGAGCGTGGCGGCGGGCGGCGGGAGGGAGAAAGGTCGATCAGGAGAGTAGGAGGCTGTAAGGTACAATGCGGAGGCTGTATGATAGGGCTGGAAGCGAGATAGTCTAGAGCATGAGGGTGAAAGTGCATGAGCGGGAGAGCAGGTGCGGAAGACAGAACAGGGGGACGGAGAGTGTATGAGAGCAGGAGCGGGATGAGTGAGCGAGGGACGGGTATCTGACGCAGCTGGCACTCCCTGGGCGGATATGTGCATGTATGGATGAACGGCCTAGGTGGGCTGCTCTGACGGGGTGGTGACTAGGGCTGTGAGGTAAGTGCTGGTAGGATATTAATGCAGGTGCGATAGGATAGGCGAGCGTCACGAACTGATGGTGGGGCGTGGCGTTTGTGGGCATTGGAGGGGAGGGAGGGGTCTCCGCTCGGAGGGCGTCAGGTGCGAGGGGGACGGATTGCATGCAGTGGAGGACGTGCGAGTAAGATGGACAAAGGGGGGAATGGTGAGGAGGAGACAGCGGTACCAAGCTATATCAGCTGACACTCCACCTGCCGAACATGACCCGTAGTCCCGTGGTCGAGTCTTCGTAGTCATCCCGACAGGCGGTGTCACTGAGAGATCCATTCTACACAGAGGAGAGCTGCAACGCTCCTCAGTACATTTGTGGCCACGTCACGTGCGAGCCGTCATCACACTGGGAGCTGCCAGCCACACAGTTGGCGCGCAGAGAGTTAGAATTGTAGGGCGATATACGGCCATCCGTTTCACCGAAAATCACGATGAGCTTCTTCTCAGCATGTCTCCTAACCTGAAGAAATCTATCTTTTCCTCACAAAGCCTATATATGACCTCAAACCAGTTACACAGGTTCGACGCTTACATAATCCGAAGCACGCTTTTCCGCTTTTAATGGACAGTGACAGAGGTCCTACCGCAAAGCCGGGTGGCGCGAGGTTCGGCATATACCATATACGGACGTGTTTGTAGCTGGTCAGTCACGGTTGCCATACCTTCAACGTTTGACGCTATGCCTTGTCTCGTTCTAGTTCATTCCTATGCGACGTGATCGGATATGTTTGCCATGCTTCTTTGAGGGCACCGCCTCCGGCTAGCTGGTCTTTCCTCGCGATTGGCGTGCAACAAATTTCGTCACTAGCAGCTGCGAGTCTCCTTATAGGGACGACGATCAACGGATGAAGCACAGTACTCATGTTCGTGATGGCTGGCAATGCTCTCTGAAGATGCCTACGAAGCCGGCTCCCCGAATGCGAATACCTGACAATGGCTCACTGCTTGCCATCTTCGCCGCCGCTATCGTAGTAACAACGCTTGGGCTGTCTGATGGCGAGTTCTAGGATTCAACATGACTGGACTTTGAGAATCGCCCTCGTCTCATCTTTGCAAGCTCTGACTGACCGACTCGACGCATGCTCTTTGCTTCCTTTCGATTTGCCTAATTATGTGCTTCTTGCTATCTGTGACGCTCCTCGCTATCGAACTTTCATCCCAAATCTTTGTCCTAGCTCAACGCTGATTAAAGCAGATACATCGTTTACTGAAACGGTCAGCAAAGGCCTGGAAGCGGAGGCATCAAGGCTGTCACAGCGACGTGTGGTGCGTAGAAGCCGTTCATGGGGAAGCGAGCGCGAGCGATTTCAATGTGACGTTGAAGCAGGCTGAGTACACTCGGAAGTTGTGCTCGAGCTGGGGGGAAGGGCATTGTGATTCAGTAGAAGAGATTGCCACTTTTGGTTGACAAGCATGGGTTGAACTCGAGTACGCGCTTCTTCATTCGCAGGTTGTGAGGAGAAGAGAAGAGAACCTTGGTGAAGTCCTCCCTTGCCAGTATTGAGAAGTCCGACTGCGCTGTGAGACTGCACGGAATCGTCGACGTCTCGTCAGCCTCAAGTCAAATCACGTTTCGGAAGCGTCTTGTCAGGTACGAACATGCAATGCGAGAGTGGCACGAATGTAATGTGCCTAGTAGTTGTCTTCGAACTCGCCGGTCATTAGTGTACCCTTTCACATCACGGATCAAAACCCCGCTTCGTCCTGGCACCCAACTTTGTGTCTCGCATGATGGGAAGAACAGCACTAAAGAGAAGGGCAATAGACGCGGAATTCCATTCGGATGCGATGTGGAGGCGCAGGACGCGAGAGACAATGAGAGCAAGAACATTAGTCCGCGAACGTCTATAACGGTTCGGAGAATTGCTGAGCCATCGACGAATTCGTATCTGGCGCGAAACGCCGCTCGCGCATGGTGGCAGTCTCGATCGTATATCACAGACAGCCGCATGCAGTTGACCTGCTCGAGATATCGTGCATCTTTCCGTCCTCTGTCCGGACCTCATTTCATCTACCATGTCAGTTGTCAACCGTTACACACCCATCTATCACCAGGAGGATGCCTATCCGATCGCGGCCGGCGGCGGTCGACTCATTCGTGAACGAACTGTATATTCGCTCGAAGCACTCGATGCATTGGTATCACCTCCCGAAGATGAAGTTAACCAGGCGCCCTCGTACAAGCAGATGATGCATTGTTCTCACTGCTTCAAACCACGCTCCGAAGTTGAGAAGCTCATGAAGTGCTCCCGGTGTAAGGTGGATACATACTGTGTATGTCTTTGTGCACTATGTCTGCAGGCAACGCCCAACCTTATCGTCGTTTACAGAGCAAGCAATGCCAGAGGGCTGACTGGTCCCTACACAAGGAGAAGTGCGATCGCATCGCAAACATGGATGAGGCAACCGCAAAACGACAGCACCTCCTCCAGCTATACAAGGATCGACACCTCCGGACAGTCTCCATGACAGGGCCATCGGCGATGGAGCTCTATGACTATCCCAACCTCGCAAACCGCCTCATCATGGTCGTCCGTCTCGACTGGCATCGCAAGAAACGGCGCGAGGCGGCCTTCTCCGTCACGCAGATACACTGGATCGACCCCGTGGATATCGGCGGCTTAGTAGTCACTCCGTCCGAGGCACGCATTCTTCCCGTCCTGCTAGCGCACGAACGCGAGCATGCTCAGGCGTCCGGCAAAGCGGGCGTATTTATAGCGATGTTCTGGTGTCCGGAACTGGGCATGACGGAGACAGAGCTTATCGCCTACGACCACATTGAGCCCGCGGTGATGTCGTTTTATCAGGGTTTGGTGGACTGGGGAGAGTTCATCAAGGAGGCGATCAACTCGGGCAGGGTCTTCTGATGCATGCCGCGGAAATCAGGCTACTTGATTCGGGGCGCCTCAAGGTGAGTGCTATCGTTTCTCTCCGACGATGCAATCAGTACTCATGAGCATTCTAAGTTTGTGTTTGTGGGCACACCGTCTTCTCGGACTGTTGTTCCTCTGCAGTTAGAGCGGATAGAGCTGATGTATCATATTCGTACCTTTCGAAATAACGACGGACAGGCTCATCATGCAGGCGAGCATCAGTGAACTTTGCTCACCAACTCACCATTGGCTTGCTGTATGATAGGAGGCGCGATATCCTATGTCTTTTGATAAGGATCGATTCTTGATTGCACGGGCCTGAGTCGAAGAAACAACTCGCGCCAGAATGGCACCTTTCATCGCTTTCATGGCCAACCTTGACTTCAAAAACTCTCTTACATCGGATTTTCATCGCTCTCTTACATCTCCGTGCACCCGAGAGCGATCGATTCACTCTGAGAGCCATACATTGCAGATTCTGTCGTGAGGACGTTGTGGACGCATCCACGAAAATGACCGTAGCACCTGTATATTTTCAGAAATTCAGATGCACGGCTACTATATATGCACGTAGCCACGCAAGCCACACTAGTGGTCTGTGATTGCTGTTAATAAAAGAGAAGAGGATAATCAGACCATACACGATCACACCAGTATGTGCGTTCAAGTTGTTAAAATCGCAGGGCGATTAACATCGTCACTAGCGCCCACGTGCCGTCAGCGGCCGATGTGGCGCTGGCAAGTAGCGGAGTGTTTTCGGAGTTAAAATATGGTGCGGCAGTTGCCGGATTGGTCATCGCTTCGGCGAGAGGATGTTAGTGACCAAGACCTTCCTTCTTCTGACACCTCTTACTTTGCTTCCATCATGTCCTCCCCAAGATTCCCCAGATTAGTTGACTCTTTCACGGCACCAAAGGAAGTACTGCAGGAGTTTGCAGAACTCGCTGAGGAGGAGAACGTTGACCCCTTCGCCGAAACTGCATCAAAGCGCCAGATTGCGTCGCGGCAGTCCGACTACCATAACCGCCGATTCAATCGCCAAGCACTCGAGAGCGAGGATGCGTTCAAAGCGGTAGAGGAGGGCAAGGATGTTGAGGGCGGGTATAAGGGTGCCATGAGATTGCAGAGGCTTGAGCAGGAGGAGCAGCGAGTCAGACGAGCAATCGAGGAAAAAGAGAAGCAGGCGAGGGAGGAGGGCAAAGCAAAGATGGATCTAGACAAGACACCCCCTCGGGAGGAGCTTGAAGCAGCGGCGAAGGAGCTCGCAGGGACGAAGCGCAAACGCCGATGGGATGTTGCTGAGCCAGAGGATAAGGAGAACAAGGAGGTGAAGGGTGGTGAGTGGTCCAAGGAAGCTCTCGAGGAGGCTGCACCTAAGAAGCGTCGTTCTCGCTGGGACGCGACGCCTGCCGACGTCAATGCGCTCAGTGAGACTCCCAAGAGATCGCGCTGGGATCAGACACCCGTTGTCCAAGACATTCCCATGCAGCCCATCATTATGAATGCGCCTGGCTTCATGCATGAGGACAAGCACAACCGTTATCTGACCGATGAAGAGTTGGACGCTGTTCTCCCTGCCACCGGTTATTCCATTGTCACTCCGCCTCCGGGTTATGCCCCTCTGATTCGCCCCCCGAAGGTCGCCACTCCCGTCACCGAAGTTGGCGGCTTCCAGATACAGGAGAGCTCCGATGCTGCTAACCTCGCAGCAGCGGCCGGTCTTGCCCCCGAGTTGCCCACTGAGATTCCGGGCGTCGGCAGTCTCGCTTTCTTTAAGGCGGAGGACGCGCAGTACTTCGCCAAGATTTTGAAGGAGGAGGACGAGACGGAGTTGTCGGTGGACGAGATGAAGGAGCGCAAGATCATGCGTCTCCTGCTCAAAATCAAGAACGGCACGCCGCCCGTCCGAAAGACCGCCCTCCGACAGATCACAGACAAAGCCCGTGAATTCGGGGCTGGTCCTCTCTTTGACAAGATCCTGCCTTTGCTGATGGAGCGAACGTTGGAGGACCAAGAACGTCACCTGCTTGTCAAGGTTATCGACCGCGTACTGTACAAGCTCGACGACCTTGTTCGGCCATACGTCCATAAGATCCTCGTCGTCATCGAGCCTCTGCTCATCGATGAGGACTACTATGCCCGTGTTGAGGGACGTGAGATCATCTCCAACTTGTCCAAAGCAGCTGGTCTCGCGCACATGATCTCCACCATGCGTCCCGATATCGACCATGCGGACGAGTACGTGCGTAACACAACTGCCCGTGCATTCTCAGTTGTGGCTTCGGCGCTCGGTATTCCATCTCTGTTGCCTTTCCTGAAAGCTGTCTGCCGGAGCAAGAAGTCGTGGCAGGCGCGACACACTGGTATCCGTATCGTCCAGCAGATTGCTATCATGATGGGATGCGCCGTGCTACCGCACCTTCGCAACCTCGTCGATTGCATCGCGCATGGGCTCCAGGATGAGCAACAGAAGGTCAGGACAATGACCGCCTTGGGTCTTGCAGCGTTGGCTGAGGCAGCTGCGCCCTACGGTATAGAATCGTTTGACAATGTCCTCAAGCCGCTGTGGGTCGGTATCCGCCTGCACCGCGGCAAGAGTCTGGCTGCATTCCTGAAGGCCATCGGTTTCATCTTGCCCCTGATGGACCCTGAATATGTCTCTTACTACATCAAGGAGGTGACCATCATCCTCATCCGTGAGTTTCAAACGTCAGACGAGGAGATGAAGAAGATCGTCTTGAAGGTTGTCCAGCAGTGCGCCGCCACCGAAGGTGTTACGCCGCAGTACATCAAGCAGGACATTCTGCCCGACTTCTTCAAGGCCTTCTGGGTCCGTCGCATGGCTCTCGACCGTAGAAATTACAGACAGGTCGTTGAGACAACTGTCGAGTTGGCTCAAAAGTCTGGTGTTGCAGAAATTGTTGGAAGGATTGTCAATGACCTCAAGGACGAGGCCGAGCCGTACCGCAAGATGGTCATGGAGACAATCACGAAAGTGGTTGCTTCTCTCGGTGCATCCGACATTGATGAACGACTGGAGGTTCGGCTCGTCGATGGCATTATCTACGCCTTCCAAGAGCAGACGACGGAGGATCAAGTCATGCTGGATGGGTTTGGTACGGTTGTCAATGCACTGGGTAAGCTTCACGTCGCAACGTTCCATGCAAAACAGGTGCTGACTTTGTGCTTCTCAGGTATTCGGGTCAAGCCGTATTTGACGCAGATCGTGTCTACCATCCTCTGGCGTCTCAATAACAAGAGCGCCAAGGTGCGTCAGCAAGCAGCGGATCTCACCACACGTCTGGCCGTTGTCATCAAGCAATGCGGCGAAGATCAGCTTCTGAGCAAACTGGGTCTCGTCCTCTTCGAGCAGCTCGGTGAAGAATACCCCGATACCCTGGGTAGTATTATTGCTGCCGAGGGTGCTATCGCGAACGTTGTCGGTATGACGCAAATGAATCCGCCTGTGAAGGATCTCCGTGAGTACTCACTTCTGTCTATGCAAGTGCTTATTGCTGATGTCATTGTGCGTAGTGCCCCGTATGACGCCGATTCTCCGTAACCGACACGAGAAGGTGCAGGAGGCCACGATTAACCTGATCGGTCGCATTGGTACGTCAGTCTCCCACCATTCACAAATAACATGCTAACATTGTTAATTCCAGCTGACCGCGGTGCCGAGTTTGTGCCAGCGCGAGAATGGATGCGTATCTGCTTCGAGCTTCTGGATCTCCTGAAGGCGCACAAGAAGGGCATCCGTCGTGCGGCGGTCAATTCTTTCGGTTACATTGCCAAGAGTCTTGGTCCTCAAGACGTATTGCAAGTGTTGCTTACAAACCTACGTGTACAAGAGCGACAGAGTCGTGTCTGCAGTACGGTTGCAATCGCTATTGTAGCAGAGACTTGCGGTCGTAAGTTCAAATCCTTATCTCGCATGCGTATGTTCACTCATCAAAAACATTCCAGCTTTCACATGTATCCCTGCCATCCTCAACGAGTATCGCACTGCCGAATTGAATGTCCGGACTGGATGTCTGAAGGCACTCTCATTCGTATTCGAATACGTCGGTCCACAGTCGGCTTACTACGCGGACTCTGTCGTCACGATGTTGGAGGATGCTCTCACGGACCGCGACCTTGTGCACCGACAGACCGCAAGCACGATTGTCAAGCATCTGGCCATCGGCGTCGCCGGCCTCGGCTGTGAGGATTCCATGCTGCACTTGATGAACCTCGTGTGGCCCAATTGCTTCGAGACGTCACCGCACGTTATCGGTGCTGTGATGGAAGCCATCGAAGCCATGCGGGTGACTCTCGGCCCGGGTATCCTGTTGAGCTATGTCCTGCAAGGCTTGTTCCATCCAGCGAGGAAAGTTCGCGAGGTACGTTACCTACTGATTTTTGTATGAGCTTACCCGCTAATCGAGTTCCTAAACAGGTGTACTGGCGTATCTATAATTCGCTATACCTTGGCGCTGCTGACGCTTTGGTACCGTTCTATCCAGACCTGGGAGAGCTGAGCGAAGGACAGAACGTGTATGACCGTCATCCACTCCAGGTGTTCATTTAGATTATATTCTCCTGTTGCCGTGTCGTGTACTGTGTATGTATATTGTGAGTCTCCTCATATTTGAAACCTAGGTTTAGTCTAAATGGTCTCTTCGCTTGTCGTTCGTTGTACTACGATTGCCGAGTGAATCACAGTTTGAAGGGCGGCAGTGTCAAGCTCGGCAACTGCAACGGCCGTCTTTCGACGCGGAGTGCACATGCTGTTTGCATGACGGCGTTCAACAATCATGCCTGCTCGCAGCCCACGTCCGGTCAATGGTTGTGGCTGACCGATATCAAGCGCTGTTGGTCCATTATTGCCTGTTTCATACGTTCAAAAAGTGGTAGGACGCTGTGCGCACTCACAAAAGAGATGCAGTGGAGTTCACATCATCCATCCCAATTTGAAGCCGTTGACAGATATTACCGCCAGCCAGTTCTCAGAGTCAAGATGCGGGCGTTGAGTCGCTCTGATTGTTTGTCCTAGAACCCCGCGAGCGGTCCCATTCATTACCCATGAAGAACGGTACGGCGCACTTGCATCAGGCAGAACGGCCGTGTTACTGCGCATTGGAACTAGGTGCGAGTGTTCCAATGCAGAATTGGATCCGAAGTTGCTGTCAATTGCAAGTAGATTCATCAATGATATACGTGGAAATTGGGTCAGGTATGTTCAATAACCTTATCCGGGCAAGTTGCCGAGCACATCTCTCCTCTTGTTTATTGAGATAACGAGGTCTATTATATCCTGCAAGACCTCCGAGGCTTGGTATAGGTGTGTGCTCGTCCAACTGAAAAAGAGCGAGAGTTTGCTGTACCTTGCAAATACCAAACATCGAGGTACATATGGGTAACTAATGCAGTTGTGGAGTGAAGGGCGGTGCATGCCATTTGGAAAAGAAATGGGTGTTGTTCAACGGGTTGCGAGATGCGACAACGGCATCTCGACGGACAGAAGTATTCTCACCGCCATACTTCTTGTATAACTGCGAGAGATCTCAGCCTCCGGCCCAGCTCACGTAGTCATGGACCCTCCCCCCCTTGCAGTATCGCAGAGCGTCTTGATTTGTATGCAGAGCACCTCTTACAGCGTACATGTGGTGCCACACTTCGCAATATGCGTTTGTAACATGCACGAGCAGCGGTACAGCCTCGATAAGCCCGGCCGATCAACCCCGTCATGATTTCCGTTGTCAATACTCTGTTTGATCATCAGACGGCCAACCTTGCATCCAATTTGTATCATAGCATTCTCGCCTTCGCTCTATACACAAGCACTGGCAATGGCACCGGTGAATCCAGATAGATTTCAACCTGGACTCAAGTAGATCGAGTGCGTCTTCATTGAAGTTCATCTCACAAAGCCTCACTCAGGCTACCGCATAGTGTCCGGACTTGCCTCTCAACGCTCTTACACAGCCGCTGCTCTGGAACGTGGAAGCTAGCTTGATTCTGCGCTCGCGAGACGGATAGTTTGACATTCAGGCTGCATTTTGTACATTATGACTATGATAGATTTATTGCCGTTGGGTTGTCTACGAGCGAAAACGGCTAGAGTCGTAGCAGTACCGATTGCGATCTGACCGGAGTGTTTCAGATGCGTCTGCAGTCGGCGAGCTTTTTTTCATGGGCACTCTGAACAAGAAGATGAGCATAGCTGATGCTCGCGAAGTTCAACCCTTCCTCATTACGTTCGTTGTCCTGATAGGCGTGGAAAGCACGGTGATGAGCGGTGAGTCAACCTGATTTTCAACTTCAATCAGTTACGATGGTATTAACGTACTTGATCTTAAAATCGCGGTCGTTTGTTGATCGCATCTGGTCGTCTCGATGCTTTTCTAGCGCCTCATCAGCATATGGCAGCAGGGGTCGCATTCAGCTATCAAAAGCCATCAGAATTATTGCGAATCCGCGTCTCCGTACGAGGCTTTCGCGCTTTTGACTTTGCCTGTCGATGGCATCTCCGAATAGCGCGATCTATGCCGTAGCTTTTTCCCGAGAGGAGATAGTATCAGATCATCACGCGGAGAGGATCGACTTCCGCGAGCACCGCAGACATTAGGGCGCAGGGAAATAGGAATTGTGACCAGCTCCTCCACAGCCTTTCTTCGGGAGTTAAGGGGGAGGCCCCGGGCAACTCTCACATATGAGTGTCGCAAAATAGCATATTTGAGTGGCCCAAAATCATGATTTCCTTGTCGCTGATTGCATATTTAGGGCCTCTGAGGCCGTTCCAAGACCCCTAACCTTATCGCAACTTAGCATATTTTGGGACCTGA